AATTTAATGAAAACTTTTCATTATGCTTACAATATATTAAAAAAATTTAAAAATAATTTAAATGATAATAATAAAACAAAATTAGAAAAAATGAAACATTTAAAAAAGTACTATTCATTCAGATCTCAAATATTATGAAATGTCCGTCGGCAGTCGCATTCAATCGAGTTCTTAACCAAGAGTCGACTTACTATTTTGAATGCGAATGTTTATTTTGCTCTCTCGCCGAATACACTCCTCGCTCTCTAAATTCCTCACCACCCATGGCTCGAAACAAATAAACCCACTCTCAAAAGGCCGATTCCATCTTGGGCAGCGCTCATAACATCCCTTTTCTAATTTCCATTCGCAACACGTACTGTTCCTGTTCACTCGCTCTACTTCGCAAACAAACACATTGGAGTGTGTGCGTCCCGATTTTCTTCCTGCGACTTTCTTTTCGCGAGAGGTTCACTCATTCGCGAGCGCCAGCAGGTGGATTTGTAAGGGCTGCGTAAATAAATGATGTCTCAGGAGGATCGTTGATTTCCATCACACCCGACTTTTGCACGCACGGAAATTGGACTGAAAAGAAATGAAATATAAAAAGACGATTGAGATTTTACAACCTGCTTAGTAAATAAATAATATAATGATTTTCAAACGATTCAAGAATAATCTGATGGAAAATTAATTTTTTCATTTTAAAATGATAATCCGATAAATAGGAAAATTAGAGTAAAAATTTATTTGTTAGTAAATGATGAGTTTGAATTCACGTTTTTGTTATAACTTGGCTGTACCATGATGAGTTGGTTGTGTGAAACATGATTTGAGTTTTTATGCTAATTTAAAAAAAAATGGTATTCTGCTTTTCCGTAATCGTAAACCAGCAGTAAAACGTAATAAAGTCTCATTAAACACATCACAGAATCCGAGATTCAATAAAAAAAGTAATAATTGTGATATAACTGGACTTTTCCATTTCTACAAAGTTGTCTTTATTTACATTTTGTTTAACAAAAATAAATTTTCTCAGCGAGGAAATCCACAGACTCACCTTTATTCTGTTCTTCAAAATAAATCAATAAATAGCCTATTAAATTAGATTTTTTATTTTTTGGAAAATTAAGTCAACTTTCTTGACAAGAAATAGCACGTTTTATCATTGATCATAATAAAATTTAAAAATTTAGCAAGTTTTTTTATTTTGTTGTTAATTTTTATTAGTATTTCAAATTTAAGATATTTTTAAAGCAAATTTATATAAGTTTTGAGTGGAAAACGAACTTGGAGTTACAAATTTTCATGATGAATATACAACTTGTTTTAACAAATTTTTTATCATTTCTTTAGTAATTTTGTTCTGGCTTTCGTTGAAAAAGGTGCGAAACGCAAGAACTGTGAATTATTTGTCAGGGACGGCATTAATTGCGTGCCGTGTAATTTTCCGCGAAATGAACCGCAGCTCTCTGCTCTGCTACTTTGCGGAGAGGTGATATTCATTTTTAATTAACGCCGGTCGTCTCTATGGTTACCTGGCCGAAAGTTGGACAAATATTTATGCAATATTAACACGGCCGGGCCGTTTATTCATTCCCGTGCCTTTATTGCAGCAGGCAATTCGGCGAGCACCATTAACTCGCAGGCGCGCGTGTTCGCCCCCGCGTTACATTTTGCGCTGACAGAGATAAACCAGGAAATACATTTTCGAATTATTGTTGTTCCATCGAGTGCTGATCGGGTTGTGGTGGAATTAAACTGTGGGAAATTCTACGAACTGAAAATGAGATCAATCTATCCTCAATAAGAATTTTCTTTGTTGGAAATTAAATTATTCAAACCACAAGTTGAGACAAATAATGGATCATGCTAAATTCAAACCTGAACATTTATAATAAGCTAAAATTAAATATTTTACCATAAGAAAGTGAGACAATTAATTTATTGAAAAATTGATGAGGGAAGTATTCAATTTTTAGCAAGGCAAATATTTTTATTTATTACATATTATTGTATTTTATTTATTTTATTAAAATTTACTCTCATTAAGAAATTCAAAAAAATATATAATGAAAATAAGGTACATTTTAAACTGTGCTCAGAACGTTGCAAAACAAATTTTTTTTCTTACAAATAAAAAGTATGAAATAAAATTAATTGATGTATTAATAAATTTCAACTAAATTAACTCTTTCTGGATTCCCAATTTTTCTCAAGTGAGTATATTTTTTTATTTTTTATTAGGCAATTGAGTGTTTGTTATATTTATTTCTTCTCTAACGACATTCCTGTTAAAACATCACAAAGATCAATAGGGCAGGGGCAATTAAATACACAGGCACGCAGTCGAGCAACAAATTTATCGCCAACCCTTCTAAGAATGCACCCTCCTCGCTGTGAGATCCCCAGCCATTACTCTCTCGCGCTTCCTCCACATAATATTTCAAAATTCATTGCGCTCCCCGGCGAAAGTGCTCGCCTCCGCCAATAAACTTGACTAGACCAGGAACTTATTTGAAATATATTTCCGGAGAAAATTTATCGCCGGGTCCTGAGGTGCCTGGAAATTTGCACCCCAGATTTTGGGTTCGAGTTTCCGCTTTAATTAGCCGGCATTGTCTTCGGCTCTTCTTTTGTGCGTCTCCAATTTTCCGCAAACTGCTCTTCAATGTAAACCGCAGTGGAATGTGGAATTTATATTTCAACCCTTTCGCGCCCCGCTGAAAACTTTCACCCATTAAGTGGCTTGCGAAAATTAAAAAGTGATAAAAGAAACTGGTGAAAGGTCAATTATAAATAATTGAAATGCTAGTTTCGTTTGCCGGAAATGTTATCCATTTCCTCATTTAGCTTCGGAATGAGAGAATTGCGTGAGCGCACCCTTTGAGCTCGAGATTTTTATCGGCGAGTTTTGCGGAAGCGAAAGGGACGCCGGCGATGATCTTCTTACTCGAACAAAAGATTTTATCGGGGGGTTAACAAGGAAATGGCTACAAATACCCAATTAATGCTAACGTGTACATATTATTTTACCTTATAATTGCAAGTTTTATTAGAAGTAAAATTATTATCAAATTTTGTTTAATTATTTGACTAAAACTTTATCAGTTTTTTACAACGTTAAAAAAATAGTTTGAGTAAAAATGTGCTCTTTTAAAATTCATACAATTCATGAATTCATTTTAACATTCTCATAGAAGAAAGGGTTGCCTTCTTTCGTGAGGGAAAAGAGTTCGAGTCCCGAGATTTGCGGCGTGGCCTTGTTATTTACAGCGCTCATGCAAAGCCAGTTAGGGCAGAAAGGCCTGTTGGTCTTTTTGCCGAGCGAGGAGTCGGCGCCAAGCAGCAGTCGCCACGGCGGGCCAGAGCCTCCCTATCGATTGACCTCGTGTGTGTCGTACTCTTCTCTCTCTCAAACCGCCAAATTCGCGCGCGCCCACACCGGAATTCGCCCCACGTCTCACATTATTCCACGTTTTTTAGCTGATTTTCCGCCGCAAGAGACCTCAAAAGTTCCTTCCGCGGCTTGGCTTCTTGCGCAGCTAATCTCGAGAAATTCATAAGTCGCGATTTCGTCTTCATTTTTTTTATCTCTTTCATCTCTCCCATAAGGAGCTACATTCCTAGCTGTTGCCGAAAAAGTCGAGGGTTGTAATGAAAGACCTGTCTATAGTCGTGCACCGGCCAATTTGCGCTTTTGCAACTTGCGAGCGCCGACAGCTATTGTCTGGGAGGCGCTTGCTCATTAATATTTGCTTCTCGTTAGCGTCCTTTCCCGCCTGGGAAAAGTCCTCGAAAACTTCTTTTTGATGATCCTTTTATTCGGCAGCCTTTGCTTTAATTATTCACGTCTACTAGATGGCATTTCCGTGTTTCTGCTTTTATCGATTAACCCTCAAGGCTGCCGCGAGGGAGAATTTCTGAGAAATCGAACGACATTCACGGTGCACGAAAGCATTCAATAAGAATAACGTTTTCACAATCAGATAAGTACTCGCTGTTGACATGTAAGGATTGCCTTTTTTTACCAATAATTGCATATTTCATGTTAGAGATTTATCTGCAACCAAATAGAATTTTGGAAATTATTTTGCTGATGTGTATTCTTCAGATATAATGTCAATTTCCTTATTGTTAAAAAATAAGATTATTTTAAAAGAGTCAATTAATTGGAATTTTTTTAAATAAATTTGGAACCCTTTTAAGCTATTTAGGCGTTTGCAATTAAATTTCAAATTAAAAGCACTAACATAATTATTCAATTATTTCAAAATAATCTTCCTTCAAACATTCCAAACCTGCTGCAAACTGAAAACCTACAATCGTGTGAGTGGGTGAGCGGTTGCAACATCAACAAGATTCCCATTAGCCGACAACACACATCGATCATTCCTCATAAGCACGCGCTGGAAATTACTCTCCTGCTCGAGTCGCGCGCGCGGCTGCAAATTTAATCAAAATTCCGCGAATAGCGCTTCACTCCGCGTTCGATATTTAAATTTTCCTCTCGGATGTGTGTATGAAGGTACGTGTCAGACAGACGAGAGGGTTGCACACACATACCGCGCTCTGTATAACTCTCCGCGAGTGAGTGTAATGAAAAGGCTTCCAACCAGCAGCCGCACCGCATTTGTTGCTCGTTTCCCTCCGAGTGCGCCTGGAAATTAATTCCCGCGATTCGAGCTTGTCTAACTTGCATCATTAATTTTAGGCACATTCGCTATTACAAAGTTCCTAGCAGATCAAAATATTAAAATATTCGTTGTTTAATCCTAAAAATAAAAACCATTTATGACATTACAATTTATATTAAATTTTTTACAGCAATTTCCTGAAATATTTAACTTTTCAAAATGTTTTCCATAATGTTTTGTTTGATTTATGTAAATAAAAACTTCAACTTGTTTGAGGTTTTAATTAATTTAATTTGTGTGGAAATCTTTGTGAAAAGTTAGTTCACTCATTAATTAAAATTTTGTATTGTACTTTTTATTGACTTTCGCTCTTGTTTGTTGCAGGTGGTGTTGGTGTTCATTCTAAGTATAGCGTCGTTAATAATCTACTTCATCGATGCCTCAAGGTGAGATTCTTTTCACTCTATAGTTGTACCTGTAAACATTATTTCATTTGTGTTGTGCCCGAGTAACCAACTAATTATCCTGTTTCGATCCAATAACTCGAAAATATGTTTCGACGAGAGTATTACGTTTTTTCGTTTTACATCTGCCTTGCTTTGTGAAATTCTTTCTAATCACGGACTATCAGTAATTTTGAAGCGTATTTATAAAAATCTTGAGAAACTTCTTCTTGTACAAACTGCCCATTCTTTCATAGACAATCCAGCAGACTAGATTATTTAATTACATTCTTCTTGTAAAATAAAACCTGTTTATTTGGGAATGTTGTTAAATTTCGATTTTGATTATTGGTATACAGAATTTTACATTTAAATTTGATTAGTTTTACACCGCAGCAGTAACTCGAGTTTGGAACTCTTCTGCATTTTTCAATAACTATTAGTGTTTCTTTTACACTCCAACTGAATATAGACTTGAATATATTTGGCAGCTCAGGAGTTTTTGATTTATATGACTTTGGACAATTTTACGATAGGCTCTGCACAGCTGTAGTGAAATTTTGAATTGGTTTGTTGGTAGAGCAAAATTGATTGATTATTTTTGTAAAAAGACATGAGAGAGCGCGCGGTTCTTCTTTTTACTTGAAAAAACGAAAACAGAATAAAAAGCAGAGAAACGCCAGACGCGAGCAAGTGTCAGAAAAATCGTTGCGGGAGAAATGATTGACGGATTTTTCGGGTGCTCTCAAAACAAATCTCATTTTGATTGGCAGCATCTTTTCATCATAACCGTTTTTGTGTTGATCTATCTTTTAGCCTCTGTATATACCAACGCGGTATTTTGTTAGTCTCAAAATCTTTTACCCGCTCTTTTTCCGCTTTCGACACATCATTTCTCTTCTCCCCAAAAATAGATCCACCAAAAAGCGATCTATTTATCACTTGTACATTGAAAAAACCCAAAAGCAGCAAAACGCGAAACTGCAGGTTTGCTTTTAAAGGGCCTCTCCAGTTAAATTTGAAAGAACAAAAATATGTCTCATAACTGCCGTCAAAATCGCGATTGAGAAACTTACCTACCAATAAGGGTAAAATAATACAGGGTTTATTGAAACTTTTCCTCATTTGAGCCTTTTTAGGAAAGGCATATGAAATTTTTTCCTTATTTTTATGAATTTGAAGATTAACTTTCACTCAAGATTCAAATACTCTTTGGAAGGAAAAGATGAACCTTTGATGAGCCCCTGTGAATTTTTCTTTTAAAATTTTGGCTTCGATTATGAAATTTTTTGTTGTTTCATAAATTCAAGAATATAAATCATTGCTGGAAATGTCCTTTCATTTTTAATACTCTCTTGTGTACATTTCTTCTAGCTGCCCTTCACTTTCGCAGCCCGCGCTCCCGTTTTCCATTTAATTGCGAGCAACAACAATAAATTCTGCTTCAGACGTCCCAATTAAGCGGCATAAAAAGAAATGAAATGCCATCCGAGTAAATAGGACTGTGTAAATTGCTGTTATTGCTCGAGACGGTCGCAATTGTGAGTGGCCTACTTTCTGTCTGGGCGTAACACATCTCTTTTGCTGGCCATCCCCGGCACAACACAGATAATTTAATTCAGAAGAAAATTATTTTCAGTTTTTCGCTTCCCAAGGCAGACGAGATAAGAATTATGTAAAATCATTCTCGGACGTGTTTATTATATTTGTTTGTTTTGTGTTTGTCTGTCCCCCTTGTCAGAAATATACAAAACGAAATACACCATTCTTGTTCCAACCCCTTTCTGTTTTTGTACAAACCATTTCAAACGAGCAGATAACTAACACATTTGATTATTTTTAACTCCGCCACTCTGACGTTCTCCTGCAGAAAGTAAGTGTGCCCCTTTAGATCTATATCTGGATGGAATATTATTTCTTTTTTTTCTTTTTTCTATTTTCTAAATGTCCTATCTCACGATTGACGCTTTCTGCTATTCGAGTCTTTCATAAATGTTCTACATTTTAATCGATGTGCTAATATGTGTGTCTATTTGCAATATGTGTTTTTTTGTAATGCAAAAAAATGTGTCTTTGGTGCTCAGCAAAAAGAACGAAACACCAGTATCATTTTTTCACCTATACGCCAGTTCCTCACTGCTTGAAATCATGGTCCAACGTATTCCTCATATCACAATGCATTCATTTTTCATTTAAATTTAATCCTGCAGAACTATTATCAAATATGTTCTAACAATTATTTAGAGCGCCAGTGCTAGAAAAATGTTGGATAATTTTTAATACACTTTCCTGGAAGTCTTCACAGGAATGTTTCATAAATTTAATGGCTTGTTTGCAGAACTTCTTTAGTAATTTAAATATCTCAGTGTAATTTTGAGAAAAAGAAGTAAAAGATCAGAAAATCTAATTAAATTAGTATTATTAATTAGATCCACTTCTAAGAATTAATATTCAATTTTCTTGAAAACATATTTTGTACAAAGCAAAAAAGGGTCATGTCAAATTTGTATTCGTTTTGATTTATGTAATGATTACATTCAATTGAGAAAAGCTAAATTTCACAGATATCTTTGTATTTTCTTTAATTTCGAAAAGCATTTTCTTTCCGTAATAACTTTTGTAATTATTTAAATTATTGTTATTTTTTTTTAGTTAGAACAAACAGAATTTTGCAATCAATTGGGAAAAAATCAGAGTTCCTATACAAAGATTTTTCATGCCCCAAAATTTCCTCAATGTTTGAAAGCGTAGAAAAGAATTACAATGTTTAAGAGACTTTGGAGCTTAATTGTCTCTTGTCAATATTCTTTACAGGAAGTTGCGTCAGCGCTATTAAATTTAGCGCAAAATTTCCTTCCTTGAAACAAAACCACCCTCGTCTGAACACTCTGAACGTTCCAGATCGTTAGTGCGAGAAACTTTTCGTTCTTTTTGACAGCAGGCCAAGAAATTTGCATAAATATAACATTGCATTTATTTCTTTCATTCATTGCCACACTGGGACAAAAACCTTTCCTTCCTAACTCGGCTATATTAGTGTTTGTGTGTTATTTTCCTAGCATAAAAAAAGTACCCATTTCGGAAAACTCCTCTATTTTTGGGTTCCGTCCCGGAAAATGAGCTGCTTTCTCACATTACGAATTTATGTTTTCCCGCATTGCCGTATATTTAAGAATCGTGTGTATATATTTTTCATTTGGCCTTTCTTCCTCTCTCGAAGCATTTTGTCACGCCATCTCATCTCGAGAAAAGTCGGAAAACTGCATAAATTAAACACGCAAATGATATAGAAGACGGGCGCACGCAATTCAAAAGGGCGAGTTCTTCTCAGCACCCAACAGCTGTTTTGAAAAGGCCGAGAGAAGAAATTCCCTTCTGTGCAGTTCTCAGAGAGATTCGGGGCTATTTTTTGGCCCGGGGCCAACTGGGTGTATTTTTCTGGCCCGACGATCGCGGAGGGGCCACGTTTGCTCCGTTCTTCCTCAAGCCTTTATCTCCGGCGAGCAGCGTTTCTAAATATTTACATGTGTCGTGTGCTCTCGCGGTTTATTGTTCATAAAAGAAGCCCTGCCGCGCGCGGACACTATACTTTTCATCTACTCGCCGAAAGCATATAATATAAAACATTTTTTTTTAAAATTATTAGATTATACAAAGAAAACCATAAATCATTTCCGATTATTTTAGTAAAATTTCAGAAAATAATCGCAGTTTTGAGAGTTTTGCGGAAACGTTTTGTAAAATTAAATTCACACAAATATGATATTTGAGAAAATTTTAATTTAAATTCCTTTTACATGAGAATTTTCTAAGACAAATCGCAAAAACTCGTTACAGTAAAATGATTATTTAATCATGGTTTAAATTTAAGGCCGTTGGAAAATTATTTCTCATGTCATTATTTTGAAGAATATGCATGACTTTGGCAATATTTGATCTCTGTAAAATATCACACGGCTTCATGAAACTATCACACAAATAATATTTTGAAATTGTTTGTTCGGAAGCCAATTCGGTGCTTCTCTAAATAATTGATTTCGATTACACACGAGATGTATATTATACAAGTTAAATTTGTCCGCATGATCGCATCCTGCATGTTTTAGGAAAGGTGTAAGTGTGAAATATATTTTGCTATTTTGTGTTGTTGTTGAGTTTTAAAAGATTAAGAAGTTTTGATTTACTTAAAATAATTAACAAAGCTTCTTTCTCTTTTTTGGAAATTGATAAAACTACTGGAAAAAAATTGCTTGCACTGCATCTCACTGTCGCACGCAATTGGCTACTTTTAATTCTTCCTCGAGCCACAAATCTCTCGACAGCAACACCGTGCTAATCGATGTCATTTGCATTTTCAGCGAGGAAGTGGAGAGATGCCAAAAGTGGAGTGACAATTTCACTCAACAAATAGATCTAGCCTTCAATATATTTTTTATGGTGTACTTTTTTATACGTGTAAGTATAATAAATTCAAAGGGATAAAAATAACAATATTTGCGACCGAGCTTTGTTGACAATCTGACTGATGCTGCTTTTGTCATTCCAGTTTATAGCTGCAAGCGACAAGCTCTGGTTCATGCTAGAAATGTATTCGTTTGTTGATTACTTTACGATTCCCCCTTCGTTCGTATCGATATACCTGGATAGAACATGGATAGGTGAGTTGAAATAGAAAAATCATTTATATTAAAGAATTTAAAAATCAGAACCAAAACTTGTAATTTGTAAAAACAATTTAAATTTAAAAATCCAAAATAATTTCATATATGTAAAATATTTTGTTGTTTAGAACTTTTATTTGAAAATTGATTTTGCTAAATTAATTTTTTTTCTCAGGTCTCAGATTCCTCCGAGCCTTACGTCTGATGACAGTACCAGACATTCTTCAATATCTCAACATCCTCAAGACGTCGAGCTCTATCAGATTGGCCCAGCTCGTGTCGATCTTCATCTCAGTCTGGCTCACAGCCGCGGGCATCATTCATCTGGTGAGTTTCACACCTCATTGTTTCTCCGAGATTAAAAAAAAGCATTTCTCACTCCAGACCTTAATAACCTTCAGGCTTAGTTCAGAGTATTCAATCATTAATATAAAATATAAAAATGTTGATTACAATAATCAAAGTATTAAAATTTTTAATTCCTCCATAAGTCTAATCAATTTCAAAATGCTGCAGCTCCATATTTTTTAGTATGTTAATGTTATAAATTTAATCTATTAAAACAAGAAAATTAAGAATTCTTTGTACTGCGTTCAATGCTATCCAAATTGCAAATTAAATTACCTAATATTATGTCCTTTTTGAAAATATTCAACAAAATTTAAATGTTTGAGAATAATTTTATTTTATCAATTTAGCTGGAGAATTCCGGAGACCCTCTGGATTTTGAAAATCCACAACAACTTTCCTACTGGACGTGCGTCTATTTCCTAATTGTCACCATGTCCACTGTGGGCTACGGTGACGTCTATTGCCAAACTGTGTTGGGCAGGACGTTTCTTGTATTTTTCCTACTCGTCGGCTTGGTAAGTAATTTTTGCCTTCCTCCGCTTCACATATTTATTTAATAATTAAGACGACGAATTTCAAGTAAGATTAAGACTGATTTTAAGACAGAATTTTCAATATTTGAGGACCTTTTTAAGCCAGAAGTCGAGTACTGAGACACTATTATGAAAGATCAATATTATACTACTTTTCCCGTCCCTCTAAAATTCTCTCCCCTCTAACAAAATCCCGAACCCTTTTATGTAACTTTCTTGTTTCTCTTTTCTGCTTTGCCGTTCCTCTAACAGAGCTGAGTTTGGCTGGAAAATGCAGAATTGCCCTAATTCTCTTACACACGAATGTGTCCGTTCCGAAAAAAGTGGCGTCGACCTGGTGCTGCCTAAATTAGCACGCGTGTCTGTTTGCCCGTTAAGGAGCATCCGTCAATTTTTGTCCAACTAACAGGATATTATAATATTTTCTTACTTCCTTCCATATCTGCACTAACAATTAATTTCCACGTTTTAACAAAAAGAAAACGAGCATTTATTAATTTCACAAAAAAAAAACGCGGAAATGCGAAAATAATTATTATTGTTGTAATTAATGGCCGCAAAAGAGTGCGAGTGGTCGACCGGGCATTACATTTTAATATATATTCTCTTTGGAATTAATCAGCTCATCAGCACCGTCCACCACTCGGCACTACTCAGAGCAATTTACTTATTCACCAGCATGCAACATTTTAATTTCATTATTAACACTCAAATTAATTTCAAAACTGGGACGGCGAGTCGCAAATTAGTGCCATATATTTTGGTGTTTGCATGTTCCAAATTGACCGCGGTAAAAAAAAAATAATATTTTTTGCCAAAAAAAGTACTTCATCTTTATTATAGTGAAAAAAAGAATTCTTCTGAAATTTTAATTTATTTCCATAATTTCTATGCTTACTGCTTGGCATACACTGCTGCTATTTTTCGTTTCGCGTCGTTTATCTTAATTGTACATCTTGCAATCTTTCGTTCCAAAACTGAGTTTTTTCCGCTCAGAGCTTCATTCCATATCATGCACTTCGCAAAGTCAGGGTCATTTTCCTCAGTATTTGAAAATATTAATATTTTAACAGATAAGTTGTATTGCACTATTTTTAAATTGGCTTAGATGCATTTTAAAAATTAAAACTATTTATTTGGTCAATAACATTGGGCAAAAAATTGAAGCTTTGTATCTTTTAGTTGCTTTATTTGATATATTATGATGAGAATCTGGTTCGTTGATTTAAAATTCAAACTAGAATTTGGAGTATTTTTATGTTCTAAATTGCTACTTTTCTCTTGCTCGTGAAAAAGGGTTGCAGGTTATGATCAAAACTGATAAAGCCCTTTTTGGTTTTGAATAAAAACTAGAAAAAAATCTTCAACAAGAAAAAATCTCGTTTTTAACTCCTAAATTAGAATTTTTAATGATTCAAAACGATATTGTTTTATAAAAAGACATTGTTTGTTGTGCAAAACATATTTTTATTTTATTTATTTGTTCCATTTGTAAAAAAATTTATATATTTGTGGAAAATATTTGAGGAAAATGCAAAAACCGACTTTTTCACCCGCCCTTTTTCATTGACCACCCACTTTGAAAGCAATCAGTTTTTTTCAGCCATGTGTAATATTTCTATGAGTGCATTTATGACCATTTTAAAACGCATTCTCTTTGTACCAGGCGATATTTGCGAGTAGTATTCCGGAAATTATTGAGCTAGTCGGGACTAGGTCCAAGTACGCAGGCGAATACAAGCAGGAGCATGGAAAGAGGTAGACATTCGAGAGCGGCGCGCATAATTTTGTCAAATTATGCGGCCCAATCTGTTTGACTCTCTGGCGCTAATTGTACGTGCAGCTGTTGTAAATTACTGTGCCCCACCTTTTCTCGCTTCAAGTGTCACTCTATATAAAGCAAAAAAAATGAAGCCTTCGGAGTGTAAAAGAGTCTGCGAGGTGGACACTCGACGGCGAAGTCACAGAGCTCATGCAAACAACAAAATTTTTCTTTTCGTTTGATTTCGTTGCAACGTTTTCCGCTTTTTGTGTCGCTCTCTCACCAATGAGACTAATGGCAAAGTAAACACTTATACGCAGCTATAGGAAGCGATTTGGAAGAGCAATCGTGGACATTTTTTTTATGTAAAATTTTTATTAATTTCCACCACTAACTGTTTTGCGACTATTGAAATCACACTGCTCCCGAGTTTTTTAATCACAATGAGCCGATTGGCCTAATTATAGTGTTGTGGTGCTGGAGTTTCAAGTTTTTATTTTCTCACTTCTATATTTTTTTATCTAAATGCTGCTGTGAGTGTTGTTTTTCTTTGTAAACCGACTCCGAGGGTTGAAAACTGGTGGAAAATGTTGTTTTCCCCCCTTCGAGTCCGTACTTATATAATTTTGACCGGCCTGGTTATTGACATGATTTTTTGATTGACCCCGAAATTAAGTTTTTTCTTCAACTTTCTTCTACTAGTGCTGTCTGGTTGACGATTAATTAAATGTACCTCCCTCCCTACACTCTCAGTCTGTCAGAAAAAAAGAATCAAATTTATAGGGAAGTAAAATGAGAGCAAAGATAATCTTAAGTCAAAATTTAATTATAATGTGTGCCGTCACTTTTTCACATTAATTGTAAGTTTTAATATTATATACATTTAGTTGACAGAAATTGTTAGTTTCTGCTACCACACTATTTTAATTATAATAATTCCACTCAAGATATTGCTGCAAACTCATTCTTTGTTTTTCCATTTCCAATCTGGTTAGGCTGTTTTTGCGAGCTGGATTCCGGAAATAACCGAGTTGGTGGGCAACCGCTGCAAATACGGCGGCGAGTACAAATCGGAGCGGGGAAGGAGGTACCCTTTTGTCTTTCAAAGATGCGATCATGCTGCTTACCTTCCCAGTTTGACGCATTGTCGATTAATCCACCACATACCGATTATCAGTAAAAACTAAAATGTGCTGCTCAGATTTACTCTCCTCCATCTGTATCTGTATAAAAGTCAAAATTCTCTTATATTATTCTGTATAATACGTTTGTTCTTTTGAGTCTAGCTAGTTGAATTAACCGCCGAGTTTGGACTTTTCATATTAATCCTCTCACATATATAAAATTTGATCGAACTTATATATTAATATTCTAACCATTTATATTATACTCATTGATCTAACTAAACCGGCAGTATGACTACATTTAGGTGCAGAGAATGGTTTTTGTCATGTGGTTGAAAGTGGAACTTTAAACTACCTCCTACACCGTATCTTAATTGCTCTTTTAACGAGAATCTGCATGCTGGTTAAAGTGGGTTTCTCTCCTGATGATAAAAATAAATACACTACATTTTCAAATATAAACCTCTGAAAAAGAGCGAAATAATGAATTGGAATTTATTCACTCTCTCTTGGAAAGATCTACTTTAATCACTTGTAGCAATTGATTTTATTTTTAAACTGTTTCGTCCGTTCCTTTGGTTTTCTCTTTTTATACTAATTAGTATGAGACGTTTCTTGGTAGCATGTGGAAAATCTCTCTCTTATATATACTTGCAACATATATACCACATATATATATTGATAATACCATTTTTGGACCGAATCCTCCTTAAATGAAGGAGACTTTAATGCGGAGCAGAATTTGTGATACTCTCATTTGCTCAATTATTTTTGCTACCGTAGAGTAGAGAAATATTCCTAGAATATTGTCTTCACTCCTCCCCCGATGTAGAGCACACACACATTTTTTGCGACGTCTTTTGAGAAGTATATTTTTGGCACTCTCTCAAAGATCGACGAGACACTTTTCGAGATAAATTACATTAAATCAAGAATTTTTCCAAAGAGAATATTTTGTAATATCTATCGAAATGCTCAAAATAATTGCTCAACCAAGAAACTGATCATAGCGTGGTAAATATGGTATTTAACCGTCATTTTGTGTTGCCCAGTTTATTATATTAATTAATCACTATAACAAACTCGTATTAACTCCTGTCTCAAACACCCCCCACTTGACCCCCTTCTGATTATTTTTATCTCATATATACAAGCGGATCGAAATAATTCAAATTTCTGCATTACTTGTAGAAATGTCTCTTTGATGCAAACGTAAAAAGGTTTCAAATATTTCGACGCCTTTTTTGCATAAAAGTAAAACAAAATTTCTGCAGATTTTTTTTCCACTCTTGGCGATAAATTTTTGTAATAATTAAAACTAACTGTATATATAATTATCTCATTGAACATTTCTAACCCATTTAATTAAAACGTGATTGTTATTCTAAAACGTAGGCGATATTCGCGAGTTGCATTCCCGAAATCATTGACCTCATCGGAACTAGACCCAAGTATGGTGGTACTCTCAAGAATGAAAGGGGACGAAGGTAACTTTCAACATTCTAAACCACAATTTATATATTTTTTTTATCATTGATGGGTATCTTCCCTTTTGATTGGTCGTTTATATAATCAAAATCAGCTCCATAGTCATTGACTCTTAATACATGGTTACTGTACAAATTGTTTTTTTGGCGAATAGAAAATCAGTCACCTTTATTGTCATTTAAGCTTCTATTGTTATAATCCTACCTATAGCGTTCACACGGTTTGATTTGTTTGTTTTTGATGGCCTTTTTTGTGTAGAATACAATTTTTTTTTTACAAAAAAGATTTTTGAATATGAATATTCACAAAAACAATATATACGTCTTGACATTTAGCGCCGCGATGTTTCTTTGACATGTCGAATTTTTCAGCATGCAGAGTTTTTCTTTCGGAATCTCTCGATGTACTTTTTTGTTCTTATACACATTATCATATATATTTAACAATAATAATTTCTCACTGCATAGGATTTTTAGAGGCTAAATATATAATACCCATTTGATTTGGGCAAGGTTAACTTTTTGCTGCTGTAGCATGAAGAACCACACAATCAGTTTCGGGCGAAACCATGATTTTTTTCACTTGTTTACATTTTTCCTGCTCTTTTCACACACACTCTATACTCAATGTCGATGGAAAACTAATAATAAAAATCAAGTCAAATATCTCGGAAAGTGGCAACAAAATTCATCCATTGAAATGCTAAACCATATGATAATTTATAAAAACTTTTAGAAACTCATCCCCGTAATTTAAAGTAGTTTGATTCGAAACTCTCCCCTACTTGTTTAGAATTATATATAATATAGCTGAGGTTGATGAATTAATACACCTATAGTGGTGCGGTTTGTTCAATACTTTCCCCGTCTCTAGAGCCAGATAGTGTTATGGTAAATTTTGTGGTGCATGCTTTGTTGAGAATCTCATTTTGATTTTTGTGTACATACAATAATTAATTACTCTGCTGAGAGTCTTTAACTCTCTCATTAAAAAAAAAAAAATAAGAAACTTCATAACTTCCCTTGCTTGATTGGTGTTTTATTTGATGTTGTGTCTGTCGTTGACTCAATGTTCAAAGTAAGATAAAAACAGGCCCCATAATTTAATTGCATACCCAGGCTGTGGGATGATTCATGCAAAATGCCGGTAGAGCAGGTCCTCGAAACGAAGTAGTCGAGGATGGCGAGGCGTTTTGCACGAGTGGCCGCGCCCGATGCAGCAAAGGAAAGCAGCCCTTAACTGAATTTAAATTCCGCATCAACCCTTCTCGCCCGCTGGCCGAAGGGTTGATTTGACTTTGAAATTATTCACAGAGGCCTTTTCCGCTTTTCAGGCATATTGTTGTGTGCGGTCATATCACTTATGAGTCCGTCTCGCATTTCTTAAAAGACTTTCTCCACGAAGACAGAGAAGATGTTGACGTGGAGGTTGTGTTCTTGCACAGGTAAATATGAGTTTTTCTATTTTTATCAATTTTAAAGATGCAAAAACACCGATTGGCTTTGGTAGTACAAAAAAAAAACATTCGTGAAAGACGTTTCAAATGCAAGTGATAAAATTTTAATGCATTTGACACGGCCTTTCACTCTTTCACAACTAACGAGTTTTCTGTGTTTCCACCTGGGAGAGCTGCAGTGGCGCCGATTTTACAAAATCGATTTTTATCCGAGCTTTTTTTCCAGCATATTATACTTTAGCGGCTGGGCAGCTGAGCATTTTATCAGATTTTTTCGATCGCTATGATTTCTAAAATGTTGATGAACCCGCAGGAAGGAGCCTGATTTGGAGTTAGAAGGTCTTCTAAAGCGTCACTACACGACAGTGAAGTTTTTTCAGGGTACAATGATGAATGCAGTTGATCTTGAGCGCGTGAAGGTAATTGCACTGCCTCACGAAACATTTATATAAATATAAAGAAAAAAAATTATTTTTACCAAAGAAACAGAGAGCAATCAAGTTTCCCCGTTGATTTCCATTTATTAATTTGATATTTATACATATCTCACTCTATATTTTTGGAATTGTATTGTGCATCCTGCAACGATTTGAATTACCATATCTGCGAGGCAAACTAGTCACACAGCATTTTTACATTATTCATAATGGCAGTATATAAGAGAAAATCAATGTATTTTGACTTAAGTTGGGCATGCTCTGAGCTGATCGTGCTGGCATTATTAAAATTTATTCTTATCTCCGATCTCTATTTGATTCGAGAGTATCGTCTCTGCATGACTTTTTGTATAATATCTCATTTTTTTTTTACATATATATTAAATATATATACAGCATACGACATTAAATAACTCTTAGATTTATATTTTTGTGATTGATTGACTGATTGATTAGAGTTGAAAAAAAAAATGCTTTTTTGGCCGGCGTGGCGAAGGTATAGTATTTTTTTAGAATTTCCTTTTTATATATAATCGGACTAAAATTGTCTAATTTGGCCGCTGTGGTGGTGCTGCTGAGAGATGCTGCAATCATGATTTTTTTGTTTTAATTTTATTTTTAAGATACTTTTTTGATTTGTGATGATTTTGTATTTTTTCCAACTTGCTTTAAAACACACGATACGATGCAGAAAGCCACCTGACTTAGAGCTGGAAGGCTTATTCAAGCGCCATTTCACCACTGTAGAGTTCTTCCAAGGGTCAATCATGAATCCGATCGACCTGCAGAGGGTCAAGGTAAGAATCGAACATGCAACACACACCTTGGTGTACGATTTGTGTTGTATAGATGAAAAATTAAGGAGGAGAGAAAAATTCCAGACAAGAATTTTCTTTTCCACAAAGTGTGGTCGTATTCATTTCCACTTTCGTTCAGTGTGTTAATTTTATACTGTGACATATTTTATTGGACAAATTTTGTATTAAAATGAGTTTCCTCCTTCATTTCACTCTATTCTTCAAAGTGGGAAAATGATATTATAATATTATATATAAATAGTGAAAAAAAATGTTTTAACAAAAATACCTTTAATGAAGTTATAACCAAATATACTCCCTCTTCTGATTATATGTCTCGAAACATCAGACACACAGCAATTTATACCAAACCACACAAGTTTAGCGGGAGATAATTAATAATTTAGATCTCAAAAATTACAAACCAATAATTGAGGCAAGTTTAGACCCAATTTAGAATGTTTTGACCTTGGACAAAATTTTAACTTGGTAAGTCGTCTGCCCTTTGATCTCAAAATTAAGCAGATTATCCGAGTCTAGCACCATACATTTAAAAATTACCACACCTTTTTATTTAATATAGAATGAGGGAGTTCGCAAGTTCAGTTTCCAATTAATAACTGTTTAAAAAAATGTAAAACTTGCGGAGTTCCTTGTTTTTTTTTAACCTCTAGTTTATTCATGGACTTTTCAAGTGCAGTAGATTTTTAAAAGGACGAAAAAATTCCTCTGTTAATCTAAAAGTCTTGCTTATACTAACTTCTTTGCTTTTCCAAATTAACAAAATTTTCAAACTTTCATATAAGCAACACCAATTCGTGGATATATCTTTTAGAAAGTAGTGATTTTTATATAATTTGTAACATCTTCTAGTCAATCCAGAGCATTATGATGTCTCTCGTTCGTCATGTTGTCTGTATGTAAATCATTTTAGAGTGGAATGGCAGATTCAGAGTATATATTCCAACTGTTGTCGATGCATGCATGAATGCAATTTACCAATTTTTTTTTTTAATTATATTATTTTTTCGTTCTCCTAGACAGTCGTAATAGCGAAAATTCTCTGCTCAAAAAAGTGCTGCGCGCTTTAGATTTTTGAAGCATGCCCCTTTTTATATACATACCTGATTGTTTTCATGCTTATCTTCAAAAAAATAATTTCAAATTTTTAAACGAAACGATTAAAATTTTGAAGCAAAACAATGGGCTTTTTTAAATTACAGAAAAAAACATGCACAGCCCAAGATATTTAATCATTAATTTTATTTTCAGACAATACTCACATTTTTTGCCTTCTCGCGATTTAGGTTCACGAAGCGGACGCCTGCCTTGTATTGGCAAACAAGTACTGCCAAGATCCGGACGCTGAGGACGCCGCTAACATCATGCGAGTCATCTCGATCAAGAATTACTCGGACGACATAAGAGTTATCATCCAACTGATGCAGTACCACAACAAGGCAAGATACCACACAAATTAAATAATCTCATTTACAATATTTTAAAACATAGTTAAAGTTTTTTAATTCCATAATAATTTTCTGAATAAAAAATATAAATTTAAAGTAACAATTATTTTCTTATTTTGCTGTTTATTTAATTTAACTTTTAAATTTTTTTGTAATTTTTATATTTTTGTTGAAAATAAAACCTCGATAATGATTTTATTTTACTTAATAAATAAAACAAATTTTTTTTTTTATATTTATTAATTGGAGAATTTGCATTTATTTTAACATAGCCCTAAATGAATTTACTTTCGTTTGCAATGGATTGTTTAAATATTGATAAATTTATTCAATAAAATTATAAAATATATTTTTCTTTACAAATTAGAGAAAATAATTTTAATTCATCCAAACGAAATCTGATCCGGAGGCAAATTTCAGCTTTCGTGAAACTTGTTTTGTGCGCACTTTTATATGCTCTGAATTCCCTCAGGCCTACCTTTTAAATATTCCATCGTGGGACTGGAAACAAGGCGACGACGTCATCTGCTTAGCAGAGTTAAAGCTCGGTTTCATCGCACAATCGTGCCTGGCCCCAGGATTCTCCACAATGATGGCGAATTTATTCGCCATGCGCTCATTCAAAACGGTGAGTCAAAACCATTTTTCACTCGTAAAAAAATCTTTCAAATAAAATCTTAATTGAACGCAAAATTAATACGAATCGAGAGAAATTTAAAATTTGAAAAATGATTTTTTTAGTCGCCGCATATGCAGGCGTCGCAGAATGATTATTTAAGAGGCACCGGTATGGAGATGTATACCGAGAATTTGAGCCCGAGTTTTGTGGGCATGACTTTTGCACAGGCGACAGAGTGAGTAGCCGCGGCTTCTCTGCAAACAAGCGGTGCTGTGTCGTACTTTCGTACACGAGAAATCAGGAACGCGCGTTCGAGAGATGCGGAAATAAAATCATCTCTTCCTATTTCTTCACTTTTGTCGTTCCTGTTTCTCACAGAAGCGAACTCAATGTCCGTATCTTGAACTGTGTTTCTTTTACGTGAAGATAAAAAAAAAACGGCGAGACTCAAGGCCGCGCTTTCCAACTTCACAAGTACCTTCAAAACTGCCTCTCTAAAGTTGCTTTTGATGGCTGTTGTATTACGTTCTCCTCTGCTGCTTTGATCCGGTCAATTGTGACATACATAATAATGTTAAATTCCAGTCATGTGTACTTGTACGTCCTCCTCGAAAAGTTGCTGAGAGCATTCTTTCATTCTTGTACATAAACGTTATTGTGACATAATAAATCCAAAATCCACCTATTCAGCACTTTTACCAAAAACTTCCCCTCTTCTTATTGCCATCATTTATCAGTTCAGTGTAAAAACAGGATGAGATTTTTTTATATAATATTATAAAATTCTGTCTCAAATAATTTGCTCAAAGTTTGTGTGCAATAGTCCCCAGATACACAAGCTTGGCAAAATGACTACCTGCAAGGGACAGGATGCGAAATGTACACCGAGACTTTGTCCCCGTCATTCACTGGGATGACGTTTCCGCAAGCCAGCGAGTAAGTCGGCGCCCCTTAAATTTCATACTTACTCTGACGTTATTTACACACACATTCATCACACTTAACAAGTTGAAAAATGATGGCACAGGCCAATTTGCATGCCTTTTCTTCGCACGACCGCTTCTTTCTCGCTCTCTCCGGACCTTCTGCCTTCTTGTTACGTGTGTCTTGTTTGTGTGCGTTGGAAAACAATTGGTTTATTTCGGAAAGATCAGTTGTTTTCCGCAGTGAGGACCAACGTTCATTCTTTGCGATTAATTGCAGGTTGTGTTTCACCAAGCTCAAGTTGTTGTTGCTGGCGATCGAAATCAAAGGCGAGGACGGCAACGACAGCAAAATCTCGATCAATCCCAGAGGGGTCAAAATTCAGGCGAGCACACAGGGTTTCTTCATCGCACAATCGGCCGACGAGGTCAAGAGGTCTGTGCCTAGGCAACCGGAGCGTCTTGACTGACGAGCGTGTTGCATAATTTTGCCAAAATTAATTTTAAAAAAATCATTCATTTGAGCAAATTGATCTAGTTTCTTCACGCACTTTATCTTTTGCAGGGCTTGGTTCTATTGTAAGGCGTGTCACGACGACATCAAGGATGAAACTCTAATAAAAAAGTGCAAGTGCAAAAATTGTGAGTAGCCCTTGATCCAATTATGCATCTTTCTAGAAATTTTCTAATGAGAATTTTTAATTTGATTTATATTTTTCATTTTATATATTTTTTTTACGGTTTTACTTTACAAATTTCTGCCACAGAGTCTTAAAAGATGAAAATAGCTCAACTCTACTTAAGTGAGCCATCGGCGTGATGACATGAATTAATTAATTAAGAGTGCGAGCTATTTTGCAATCTACAATAATTGGCTGATGCTCTCTATCATTATGATTTTTATCCGTGGCCAAAACGAGGCCCACTATGTATTAAATTATTATTTTTTATTTCCATATATTTATATTATTATGCATTGCAGATATAATGTAAAAGTCTATTTATATTATTATTATTATGATAATGTCTATCTCCGTTTCTCTCTTTCGCATGCCCTGTACTCTACTTCTTCAGAACCCCTTTTTCAAAATCAGAAAAAAAGTGAAGAACAAAAATTGTTTGGGTCAAACTTGAATAATCGGCAGAAAAATCCAAATCAGTTCAGCCAAACAAACACAGGATTAGATTTAATAAACCACTTCCCACATAGGCATATAGAAGAGTTTTGTGCATTCCAAAAAAATTGCTAGACGGAGGGTATCATGAGGTTTTCTGTTGTAAATACTCCAAAATTAATCCACTGGACTAACCATTTAGTGAGAAATGTTTGTTGTGGTGCAAAAATACCACACGGCATTGCACCAAAAAAAAATTGCAAGCTTATCTGACTAACCCTTAGTGCCAAATTTAATGGTGAGATACACATTTTTCATTCATTTGAAATAATCTGCGAGGACGATGAATTGTCAGGAACAACAACTTGTGATGCTGCAATATTTGACATGTTTTCTCAATTCTCTGTTTTAATGGACACTTTCAGATGTGGGGATGATGATGATGCAGTCAGGAATGGTGAAACAAGGCGGTGTTAGTGCCTCCAACTATGAGAAATTTACATCAGAGGGTAGGGCTTCATGCAACAAGCACTCGCAGAAATATATAAAATACAATTATTGACTAGAAAAACGCATCAACAGTTTGTTTTCAATTATTTCTCGTAAAATTCTCAAGTTTCCGTTCGATTTTCTCTTTCCTCAAGCTTCCTATATTTGGATTTGTCATTTTCCATTCTTCTCTATATCTCGCATCTTTTTTGGATCTTGGTTTTCCTTTGGACTTTCGATTCAGTTTTTACCTGCATTACAAAAATATTTCTTAACAGTTTGGTATTTCCAATTTTTCTTTATTATTTATTTTCAAAATTGTTTAACATGCTCACATTTTTAACATCCCGGTTGAAGATTTGTGATCCACTCAAAATATTTTAATTTAAGCATAAAAATATGATCCCCAATTGCATTTTAATCAAATCGTCTGATAAAAACAGGCAAGAGGTCAAAATTATATAATAATATAGCTGGAAACCTAAATTGAAAGTAAATTGTTTTCACAAATGTCACTTCTCGTCTGTTTAAAAAGCACTCCTGATAATGCATGAGTGCACAAATTTCCAATATGGATGCTAACATATCACCAAACTAAATCAGAAGTTCGCGCAATTCTAAATTGATGCTGTTTTGAAGAAAAAAAACGCTGCGAATTTTTTATTTGCTTCTTCATGTGCCGGAAACTGCTGCTTTCACTGTCTGCGCCCTCCAGCATAACTAATTGTGCTGAAAATTAATTTAATTCATTCAAAAAGAAAAATGATTTTTAACTGTAATGCAGGTAACTTAATTAATTATGCTCACTTTTTGTATTGGTAAAAGAACGATCGGTAAATATTTGTTTAAATTTTCTTTCTTTTTTTGGATGAACCGATTCTTGGTTTTTTTTAGAGGTCACCATTGACTTAATTGTCCTTCTGCTATTTGCTGCTGGCGCTGATGCTGCTATTATTTAATTTTTATTTTTGTCCAGTATATATAAATAAAAAAAAAGGATGAGCTGCTGCATTTTCTGTCAAACGTGAACTAAAAATCGGAAATTAATTTTATTATTACTATTATAAATGCTTTAAATTTTTTTACATGATTCTGTCTCACTCGGATTGATGAGGTGCCAAGCACACTTAAGCCTGAGAATCACGCGTGGGCAGTAAAATGAGACATAATTAATTTCATAAAAAATAATTAATGAATTGAGAAATTCAAAATAGTTGATAGATTCATTAATTCCAACTAACATTCCAAACTGCATGGATATAAATAAAGTCTGAAAATTAGTCCCTCCTCACAAAACTCAAACCCCTGTTTAAATGTCATTTTGCTGCACACTTTACAAACAATCAGTTCGTCAAACAATATAATTTAATCAAATTTAGATTCGCCAAAGAGCAATAAGGGCAAATAACTGTGTCTTGCATCGCACTCAATACCAACTTTGGCTAGGAGCTTGCTGAATCTCTTTTTGAGTCAATGAATCCAAAATCTAGCTAGGACAGCTGAGCCTGATTTCTTTTTACTTTTCTGTAGCCTCTGAGTCTAAACTTTGGTCACTTCAATGCAATATTTTTTCGTACGTCCCTCACACAAATAAAAAGGAATAAGCTTGCAACGTCGAAGAAATTCCAAGGAAAAAACCTCCGATTGACATAAAAAAATTAACACGTTCAACACTTATTTTCGTGGGTTGAGGTATCACATTCATAGTGGCGATAGGGTTATTTTGTCAACAATCAATACACCCCTCTCTCTTTCCCTTTGCTGTCTTCGCACACTTCAAAAAAATCAGTCAGATATAAAACTAACACACACGGCGTTTTGTGAAATATGCGAAATATTATAAATTAATGGTTTTTATTTTTGTAAAAATATTTAGGAAAAATCTCTGTGACAGGCGTGTTTCATTTTGAAAAGAACTCGTCAGTGTCTATATATTTGTTGTCATTTATATATTTTTACTTATTATCATTATTATTTATTATTTTCATAAAATGTGACTAAAATAGCTTTGTTTTTAACATCAACTATATGTTTCTAATTTTTCTCTGCCCTATTCATCTCATAGTGGCTACTTTTCGGAAGGGTGTTCGTGCTATACAGTTATTCGGAAGGGCAAGTACGTATCACACACGTGTATCAACTTACTTTCAAACCAAGAGTGTTTTTTTATTCACACATTAATTTATTATACACAAGATTTTTTCATTGGCTCTATATATAATTATCTCTCTTTGTTGTTCCCCGTTGAGATAAAAAAAAATAATCAAAGAATCTTTCAAAAAGAGAGCGCTGCAAAAATGCTTTTCTTAACCTCGTTTGACCGCTTTTTTAAAATAATAAGAAATCCATTTTGACGTTCTCTCTCTCCATTCACGTTTCCTCTGTCTCTCCGCGATTCACTCGTGAAAACTGTAGGCTTTCGTGTTTTCGTCTCTCATTAAAAATAAAAAATGACACAGTTCCCTTTTTGCAACGAATCATTTCATCCATTTCTCATAATCATCAATGTTTCACCTGTGTCTTATTGAATGTGTGTTGTTGTGTGATTGAACGGCGTCAAAATGTTTTGTAATCTTTTATAACAACCAACCGTGAAAACCGACTAATTTTTGTGTCTATCTTTTCCATATTTACTCGTTCAAACGGAAATCTCTTTCGGATTTTCAACCATTTTTGTTCGTATTTCCAAATTTATAAAAGAAAACACACTCAACACTGCTTTTTTTCAAATTCACAACACAAATACTTTTGTGCGATTGGCATACGAAACGAACACGCTATGTTTTATTGCTCAGATTGGATATTTATTTGTTTTTTAATGTATTTTTCTTTTTCACCTCGTTGTTCTAGATTCCTGTTTAAAATCGGAGAAAACTTCATTTTCTCGTGCGTGTGAGTGTATAAGTGTCGTTTGGTGTGCCTTTTGATTGATTTTCTCGTCATAATCGATGTCATTTTCCGCAGAGATTTTTAAACACTAACACTTCTGTTGAAAAGATCGATCGCAAACTCATTTAATCCGAACCCACCCTCACATCACATTAGCTCTCCCGAGTTCATTTTCTTGATAGACCTTTTTTAACCCAATCTCTATAATCAGCAGGGTGTTCTAGAACTTTGATGGCTTTATATTTTAGAAGTTATCGAAAAAATAATCAGTGTTTGGTGTGTCCTGCTCCAACTTTTTTGATAAAAATTTCGGCAAAACGCGGGGCCAAAATTATAATAACGATGCCACATAAAACAGAGTCAATTTTTAACGAACAGAAAAAAAACACTACAATAATTCATATACATTTGGCTTTGTGTATGGCTAGTTGCTCATTTCTCGTCAACATTTTCGACCGTTGTTCTAATTATTATTATTCTATCTGTCCTTTTCAATACTTACTCTCTTCATCCACATAGGCGAGGATTATTCCTATGAAAGTAAGTTTAGGCGATTACTTTCCAATTTTCATTTCTATATACTAAAGAAAGTTTGTACAATATGCTAAAAATCACATTTTTATTTTGAACCAGTAAAAATATACTGTGTGCTTATTATTATAAATAAATTAAACATTACATTCATATTTTATATAATTTATAAATAAAGTCCACACTCTACTGTCGGTGAAAATGAGATGATGGTTGACATTAAAATGACATTCCGTGTTGCAATATTTTCCATTTTAATATTTGTTCTCATTATTTATTATTTTGGGCAAGGTGTATTATTATTATCATTTGATTTCAGAGCCACCCATATTTCAAATTTTGAGTGTTTCTGTTTGTATATTATCTAGAGACTTACTTAGGAGTCGTCAGCACTGAAATGCGTTTTTAACTCACGCTAATTTTTGCTGCCAAGTTGACCATTATTATAATCATACATTTGAGAACCAGCTCACAAAATATCGCGCTTCTTTGAACCAAAAGAAAAGTTATACCGGCGGGTGTACGATTAGCTTATATAGGGATCGAAGAGGGTGTATTTTGAGACCCTGAACTAATTCACATAAAATGTCCTCGCTTAACCCCATCGACATTCGGCGATTTTCATTCTCTAAAGTTGGGGTTAGTTCAAAATGTTTTATGTGAAAAGGAAGTAAATAAAGTAAGCCCCTCGCGTTGGGTTTTTCCGAAGAATTAATCAAAACGAGAATACAAGAAAATATTGCATGGGTTGGGAGCACTTTGTTTGCCGTTTGCATAATCCGCTTGCCTGCTTGATGCATGTTGCTTGCGCTACTTGGTGTGCTGATAAAAAATATTTTTTCTGTTTTTCGATTTCATTAGATCAAAACTCACTTGCAGAAGTACCGTGCACGTGCGCATGCTAATTTTCTGTCTCTATTATATTGGTGTGTCTTTTGATGGATTTGCTGCTGACTAAACGATTAATATATTTAAATATTATCAAGCCAAAGTATTTTTGGCATTATACTGTTGTGTGTTTTTAAATGTTAGTGATAATCGCAGAGTCGAACATTTTCTTATTATCTGCTAAAAAGTTGTTTATCAAATAAATTTCACTCGTTCAGTCAAAAGTCTCGATTTTCACCTTTTGATATGATTAAAAAATTCTTGCTTAATTGGCCCGACTATTTTCTCACGAAAATCGGCCACGACTCGTAGTCGCGAGTTGTGCGCCGATTTTTGGTAAAATTTTAAACTCTCGGGTCCCTGGGAGGGAATTTCAATAAGATTCTTAGTCATTTTTTTCTTGGGCTGTTTCTTGCAGATGACTTCCACCCTCCCCCCACCTTTACGCCTCCAGAGTTACCAAAGAAGGTGCACGTAAGAGGTACTATTTTTAAGACAAAAGGCGATTTTACTCTTCTATTCTAATCATTAAGCAATCTGTTTCACGTCTCACAAACCTTCTCTCACCACCGAGATGGTCTGCAATTTTCCTTCCCGCTCCAAATTTTTTTCCAAATTTAATCCTTCCCAAAAGAAAAAGAAAAATAATATATGATGTGCACGCCTTTCTGGTTAAATTAATAATTTACTAAACCCTGATCCAACCCTTAATTGTTAGACCATTCATCCCACTTAAACCACCACTACTTTTCTTGACAATCGAGTGTGCTTGTAGTATGTAATTGTTCAAATAGTGCATTTCTACCAATTAATATATTATTCCCTTTCCGTAGAAGAACACACAAACACGACACATGACACATTATAACAGAACACCTTTTCAAGCAACTTTCATTTATTCTTCTGATATTGCTATCCTCTCTATTTTAACGCCGTAAATATGGCAATAATAAATTTATTTTTAAAACTTTTTGACAAATTTGTGCTTTGAATTTTCTTGACAGTATTTTCATGAAGCAACAACACACAACTATTCGAAAACACTAAACTGACTTTTTTCGCGGTTTTTGTACAGTGTCAACCTCATTGTGTATTTTTGTACAGAAAAGTGCTTTGATTCAAACGGTAACAACCTGTTTAAATTTTAAACAACACACCCTACGAATGATGTAAAAACTCCAGCCTTTTTCTCCCGTCTTACTTAAATCAGAGCACATTCAATATACTTATTAGTCACGCGTAGTGTCCCCCATAGGATTAAGGTGCATGATAGGCTAATTAATTGGAAGGATTTTCTCAATAATTGCACGACAACATTTAAAAAAAACTAATACCTTACATCAAATAATATGTAGCCATTTAAAATTGTATTAACTTTTAAAATTCCAATTAATTAGCTTAGAGCAAATCTATATTTAAATGTTTCTTAAGACTAACTGAGCAGAAGTAACAATTTTAACCATACTAATAGCTTAGCTAGAGATTTTTGCCACCCTTGATCCTTTTCTTTCCACCCCCCGAGCCGAGGAAACTACTTTTGTCACAAAAGAATTAGTCTCTCTCGCCCCTCCTGGAAGAAACCCGCCCTGATGTCGATCAAATTTTCACTCACTCTCACGCAGATCATACCTGAAGCAATAAGTTTTATTAAGGCTAGGGATTAGGGAACGTTAGGACCCCAGCACACTCAGTATGTCACTAGCATTTAAAATTCGTGTGAGAGATTGCCAGAGCCACGGATTAATCGTTGCCGAATTCCATTGCAGGTGAAACGCAACGCGAAAGAGAAGATGCAAGTGAGTAAAAACAAATTTTTTTAATGCTTATTGATTAATAAAAAATTAAAATTATATTTGGTTTAAATTTTTTTAAAGTCCCTCCTAAATTCTCATTTTAATTAAAGTAGAAAAATTTACTATAGTTTTTCTTGTGCAACGATTTTTAATTTTAATAAATGGAGTAAAAATTGCATTTAATTTCGTTTAGTATAAAAAATTAGCAACAAACTGATTTTGTCAATAATCTTAAATGTATTTTCTTTCAATTTTCAGTGCTGGCTAATCGCGGTACGCCTCGAAATGTCCCTCAAAATGCACTGATGAACGCGACAACCAAGCAGATCAGTAAGGTCAAGGGCACCGCCAATCGCAACACGCCCGACCTGACCTCTCCGAACCAGTTCAACAACAGGTACGGTTCCGACCGACGATCTAGAGCTCTTTCGGGAAAACGCCCCAAGCTAAACCATAATCATTCAAATGTGCACCAGCACCAATTGGCGCACAATTAATAATCGTTCTCCACATTTTCATTTTTTTTCCATTCAAAAACTCACTTATCCATGTGGCGCTTCCACCGGACTTGGCGGAATTAGTTTCCTAACAACAGGGTTAATTCCGCCAATCGACTATTCCGCACCACCACCGTCTCTCTCTCTATCTCACTCAACTGGGCCGTGTGCAATATGATTCTTGCATTTCAGAAACCAGCAACAGGAAGACACGTCAGGCGGGTACCCTGGCTATCACCTCGCATACGAAGTGAAAAAGCTCATGTAGGCCCTCAATTCATGGAGTCTGTTGTTATTATTCCTTCTTTCGATATACCTTGTCAAACAAAATTATTGAGTCGATATCGTGTACAGTTTTGAACTATTCCAAATTTTAGTTGAAATAAGCTAGAAACCCCATTTTAGTTGTTTACGTGTCGCTGTTAATAAAATGTTTTGTCGCGAACAATTTTTAAGCATGGACGGAGGCGAGACATAATATATTTTTCAAAACTTTTTATAGGCGTTTAGGGGATGAATTCATGATGCATGTAATTTGTTACTCAAATTACTTACACACACATACATCAACAGCCATGCACGCTCGCTTGCAGCACCACACGAGATATTTTGGCTATTTTTCACACTTCTTTTTATTACATACTTTTAATTTTTTTTTGAAATATATAATACATTTTTAATACAAGCAAGGATTTTGCTGTTTCTCATTTTGAGATTTTAGTTAAAACACAGACAGCAGTTATTGAGTCGTTCCGTTCCGAGCATTAGAAGGCCTGCGTCGTTTTTAATTTTCATATTGTTTTATTTTTGTTAATTATTCCAGTTGAATGGATGTAGCACGCGGTGTACATTACTTTCTCTCTCTTTCTGATCTGATGAGAGCTTTTTTGAGACGCGATTTTAATTCGAATTTCAAATTTGCCAGGCCTACGCAGCGCAACTCATCCGGAAACAACCAGAACAACAACAGCAACAACGTTAACATGCAGGTTGGCATCGCCGACGACCAGGCCAAGGACTTTGACTTTGAGAAGACGGAGATGAAGTACGACTCAACCGGCATGTTCCACTGGAGTCCTGCTAAAAACCTGGAGGACTGCATCTTGGTACGATTTTATTTATTCCTATAATAGTTAACAAATATTTAATGCTAAAAAATTTTAAAATTTTATAAAGAAAAAGTCCATAAATATAAATAAATTTGAAAAATAGCCCTGAACAATCTATTAATATATAATTTTTTACCCGTTTTATTACAAACAAAATTATATATGTTTTTTGTTCTTTTTAAAAGGACCGAAATCAGGCTGCAATGACTGTTTTGAACGGGCACGTGGTAGTGTGTCTGTTCGCCGATCCAGACTCTCCTTTGATCGGTCTGCGCAACCTGGTGATGCCCTTGAGGGCCTCCAACTTCCACTACCACGAACTGAAGCACGTCGTAATTGTTGGTTCCGTGGACTACATCCGCCGAGAGTGGAAAATGTTGCAGAATCTTCCTAAGATCTCTGTTTTAAATGTATGGAGAAAAAATTTAAAATATTTTTTAACTTCTTTTTTTTTATTTTGAATAAAATCTCAGGGTTCACCGTTGAGTCGAGCAGACCTGAGAGCGGTGAACGTCAACTTGTGTGATATGTGCGTTATCTTGTCGGCCAAAGTGCCCAGCAACGACGATCCTACCCTCGCAGACAAAGAGGCCATCCTCGCCTCGCTCAACATCAAAGCCATGACCTTCGATGACACTATTGGAGTGCTCAGTCAATGTGAGTAGCAAAAAAAAACTACTTTTAAAGGTTGGAGAATTTTATTAAATTCCTTTCCACAGCGAATGAGCAAGACTTGTTGTCACCCGTTGGCAGTCCAATTGTTCTGCAGAGGAGAGGGTCTGTTTATGGAGCCAATGTGCCTATGATTACCGGTGAGAAAATTAGAAAATCCTCTAACTTAGATATAATTTAATTAAAACGTAAAGTTGTAAAGGGAAAATAGGTTATTTTTATTAATTTTTTTTATCACAAATAATAAAATATTATAGAAATGAATTTTAATTAAACAGACATTTTTAAGATGTTTGTTCTAATTTATATTTAAAAAATAAAATAAATAAAAGCAGTGTTTAAAACAGAACCTGGAATAAAATGAGTTATGCAACCCCTGGAACTCGCGTGTCACTCAAGTTGCCTAACTACAATTTATATTTTATATTTCCACAGAGTTGGTAAACGATAGCAACGTACAATTTTTGGATCAGGACGACGACGACGACCCTGACACTGAACTGTACCTGACTCAACCCTTCGCTTGCGGCACAGCCTTCGCTGTCAGTGTGCTCGACTCTTTGATGTCTACTGTGAGTAAAAAATTCTAAAAATAATTGCCTCTTTTAAAACTCTATGAAAATTAAAAAAAAAAATTTAATTTTTCAGACTTACTTCAATCAAAACGCTTTGACGCTAATTCGCTCACTCATCACCGGAGGTGCTACGCCTGAGCTGGAGTTGATCCTGGCCGAGGGGGCGGGGCTCCGAGGGGGCTACAGTACCCCGGAGAGCCTCTCCAACCGAGACCGGTGTCGCGTAGGTCAGATTTCGTTGTATGACGGTCCGCTGGCTCAATACGGCGAGGCTGGGAAGTACGGCGACCTGTTTGTGGCCGCGCTCAAATCATACGGCATGCTTTGTATCGGCCTATACAGGTACAGGTGAATTATCAAGTTCCTTCCCTGATCACTTCATATCTGTGTCAAGTAGTGTGCGCGAGACAGATCCTTTGAACGTGTATTTAAGTCGCAGCGACAGAAAAGCAGACGCACCTTTGCCAAGTCTTTAAATAGTGACAATAAACTGTCAGATATTTTTATATAAAAATTATAAATACACTTCTTTACGATATATAATAAGAAAAAATCTGCGTGTGTTTGTATCCTCGATTTGTTAATATATTATTCTGAGCAGTTTGGTAATTACTTATTAAAAGTGTGGTTTGTGCTGATTTGCTGTAGTCAACAGCAGCTTTAGTTTGAGATTATAGCGTTTAGCTTTTGTGCTGTCTATGAGAGCAGTAATTTTTGAATGCGCTCTGCCACTTTTGATTAACACATTTTTATTGGAATGAAAGCACTTCTGACTTTAGTGGTGGGAAGGATATGCATCATTAAATATCTTGAGAGTAAAAATTAAACCGAAAACGCGAGGTCAATTAAAAAAGCGCCTATTGAATCCTATTATTAGAAATAATTTAATTAATTAAGGTTGATTGATGGATGTCCTTCACTTCCTTTTTGCCACAGACGGCTGATAGATTTTTAGTTTTCCACTTCAGGAGGCATCCTGAAGTCTCGCATGCCCGCTTTTGACTTACTAAGAACTAAGACAAGAATTTAGCATCATTTTTACCATAGTCTTGATATTCGAGTGACTGTCACTGAATTTATACACAAACAAGGCACTTACACAACCTTCAAATACACCTCATTTTATCAATTAGCTTTGTTTATATTATCCACTGATTGGCAGTGATCTCTTATAAATATTTTTGTAAATAATTACTACGTCTCTCTTATTGAGACAGTCTCCTTACTAGATATCTGTGCAGCAGTTTTCTTTCCATTTTGCTCGTTACACTTATCTATACATGGCCTCGGGAGCAAATTAACAAAAAATTCGCGTCGAGGCTTTTTTATTTTGATATATACATATATTTTTCCCAGATTCTCTTTCTTTCTTTTTACGTATTGGAATTTTGCATTTTAAAAAATTATTCTCTTTTTCTTGATAACTGCATTGCATTTGAGTAGTAATTGCACCGCCATGTACTCATAACCACTTACACAAAATTATCTGTTCTGCAAGCAGTTCCAAATCGCCCGGACTAATCCATTTGTTCAATCCCAAACATGCAGGTTCCGGGATACAAGCTCATCTTGTGATGCCTCATCTAAACGTTATGTTATCACAAACCCGCCAGATGACTTTCAACTGTTGCCTACTGATCAGGTAAAAATCAATTAACTTTTTTAATTAAAAAAAAATGAGAGCCATTTTTTTAAGTAGCTAAAGAAATCTTAAAAATCTGAATAATTCAATTTTAATCTCCAATATTTTGAAACATTATGAGTAAATTTACATCTTTCTTATAGAATGATTTTTTAAGCGAATAATTAATATATAAATATAATTTTGTATTTAATTAATTTTAAAAATTAGATAGATTTATTTTTAAGAAATTTAAAAAAAAACGAGTTAATATAAAAATTTGTTTAACGAAATTGTAATTTTTTTGTTTAAGGTGTTTGTCTTGATGCAATTCGACCCTGGTTTGGAGTACAAGCCTAGTCGGAGCGGCAACGGCGGAGGCGGCGGTGGAGCCAACACGCGCGGCAAGGACGACAACTCCTGACTGCTGCTTTGCGGCGCCCTCACCGACGGCCCTTACTCCTACATTTAAAAGCCTGAATAACTGCCTGAATCATTTTGGGACGACTGACAAAAATTTTCTATTGATTCCAACCAAAAACAACCCGCCAAACTGCCAAAACGAAAAGACAAATCAATCTCAATTTATTTCAAACGTTGTTTGTCGGCGCAGTCGTCTCGATTCATTCAAACACCAAAATCACTTTCGACAGGCCAAACTTTTGATTTCTTGACTTGGGACCTCATTTTCGTTGACTATTTCATATGATTTGCATTAATTAATTGCCTGCTGAGCGGTATTTCTCGGTGTTGGTTTTTTTTCTCAACATACTGGGCACTTTTCATTTTCCGGTGGGAAAATCCAAACCAATTTTGTGAATGGCGAACTGTGATATTTGATTATTTTGAGTTTCGCGCCAGCTTCGGTGGAGACAATCACACAAGAGATGAGCAACTTTTTCATTGGCAACGCGCGCCGCACTGAGAAATGAGCAGAGCAAAAAGTAAAAAATTCATTTTTTTAAATAAATTTAAATGCTTTACGCCTTTTTTATATTTTTGTATCTCGTAATAATCTTTATTATTAGATTTATGTGTCGGTATTTTGTCATTGATTTTTGCGTTAACTTGCCAGAGCTTTGGTTTCGTTTCCCGTGGCCGGGCAAAGAGTGATTTCGCTGGAATATTTGCAAATTACAAAAAATGTATGTGGGAATAAGGTGCTCGTCCCTGCAAAGGGAGGACCGCCGCAAGACTTTTCAGTCGGACAGACTCAAAACTATTGAACTTCTCCGGTGAGATATAATTATAGAAACACAAAAACACTCCAAGTGCTAAGATATAAAGAATTGAGAAACACAGAAGGTGAGACGCGCAAGAAGTCTAAAATAAAATTTAATATTGAAAGAAAAAATGGACGAATAGAAGAAGAAAAAGAAAACTATAAATTGTACGAGTGAGTGAACGCATAGCTTTACAAGAAAGAAAAAGACAACCAACACGCGACATAAATTTTTTATTATCGAGGAACATTATTTATACATCAAAAAGCCATATCATTGTGAGAGAATCGCCCCCCGAGCAGAGAAAAGAAAACATGTAATCAAGCGCCTAAGTGTATAGGTAGCGATCAGAACAGGCCGCTACTGTATCCTAGTGTATTATAAAGAATTTTATCATCATGCTACCGAAATACCGCAGTCACACAGCAAAAAGTAAGAAACCACCACACCTATATATAAATATTGTAAATAAATGTAAAAAAAACTTTTCAAGACGAAAACTGCTGCTTTTTATCACAATAGACGAGAAGAGTGCTTATAATGATTGCGAGCGGAAATTTAAATGTTGTACTCACTGTGATATTAACTTGAAGAATAGACGTTTTGCAGGACGCTATTATTATATTATTACTTGGATCACCATCACAAAGTTATAATTAAAACACTATTACCGTTATATTAAGAAAATATATTAAAAATCGATTGTTACTTGAACATTTTTTCATCACAATGATTGCCTAAATAATTATATATATTATTGTGTACGCCAGAAGCGCCCATCTTAAAAAAAACGTCAGCATTCTGTAGTGTCCCCATGTGGAAAAAAGATGTGCAAAACACCTTAAACCCCTGTCAGTATTCAAAGTTACTAAAAGAAAATCTTGTCTTTTGGTACTGTGTAATAATATGATAAGATTAAAAAAAAAACTACTTCAATCTAAACCACATCTAATCACAAAAAGATTAAATTTTGCATAACTTAGAAGAAACTTTTGCAAAAATACATATAATGAATGGTAAGAGACGAAAATCAAATCTGATCGCAAAATTTTTTAATATAGTAATTTGGACCGTTTTAAAATTTCACCACCCTTGCGGTTTTCGTCATTTTGCTGTGTATAATTCTCAATTACTAAATGTGGAACTAAAAATCATGTTGATCAATTCAAGCGCAGTAACCAATGAATGTTTAAATTTTAAATACGCAATCGCATAAAAAAAACGAGAGAAAAAACCATAAAAATTCCATGAGCTTGTTGTTGTTAAAGTTTTAAAACAAGACGAGTCAGAAAGAAAATTTTGTCTTTTTTTACTACAGAAAGAGAAAAATGAAAATCACGAAAAAAAAATTGTATAATGCTCTGTTAGAAAGTAAATCGCGAGAGAAAAGCTGTGAGCGTAATCGGAGTGGAAATTATTAAAAGTGAAAGAGCAAAACCTTCAATTATGCCACAACTCACACAAGACACACACACTCTACGCTGCTAATTATTATCGTCACTCTCACTGCATACGCAAATCCCTAGAAATGTTTAATCTGCTGGTCATTGTTACAAAATAAATTTCAGAAAATATGTTGCAAAAATTTTAATTGGTGAATTTTATTCAAAAAAATTTACCCTTTACAAGAAACATTTCATCAATTTTTTTTTCAAAAATTAAAAATTAATTTTTACTCAAAGAGCCCAAACTTTGACGTAATCAACCAGCATGTCAGTGGAGCTACCCTGCCAGGTCGGTTCCCACTGACCACGTCCTTCCCAGAATTCTTTGTAAGCCTGAAAATAGTTTTTTTTTATGATTTACAATTATGAAAAACAAAATAATGATTACGGTGGGAGAGCCGTTTGACCAGGGTTTGCCACCAGGGTTGGATGCTCCGTCAGGGAAGTACCCATTGGTGCCACCGACAGCCAAGTTCAGGATCAGGTAGAACTTCAGATTTTAAAATTGAAGAAAATTTTTATAGAGAAATATATAAAAAAATTAACCTCTTGATCAAATGGAGCCATTTTGGTGCCAGAAGCCCAAGGGTTTGCGATGCCGTTATTTGAAAAACCACCCATTTGATAAAATCCTCCAGCTGGAGGGGTAGTTCTGCCTATTTCAACATTGTCCACGCTAAATTTGATATAATCTAGGACAATGAAAATTAAAAATTGGAATAAAAATTTTTTGTCGCGCAAAAAAATAATTACTGGGAGTCCACTCGACTTGATAAAGGTGGAAAGCTCTGTCGTATCCTTGGTTCTGGGCAGAGTTCTTCTCCCAGTGGGTCTGTTGAAAACGGTTGTTGTTGGGATTGGGACCCCAGTGCATGGTGGCGCCGACCTGTTCGACGCCGATGTTGACATTGCCAGAGCGGAGGTTCCTATTTCCTCTGGATTCCATTATGTCGATTTCACCGCTAGTCGGCCAACCGCCGTAAACGCTGTTCCGTGGCATCATCCAAATAGCTTTTAATCAAAAGTGAAAAATTTAAATTTGCAATTAAAAAAAAATAATAATTAAAAAGTTAAAAAAGTGAGAAACACAATTTTCTCTAAATTATATAATTAAAGAATGATTTTTTCAATTTCTTTTTTTCTCTCTCATAATTCTTACCAGGCCACAGCCAGTCACCAGCAGGTAAACGGGCCCGGACTTCAACCTTTCCGTACGCAAAGCTAAACGTGTTGATCGTGTGCAGGCGGGCGGCGGTAATGGGGTTCAATATATTATTCGCATTTCCGGTCCTCGAGCATCCCCAAGCCATGTCCTGTGTGCAGCTGAAATAAAAAGTCCCAAATATAAGAATATATATTTTCTGAAAATACAACTGACCCAGGGTTCATGTTCATAGTTCCGCTGTAAAGAAAATTGTTGCCGTAAATGTCGGCGAGTTTTCCGGGGTGAATGTTCAGATTTCCATTACTGGTGAAACTGTTCGCAGGTTTATCCCAGTAAACTTGAAATTCCCAATTCTAAAATATTTTTCATCTTGTATAATCATATTAAATTTAAAAAGAAAAAACTGACGCCTCCGCCGGCCAAGGTAACTTCGTGGCTCCACTTGCTCTTGTCCAGGTAGTTAAAGTTGTCCTCAAAGATCAGGGCACCTTTGCAGATCGTTCCCTTGACAGTGGACGATCGAGTGACCGAAGGCACGCATTGTGCGTCAACGTCCGCCAAAAAGAGGCAAACCACCTATACAAAATAATTTGTCCAGTTTTATTCATTTTCCAACTCTGAAAAATCTGAATACACACAGAATTTAAGAAAATAAAATAGAAAGGAATGAACGTTTCCGTAACCTTTGTAAAGCACTTTTGACTACACAATACAGCAATGATATCAACAATGAAACAATGATCTGAATTTTCTTATCGTAATCATTGAATAAATATGCCTTGTAATTTAATTAAACTTACTGAAATGGCTGAAACAAGTAGCACGTCCGACTTCATAGTTTGAAGTTGGACCGACGAGTGTTAAAAATAACCAAACCACATCATATTTATACATGATGTTTAATGTTTGTTCTGCTGATAAGGAATAACTTCCTCTGAATTTCCATTCTCAACAATAGAATGATCATATTATTATTTTCATTGCGAGATGGTCCTTGACGCTTAACAGGTCAAAACACGTCAAAGAAGCAATAAGCAATGCATCCAAATTGCTACTATAGTTGTTGAAATTGTTCTTAATTACACCTCGGGTGACACAAAAAATGCAGTTCTAAAAATCTTATCACATTTCATAAAAAAATCATAATAAAATTATGGAGGTTAACAACCGCAATACTAGGAAGTTAAAAAACAACACTCTCTTCCCTTTACTTGTTACTTTTTCATGAAGTTCCAACTTTGGAAATAAATTTTGTCTTAAAATACTTTTTTTAACATTAATTGATATCTCGTTGCATCATAGATTATATTGTTACTATTATTAGCACTCCCTAAAAATAACATTTTTATTTTCCAAATATATTGAGTTATATCAAATAAGGTAATTATAGTTATTAAATAAATAGTTCAACAAGACGTGAATTATTTTGAGGTGAAAAATATCACCATGAACTCGGTTTGCGCTTATTGCTAGAGCGCTGCGTCTGTTATCTATACATAATAACAATAAAGTATTCGCCTTCACAACTTTTATTCCAACAAAATATTATATTATAGGATATTAAAAAATTTGCAGTTAAAATAGGCCGTATAGAAGTGTATTGCGTACCAGTTGCGCGCTACAGTAAATGTGTCAACTGTAAAAATTAAGTCGTAGGTCTGCTAGGACTGTCATTCATTCAAATAAGTTTTAATTTTTTTTTTAAATCAGCGATTGCAGATTTTATTGATTTTTTTTACAATTTTAAATTTACAAAGCCCAAACTCTGACGTAATCGACCAGCATGTCGGTGGTGTCGCCCTGCCAGGTTGGCTCCCACTGAGCTCTGTTTTCCCAGAAGTCTCTGAACGCCTGCGTGCAAGAAATTTATATAAAAATTTTATCCGAATAATATGCCTTCAAGAAACTAACCACTGGAGAGCCGTTGACCCAGGGTTTGCCGCCAGGATTGGCAACTCCGTCGGGGAAGAAACCGTTGGTTCCACCGACGGCCACGTTCAGGATCAGATAAAACTGTCAATGTATAGAGAAAAGTAAGAATTAAATTAATTTTCATTTTTTAAGATAGAAATTAACCTCTTGGTCGAAAGGTGCCATTTTGGAGCCGCCCCAGGGGTTACCAATACCCTCATTGGCAAAACCACCCAGCTCGTAGAAACCACCAGGGGGAGGAGCAACAGTGCCCAACTCAACATTATCAATAGCGAATTTGATGTAATCTGAAATCATTGAAAATAATATAAAATTAATTGAATGAATTTATTTTTAAAAAAATCTTAAATGAAAGCAATTTTTAGTATTACGCAAAATTAAATTCATTGATTCGCATATATTAAATGATCTGAAAATGAGACATACCAGGGGTCCATTCAACTTGGTACAGATGGAAATCGTTGTTGTAACCATTTCCTGCGGCAGAGTTCCTCTCCCAGTGGGTCTGGTAGTACCTATTGTGTCCTGGATCTGGGCCCCAGTGCATGGTGGACGAGATCTGTTCTACGCCAATGTTGACGCCGGCGCCGCCGAAGGATCCCAACTCGCGATTTCCACGTGATTCCATAATGTCGATTTCACCACTAGTGGGCCATCCACCATATACGTCATAACGGGGCATCATCCAAATAGCTATGAAAAATTTAATTAATTGTATTTTCATAAATATTAAAATTAATAAAAAATTTGCAAAAATATACCAGGCCAAATCCAATCGCCGGCAGGAATACGGGCGCGAGCCTCAACCTGTCCATAAGTGAAACCAAAGGTGTTGATTGTGTGGAGACGGGCGGAGGTTGCAGGATTGATGATGTTCTCAGAATTTCCAGTTCTTACGCAACCATAATTCCAAGACTGGGTGCAGCTATTGTAAGATTTGTTTTGTTAAAGAAATTTTAAATTTTGTATATCGTCATAATGATTACGTAGGACCCAAGTCTAAAGTGCCGCTGTAGAGGAAATCGTTGCCGTAAATGTCAGCCAACTTGCCAGGGTGGATGTTTAAATTTCCGTTCTGAGTGAAGCTGTTGGCAGGGTCGGCCCAGTAGACTTGGAACTCCCAGTTCTGAAATTTTTCAAAATTTAAACCCAAAACTTTTGATTTTTAAAATGAAAAACTGACGCCACCGCCGGCCATGGTCACTTCGTGGCTCCATTTTGACAGATCCAAGAAATCAAAGTTGTCTTCAAAGATGAGGGCTCCTTTGCAGATGTTTCCCTTCACAGAGCTCGAGCGAGTCACCGAAGGCACACATTTCTCTTCAGCGCTGATTTTCGCCGTGCAGCATGCCTGATTGTAATTAATTTAAATGAAAATTTTTTTAAAAGCCATAAAAAAATTCTTACTGCAATGACGCACAGCAAAACTAACCGCTTCATTTTAATAGAATAATGCAACGTCAAAAAATTTGAATGGTCCTTTTATACTCAAGGACGTGATAAGATTTTGACAACTGCACTTGTGAGCTCAAAGATAAAATTTAAAGTCGAAAATAAGGCTTTGTTCCCAACAGCTCCAATAACATTGCCCAATCTTGATGAAGAGGACAAAACCCACTTGAATTGAATGACAAACTAAAAAATTGCTTATAAAAACAAAATTGCACAGTAAATGAAAATTTAGTGCTACAAAATGGAAAAGATATTCAAATTTTTAAATAAAAAAACTCAATATGTCACTGCTTGATATATTAATGAAAATAAATAAAATTTCTGAAACAAATCGTGAGCGCCCCTTGTATTTATGATTTATGCAACCAGTGGGCCGCGTCAGTAAGTCATGGTTGCCTGCATCCGCTCGAGCAGGGGCACAAGGCGAAACTGTGAATTACACAGGCCTTCATAATAATTCATAAGTATTTATTTATTTATTCTAATCTAGTTTTGACTGAAAATCTTAATCTACCATTACAACTGCTCCGAGATTAAAAAGTAAAATAAAAAATATCAAAAATGTTAATTTTTCAACGCTAGCGCTATGGATATGTACAAAATATACATCGAAATATAAAATAATAAAAATTATTACAATTACCAAAAATAAGTGTCGGTGCGAGTTAAAAAAAAAATGGCTTTTGTCATGTAGTTTAAAAAAAAATTAAGCCATGAGCTATGTAATAAAAATGTGTTATATTGTTAATATGGTTAATTTTATTTAATCACTTCTTGCATACGTTATTATGTATTTCTCTAACTTGTTAAAAATTGGTTTCCATTACTAAACACAGATGGCAGCTTACGCAGAAACGTGTATCAACACGATCAACACTTTCGAAAAACAAAATTTTTCTTGATCCAGGTACAATTGATTTTTAACATTATTTATATTCTTTAATTTTCAGAAATGATATAAGCATTTTTTGTTTTATTCGTGTTTTCTTTAATTTAACTCTTTTGTTCTTAACCAACATTTTTTATTAGAATCCAAGAAAACTAATTCTAAAGTTCCAAGTCAATTTAACTTGCCTAATTATTCTCCGATGAGATTCTTATTACTTTGAAGGTTCTTATGGATGTAAAATTTAAATTATTTGATTAAAAAAAACGATATTAATATAATTTTTTTATATTTTAGATTCAACAGTTTCTCAAGAGACAATAAGATATGAGAGCACTGATTCAAAGGGTCCGCAGGGCGCAAGTCTCAGGTTAGCTAAGCAATTATTTAATAATATACAATTTCAAATTTATTTCCATTACGTTTAGTGAATGGGGAGATTGTTTCAAGCATAGAAAAAGGACTGTGCGTCCTCATTGGAATCTGTCGAGACGACGGCCCAGTTGATTTGGAATACATGTCGGTAAAAGTTTAAAAATTTTGCTAGCTTTTGTTAAATTTAAATTTTCATTTCAGAGTTCGTAAAATTTTGAATGTTCGTCTCTTCGACGACGACTCTGGCGTCCGATGGAAAAGCAGCGTGAAGGACAAACAAGGAGAAATTCTTTGCATCAGCCAATTCACCCTTTATCACGAACTGAAAGGAAACAAGCCAGATTTTCACAACTCAATGGGTCCTGACGCTGCCAGATCGTTTTATGATAACTTCTTGGCAGAATTGAGAAAACATTACAAGTCGGAATTAGTCAAAGGTTGACATTGTAATTAGATTTTGTAATAATTTTCTTATGTTTAATAAATCGATTTCAGATGGAAAGTTTGGGGAATATATGCAAGTTGAAATTGAGAACGACGGTCCCGTTACGATAATGCTTGAATCTCCGAACAGCAAAAATAAGGCTGGAAGTAAAGGAGAGACGGATAATGAATAAAAATCCAAAAATTTCAACGCTCTTGAAATTTTTATTTTAAATGAGTAATATTATGAATTACCTACAGCGTGTGTTTAGGTGTAACTTTCGGCTTGAAGCACCGCTCATTTATATATGAGGATAAAAAGCTACGTCAATGAAATGAAAAGATCTCTCTAGCTTTAGTGAAATTTTCAACATGGCTACACATAAAGCTCATTTTTAAATTAGAAATGAGATCTGAGACTCGCAGAAAAGATTACTCCGAGAGTACGCAATTCAGAATACAGAAGTTTTTGTCAAATATCACCTTGGTTAAAAACAAAAAGAGGCAATCAAGAAATCTCACGCCTTTCTTCGACCGGCTACAGATTGGTCACTGTGGAGATGGTGACGTTTATTCCCAGATTGCCATTGTCCGAGAATAACTGCGCGATACTGGGGTCAAAGACAAGGCAGTCGGAATTATGAATTGCAGTCGAAACACCTTCGTGAATAGAGCGCGGCGTGGCTTCGTACGTCAGACGCCGTCGCATTCCATTTAACTCGAGCCTAAATAAAATTAAATTTGTTAATTTATATATAAATATTTATATTAACGCTTTTTCAAAAATTGGGATGCATTTCAAAGCATTCAAGCAAAATTTATAATAAATAATTTAAAAATTCATAATTTAGCAAATCGGTAGAATAAAGTAAAATCGTTTTTACTAATTTACCGGTAGGCAAAATTCTCTGCTTGCTTCCTCGATCCGATGATTTGTACAACAGCAAAAAATTGGGGGTGCCCCTCATACTTTTCCTGCTTTTCGAGGATTAGCATAAAATGGTGGCCAAAGCAGGACTGCATCATCACCCAGTCGACAGCTCCAGGCAGATTTATGTCTGTGGCCAGAAACACTATGTCCTCTCCTGCAAAGACATTTTTTTAATAATTTTTTCAATAAATTAAAGCGAATTTTAATTTACCTTGTAATGTGGTGATTGACTTGTGTGCCGACATCAGGTGAGCCATGACATTTTCAAGAGGGCCGCCCCACTTGCAGACGGCGCCCGGACATGGGCAAACGTAAGGTCGGAAATCACAACTGTCCTCGTGTTCAACCTTGTCTGTGTGTGAGAGGGTTGATTCACAACCCATCGAGGCGTACTTGCAGGGAAACATCACTGTCATCGCAACCCTCTCCATAGCCAGGTTGCGAATATTTCCTGGAATACAAGATAAATTTCAGTAATTTCAATTAAAATATCAATAAAAAAGAATTAATAATCGCAACCCTCTCCATAGCCAGGTTGCGAATATTTCCTGGAATACAAGATAAATTTCAGTAATTTCAATTAAAATATCAATAAAAAAGAATTAATAAAAATAAAGGTTATAATATATAAATTTTAATGTGCATGAATTTTATATATTTTTGACGTCTGATTTAAACTATTCATGTCAAATTATTTTAAGGAAAGCATTAAAAATGTGAATTAAAAAAAGTCTCACGCATGAAAAATAATAAATACATTAAATTGGAACTTTTATGCTTAATTCAAAATTTAAATAATCAACCAAGATTCTAAATATTTTTTATTTTTAAATCAGAAAGCAGGACTTATAAAAATCTTTCTGAAAAGTTATCTCTTGCTTATTGGGAGATTTTATTTTATAATTACCAAGTGGACCCCTGCAAGTGGGACAGCATGAGAGTTTAGGGCGGCAGGAGGCGCAAACGAGATGGCCACTCTGGCACTGCTGAATCGGAGGCAAAACATGGTCGAAGCAGACAGGACACTCGAACAGGCTGACCAGGTCCGAGTTGGAAGCCGCCCCTGAGACGGACGCGCCCGCTGACTGCGCCATCCTTCCCAGGTCGCAGTTGCTGCGCTTGGACCGCTTCGCTTCAACTTTGTCCTCACCGACCGATCTGCTGCTCGACCTGCTGCTCCCTGCAATCGTGAAAAATCAGATTAAAAATCGTTTTGCAAGTTGAATTGAGCGATCGGGTTTATATTTCAGATTTTCACCAGAATTCTTCGTACATGAGAACGACTTTGTCGAATTCTTCATTTAGGCAGAGTGCGGGCTCTTCAATTTCGGCAGATTCTCCCATTAGTTCAACAATTAAACGTTCTGCAAATGGAAAAGAATTGGTGAGTAAAGTTAAAGTCTAAGGCAAGTCGCTCGGGGTTCTTAATTGATTCTTACTTCCATAAAAATCTGCTTCCTCGGAGGCCGCAATCGACGGTGCTCGCGCGTCGGGGAAGTTCAAAGTTCTGCTAGCGGATCGAAACTCGCAAGTTCTGTCTGAATTCGGTGTTTCTGATCGCCAGAGATGTTTCAGATTTTCTAATTTTAATCTCCAAAGCAAGCTGCGAGGGTCAAAAGGCGCATAAAAACAGATGACCACCACTCCCTCTGTTGTTCCGTGATCGGAGCAGTCACGTGATCAAAATGGCGCCAGTTTTTCAAAAGTTTCAAAAGTTCGTGCCCTGCCAGTTGCATAGCTTCCACGGCGATTCAATTTAAATTAATTTTCTTGGAGAAAAACATGAAAGTTAATTTGAAGGTTTGAGAATAAAACGATCACAGGGAATTACATTGAAATTATATTATATTTATATCACATAGTAAAAACTTAAATAACAATGTAAAAATGATTCCAATTTGATTTTGGTTTACATCATATTATTATATCAAATCTTTGTTTTCAAATTACATCAATTTGTGATCAAATACAGAATGTGGAAAAGCTTCAATAAAAGAGTTGCCGAATCTACTTAATTTTAATTTACCAATTTTTTTTGGAATGATTCAAGGATATTATTTCTCCACTCTAAAATCTTTCACAGTAAGCTCATATTATTAAAGCCCAAAAAAATCTCCATTTCTTTTCATGATTTTTCAAATATTTTGGCAGCGATTTTGTTTCAAGATTTTCCTTATTATGAACTTACTTTAATTGTCATGTTCTTCTCTATCGAATTTCCAACAGCTAATATTATAATCTTTTATCAGTATTTCTACTTGTTAAAAATGGATTATAGATTGATGTGATAAATATACTATTATGAATTATATGAAAGTGACCAAAAATTATGCCCCCCTTTTACAAACACTTGATTTCCCCTGAAAACTCATACACTATTATGTAGCAAGTTATGATGCTGGACATCCAAGAATGCTATGACATCTTGAGAAACACTTATGATGCAGTTGGCTTTGTGTGAAACAGGAGTTGAAATTTGAATTCATTGTTGAAAACAACTAGAGTTTTAGTTAACACTGTTATCATGCATGCAGTCAAAATGAAATTATTTATTTTTATGAGAGAACATCTATTTTTCTAACAGCTAATTTTTCTTCCTCAGACAAATTTGTTCAAACACGCAGTTTTAGATGAAAAGCTTCCCTTTGTGTTAAGGGATGATTGTGTAAAATTTACATAATTATGTCAAACCTATTCGAAAATTGAGTTTGACTTTAATTTATTTGTCTTTGTTCATAAATGTATGTCGTAAACTTTTCCGGCTTTTTCCAGGTTAATTATTTCCGTCACTTCCTCCTCTTTCAAAGACGCAATTCTTGAGCTTATCACAATTACCTTATTTTTACATTTGGTTCTTTTTCTGTATTTGTCTTTCATAAGATTTTTAAACTAATTCATTGCCTTCAAAATTGTGCTTTTTTGTTTTGACACTTTTAATCGCCAAATTTAAGTTTCCTTATTGTCAATCCTATAAACTTTTAAAACTCCATGATCACATGATTTTTCCATTGTCAAAGTTTCGCCAAAAGTTTTTTTGTTCAATTAAATTTGGGGCCCTGCCTTTGTAACTCCAACTTTTGCCAGTTTGTGTTTTCTATACAATAATGTCTTTCAATGTATTCATACAAATTTAAATTACAAACAGCTACCTGTCCTTGAGACGGAACTTCAGTTTTTACACAAGAGAAAAATAGCACATATATTTTGTCACAAATAGAATTCATTAAAATGTAATATAACTAAAGCTCAAATAAGCATCTTATAACTTTTCATGAGCAAGTCATTGGCAAAATGCACCACTTCGGAATGTACATGCCTGTCAACTCTAATTCTGTCTTCTGTTTTCATACTATATTAACCACATTAAAATAAATAGGATCACACAAGCTGTGTTTCTAGAAACCGCAATGAACTATACTTAATGGGTGTGTGTGTGTGTGTCTGTCGGGAATGGCAGCTGATGAGATAAAAAGTAATGACTCGTTTGTGTGACCGATCCTCGACTGAGAAACGAGAGAATCGAGCGACGAATTCGCAGATTAATTCTTTGTATGTGCGCCTGATCACAGCGAGAGTTTGTTTTGTTGTCACCTTATCGTTCGAGACCGGCCATGGACCGCGAGTCGTCCTCAGACTCGGTGAGAGCTGCCAATTGGGACTGGTCTGCTGGCAGAATGGTCAAATGCGTGGCATCTGACTGAAGGGTGGAACTTTCTCCAGGCAGGCAAACTTTTCTCTGCAGGGCCTGGATGTAATTCTAAAAATAAAAAAATCAGAATTAAAAATATTTTTATTAACAGTTTAATTAATTCTTTCATCAGTAAAGAATTTTGGTAAAAAAGTTACTTTTAATTTTCATTCCTTTACCTGGCTAATGACGTCGCCATGAGCGGTTCTCACTTGGTACAGGTACCTGTACTTCTTTTGCCTCAACTCAGCTCTTTGTTCTCTGGTCCTTATCCTAGGTTGTTGGGCTACAGTTCTTGTGTGTTTGGACGGCACCACTGGAAAACAGCCAAGTGTTATTAAAGATTTTTTTTTCTCAAAAGGCAATAAAGCTGACGTCCACATTTTTGATAGGGGCCGCATTTTATAGTCCACAGAAAAATCTACTCTTACTTAGAAAGGACCCTTATCTGCGTCATTGAATAATTAAAAAAAAAACTCACTTTCTTGATGGTAGGTTCCTCTGCCTGTGACTGCACACTGCGTCATCAGCCCTAGGACCACCATAAAGGGCCAGATGCCCAGGATGATCCAACTGAACCAGCAGGGCACCCTCTCAGTCTCTTTCAAAGCCACTCTCTCCCACAGCCAATACACCTAGAGAAAAAAATCATGATTATTTAAATTAATTTTTTACTTATTGAAATTTTTTTCTTTTTTAAATTAGATATTTTTGCGCATATCATTCGATTTCAGGCGTGAAAACCTAAACGCCGCAAATGCCAGAGAAAGAACAAAAGATGTGTCGACTGTTTGCCGCTCACTTTCCGACAAATAAGCTACCTTTTGACACTAAAAGCGGCTGCGACAAAGCACTCAACTTAGTTAGAAACAGAGCAGAAATTAACTTTTTAATTTGTTGAAGCCTTGGCGATGGTGAAAATTTGAGAAACAAGAAGAAATTAAAAATGCGTTGGAAGTAAACCATAAAATTAAATGTGCGAAAATGATAATCTATGTACGTATATCATTAAATAATTCTTAAAGTAGCAAAATTGATTGTATTTAATATTTTCAGATGATTTTCATCACATACTCCTTATTGATATGGTCAAATCAAGCCTTTAAAACAATGGTGGCCAAAACTAGTAAATATAATGTTTTCAATGTAAGAGGATCTTTAAAAAAAATAATTTATAAAATTAACAATCAATGGAACGTTAAACGTATTTTTTTTATTCGTCAATTTGTAATTCATGATTTTAAAAAAGCAATGAACTGAATTACTCTATTTGCATGTAATTGGCAGTTCAACACCAGTTTATGGGGAAATGTGGTTTTGGAAAATTTACAACACTGCGCACTGTATATACTCGATCTCCATCCGATAGTGAAGCAGAGTTTTACGCCTGCTCCTATATTCAAAAGGGTCAGAGTAACAATTCGGAATTGTCCAAACAACCAATCGGCAAAGGTTACGTTACTAGTTTATCCGAGAGTGCTTGCGTATCGATATTCCATTAGGCTAAAGCGCCGGTGCCAAGCGTAAACAGCCCTAAAAAGCTTCAGAGAAATCCGACCGCAAGCCGAAATCAACGCAGGAAGTTATAAAATTGTAATGTGCGAATATTTCTGCCAAAATTGTGATGTCTAGTTAAATTTTTTATTTCGTTACCATCCGAAATTGTAAAAGAAAAATATTATTTTATTTTAATTTTTTTGTTCACTATAATCTCATATAATTTTGCAGCTAAATTGTTTCTAAAAATTTATTAGAATTTGAATTCACTTTGTAATTCAACAATTTACTCACCATGAAAAACTTCTCAACGAAGTAGTCGAGGGCCGCTGCAAGGATGGCGCCGCCGTAGAGACTGGTGCCAAGGATGGTGAGCCACTTTTGGCACGCCAGGTTGAGCACGGCCAGCGAGAGGCCGCCGCCCAGCAAGATGGCCAGCGTGACCCAGGCGGAAGCCGGCTTGTAGAAAGGGTCCGCGGCGGCCAGTCCGATGAAGGCCAGGAAGAGGCCTGTGTGGAAGCCGGTCATGAAGAGGCCCACGTACTGCACCAACATGGTGATCAGACCGAATAAAAGGCCTGCACTCAACGCTACACCTGAGGAAATTGCAAATATGATAAATTTTACAAATTGATCTTCACTGAAAATGAACAAAAAGCTTTTTGCTTTAAATATTTTCTTTCATTTTCTGCATAGAAAAGCGAAATTATTTTTAAAAACAGATTGTCTGATAATTCAATTTTCTTAAATTTTTAATTTTTATATGCTTTTTATGTAGAATTTTGATGCGTTCAATTGCTAAAAAAAACTTGGGTTAATGTACAATATTCAAATCCATACTAGGGAAAATAGTAATATTTTTGGAAATTGCATCTAATTGAAGAACATACTGAACTGGTTTCGCATGTTTTTTGTTTGTTGGCCAAACGAAAGTTGCGCCCACAGCGATTACGACGGAATGCAGGAAGGACGTTTAAAATTTTAATGACGCGCTCACCGCGCACCGGCAGCACTCTTGATTGTTCTAATCAACAAGAGTGGCGGCGACACAGTTGAAAAAAGGGCTCGGTGACAAATATAGCACCACGAGAGTTATTAAAACTTAAAAAGTCTGCAGGCGCAATTTAAAACAAAAACGCTCAAGAACTTTTCCATTTAAAACTTGAAACAGTTACGCTCAAGGGAAATATAAAAAATTATTTCCTGGCCTTGGCCCTCTTTTAAATTGTTTGTCGAGCCGTAAATAATAATCCGTCCATTAAACGCAGCACCCGCTTCAACTCCTCTAAATCCAGAGAGGGTTCACGGTTGGTTGCTGATGTGACCGATTTGACAATGAGTGTGTGCGTTCAATTGGCGATCAAAACGAATCATACACTGGACTGCCCTTTCGTCCTGTACATTTCATTTAACTTGCGTCCAGTCAGTGCACCATTTGCAAACTCACCTTGCGATTATAGGCTTAGGTTTATGTGGTTTGCCAATGTGTTCACTATTATTTTCTGATATATTAGCAAGTTTAATAAACAGAAATATAAGAAAAAGAAAATTGAATTATATTTTAATTTTTGATGTTTTATTTCTGATTATTTTTTCCTTTATTCAAAATTTCTTTAACAATAAATGCAGATCATGGAGGATAATTTTTGTATAAATTTTATAAAAATTATTTTTTTACTTTTCATTAAAAAATTTAAAAAAAATTTACTACTTTAATTTCAAGATCTGTTTACATTACAGACTCTCAGGATAGGCAAATGAATTTTTGCAATTTAAAATGGAATTTAATAATGATGTTATTAATTCTTTTATTTGTATAAACACAATGAATTTTTTTACCTGCGTTGCCGTATGGCGGAAGGAGAGCTTCCTGCAGGCAAATTAGATAGACCACAATGGAGCCAAAAATGAAGCCTGTGAGGAACATCACAGCCTTGAAGCAACGGTAACCTGCAACAAACGCAAATTATCTTTAACCAACAGACCAATTTAAAGGAGCAGTAACGCGATAATGCACTTCAAAAATTACATTCACTGACAAGAGGTTCCGCACAGAGGTTGGGAAAAATGAAGGAATTGATTACCGCTCTTAAGTATCAAAAATAACCCGAGTGCAGTTATTTAGACCGATAATGAAAACTTGCGGCTGTCGAGCAGCGTGTCTAATTCCAGAATTTCACGCTGGAGTGCCCATGTGAATTCATTAACTCTGTAAATTAGACATCCGGGTAATTTATGTGAGCAAAATGAAGCAGCGGAAGCGACCACAAATTAGATATTTAGTGGATGGACCGTTCGATGGTAACTGGATTCCAACGTATTCAAAATGAATTTCTGTAAAAGTAAATGTTGATTCAAAGAAATGCACAAAAATTTTAAATTATCAAACCATTTTGCAAAGGGAATAATAATTTATTAAATGGCGTTAAATAAATTTCAAAATCAATATGCAACGATGAAAAAAAAATATTATTTTAGTTAATTCATCAAATTTTTACAAAAACATTCATTATATGCAAATAAAAGGAAAACATTTTGTATAAATTTATATCCAAATAACAAATCTAAAATTTACTGACCATTTTTCCAATCCATATCATTTATCATGAATATAATAATCATTCTCTTTATGTATGCAGGCGCCAGTGGATATTGAAAATTATATTAAATTCATCTAATTCATCTAAATTGCAGTGAAATTTATTTTTTATCGATTTTTCCAAATATTTAAAATGCCGCAAGTTTTCAATGATTGCACTTCTTGGTGCATTTATTTACATCGTTGCATTGAATAAAACTTTTTCCAGCAACTTTTGAACGGTGTAAAAAAATGAGATGCACTTTTTCCGTAATTGCAAATTGCACTATACTTTCTGTTGCATTGAATAAAAAATTAACTAGAGCACCATGCAAGCGGAATGATAATGGACAAAGTTGACAGCCCCCATGGTGGCACACAGGAGCCACGTGGGCGCGTTTGAAAAGTGGAATGGGGTCAGAAAAGGGTGCTTTGCAGATGGTCGGAAAGAGGTCAGCCCGGGGTGCAACAGTTACGCAAGAGATGCGGAAGGGGTTGCTTTTGCATGGAAACGGAAGGCGCCGCGCGTCGACCCTAATTCCAGACTTGGCTCAGCAGACTTATGGCATTATTATTTGGGTAGACGAGAGTGGACCAAACGGATGTGCCTAGCTAACTTGACGCAGGCCAAGTAAAGATTTTTCACAAAAAGCTTTGCAAGAAATAGATGAATTCAGGACAGCTTTGAGTAACATTTTTGAGATTTAGTAGTTTAGTTCATTTTCAAAATGAACCGCCTACGGAATTTCGCTAGTAAGAAAAATCTGCTGAAAAATGTAAGTTTCAAGCACAAAATAATATTATTATAACATATAATATGGAATATGAAGAAAGGCCGCGAGCTATAAATTCACTTTTTTTCTTTTTAAATAATAATGAGATATTTGCTGATCGTGACTTTTATCTTTATAAAGCTAGTAGTATTTTTACGCTTTTTTAAATTAATAATTTATTATTGTTTTTATTGCTATTAGTATTAGCAAATCAGATTCAAAATATAATTTTCGTACTAAAACATTGAGCTGAAAATATTTTGCATCAAATTCGAATTTAATTAGTAGTTTGGCTTTAAATTAATAATTTCTGTACATATTCTAACGTAATATTTAGCAAATTTTAATATCCCATCTGTGTTATAAATATATATTTAAAAATTACTATTATCAGTTTAATCATAAAAAAATTAGTTGAAGGGTAATGGAATATTTGTTAATATCTTTTAGAAAAAATTTGTATTGAATAAATAAATGGATAAAGTTTAAAATTTAAATTGATTTATTTAGGTTTATTTAAATTAAATTGCAAAAATAATCTAAAATAATTGAGCAAGTTTCAAGGAATTCTCTTTTAACCCAGTGACAATAAATAAGAATAGAAACTCATTGTAAGACACACATGATCAATTACTGCATAGAATCTGCAGGATGAACAGAGCAGGGCGATTACTCAAGGAAGTGGTTGATCGATTGATCCGCAGTGATGCTGGAGAGATGGACCGAGAGATCGAACCGCAACACAGCAGTGAGAGTGTGCAAAGTTTACATAATGCTGGGGCAAAGAAAATTCAATATAAGCAGCCGGCGCGCTCTCCATAAGAAGTGTGTCACATTACACTGCATTATCACTTTATTATATTCGAGTGCACACAATGGAGCTACAAAACCCGCACGCGGCTTTTACTTATCTATAAATAGAGGTATCACGTTCGGGAATTAAAACGCCGCTTTTCGCTTTGCCCCTGCGCGCGCCTGCCGAGAATATATATCCTCTGCTGTTTCGTGTTGGGCTCAACTCGGAGAGATAACAAAACGACGCCTTCTTTCTCCGACCGACCGGCTAAGAAATGAATCAGATCCGCGCGAGAGCAAACCGAGAAACTGTAAACTTCTTATCGCCGATTGATTTCTGCTGCGTCACTCGCCGAGATTAGATTCGCAATTGCTTTTTCAATTGAGCGCAAAATAACGCACACTGCACTGTGTGTCAAATAAAGAAAGAAGCACTCCGAGCTGATTGCAAACAACACCTAATTAGCACTATTATCAGCTGTCGTTATCGGAAAGGCTCTCTAATTTTTGCACCCCCAATGTGTTTCCCGGCAGTATGTAGAGCCCTAGACTAAAAAATACTTTTTGCTGAAAATGTTTTTAGATTTTTTATTGTCAATTAAGTTGGATCATTGGTTTGTTTGAGCCATTTCACGAGAAAATATCAAGAAACGTCAATGTTTTCATGTAACTTTGCAAACAATAAAATCTTATTTTTTTTTTTTTTTAATTTTATTTAATAACTAAAATATCTTTAGGTTTCACATTGATCAAATTATCAATTCCAACTTTTAATTAACTTTAACACAGAAAAAGAATAAAATATAAGTTAACTTCTATGAGTGTATTTTATTACTTTTGGAACAAAAAATTTCTCAAAACGGAACAAACTAAAAACAAACTGTATGAAAATTGAAATTTCTTTTTTTTGCATTAAAAATCGATTATTACTTCATGTTGTATGTATTTCTCGTTAATTTATTAGAAATAATAATTATTAAATTTAATATTTTCTACAAATTCCAAGAAGGAAAAAGGCACAACATATCTTTCTAATAATAACTGAAAAGAAAAAATGTGCAATTTTAGTTTTAAATAATGGTTAACGTTATTGAGTTATTCTTATATCACATTGTATATAATATTAGTGTTTTTTTTTCAGTTTCTTAATTTAATTCCATGTCTCGTTGTTCGCTATTCATTAATTCGAGTAAAACAAAAAAAAATCAGTTATAAAAGTCCACTTCAAAAGAACTTCTCTTTCAATGGAAAGTAAAAGTGGTTGAATTTTAACCCTTGTTAGGAAATTCAAGTTTTATTCATTCTTTCTTCTCATATTGTTCGTTGTTAAGCCACTGCAGTTGTAAAGTGGGTTGTGTGCAAATGGGGTAAACGCAGCAGCAGCCAAGCCAATTCGTGCGGTCAAGCGTTGGCACGTGGCAAGCAAAACAAAGACGCGTTTAGGGTCGAATGCCGCCCTGAAAAAGACATCAGTCTTGCCGACTCTTGTGAAAGCATCAAGTTTTGCCCGAGTGGCGTAAAATTGCGCCATTTTCCTTCGCTTTTCCCGGGAGAGCTAAGTAAAGGAAAAGAAAAACCTCCCTTTCACAAACCTGCGCGCGAGGGAAAAGAAATCGTGTCAGGTATACGTACACAAAAAAGAGCAAGAGAAGCGCAGTTTTCTACGCCGTGGAAAATAAACACACGCGACAACAGATTGGTGCCGAGCAAGGTGAAGCAATCTACCCTCCTTTGCTAGACACCAGCACTGTTTCCAGGAGGGAAATTGGTGCTCAGAAGAGAGAAAAGTCAAATAGGAACAAGGAAGCTTATTTGTTACCCGTTGTGGGAATAACTTTGAAATAATTATTAAACAAAAATTGGAGCTCATTATATTATAATACAACATGATGAGAAAAGAAGAGACGGAAATAAACAAATACAGTTAGAAAGTATTCTTTTGAAATTAAAATTTCAACTGACATATTGTACGCTTTTTTGTTGTGTGATTTTAAATAATCTTGGTCACTAAGAAACAACTTGCAAAAAAGTCTTTTAAATTACAGTAAAAAATAATTTAATTTATATTTATGAATTCAATAGAAACTTGCAAATTCTGAGGGTTTTTTGAGCGGTGTCGAACTAACAATAATATTTTCTGGTAAATCTGATTTGTTTTACCCAGTACGAGAGAATGATTAAATATGAAGACTTTAGGTGAAACATTATCAGAAGTTAACTTCATTGTTGACTTTATCAATTCCCAGAACTGCGAGTGGATAATTCCATGTTCTTATCTAGCGTTTAAAAAACGTTTCAGCAATTTATTTGATTTACGTGGTTCTATTAATATCATGACGAAAAAAGGTTTCAATAAAAAATTAAGAAAACCACGAAACTCAGAAATTCATTTCCATAAATATTTTGCAAGAAACATTTTGACCATTTTTACTTCAAGTATTTTGCCTCTTAAAATTGATGGATTCATAATCAATTTTGAATCAAAACTCAAAACATTAAGGATCTCAGAAATTAAAATTATTTGGTTGGATAAATTGCCAAGAAATGAAAAAATACAATGTTTCTAGTTATTACAAAAAAATTGACGAATTCTTAAGGACTTTCAATTCTTGGTCTTTTTCGTTTTCAAGGAAGAAATATCTTGATTTCTTTTACTTTTCAATCTCTTCAGCAATCAAGTAAAAAAAAACAAGTCATGATAGCATGTTCACTGAGAACGCCTGCAATTATTTTTTGATTGGGGGCTAAATGAGTTAATCGCAGCGAGCGCGGATTTCGCCACAGGATTACCGACCGGAAATCCGCGTGGTGGCGCCTGGCAGTTGCGTTGCCGTGCAGGGTTGCATACCCTCTCTTGTCGGCAGCAGCTGAATGAGCTGTTGCTGGGCCGGCGGGTGCTCTGTCTGCGTCTGCCCATTATCGGGCCACCCCTCACACCAAGGTGCAAACGCTTTTGTTGCGGGGCGAGCGCGGCTCGTGACCCGACCTTCGCAAAGTGCGGTCATTTGGCGTTGCCGAGTCAAAAACTTTTCACCTCGTATGTATTTTGTATTAAAGGTTTCCAGTTAACAGCGCGTTCGTCACGTTTTTCTCGCGATTCCGACTGACGTATGCACATACATAATGCACACGGTTAGACGCTCGATTGCTCGGTGTGAGTAAACCGAGCAAGGAGTCACAAAGTGCCGACGAGTGGCAATTTATGCAACCTGTGCGCAATTTCAAAGGCAGGGGAAATTACAATAAAACTTGCAATTATTTCGAGAAGGTAATATATTTTATTGCTTTTTTAGTAGAAAATTAACATTTTAAATAATCGTAAAAATTTAGATTTTTACATCAAATTTTGTCAAGAATAAATTTTAATGCTAAAACAAAATTAATAATGTACATTTTTTAGACAAAAAACTGTCCCATTCCAATAAAATAAATTCCCATGATATTTGGATTCTCTAATTCAGTTCACTTCTTATGCTTTTCATTATAAACAAACCAAAATGTATTTAAATGATGTTAAAATTTAAATTTTAAAATAGAGCGGCTTCAATGGGGCATTTCTGTAAACGTGACAGACAAGCTAATTCTTTTTAAATATGGTATAAAAAAATATAATTTTACAGCATCTTTGCGCAGTTATTACAATAAACTTTCAATTAGTTTTTAACGTAAGTTTAAAAACCTAACCTTACCAGTTTTGTTAGGGTAGGGCAAGATAAATTCCAAATGAATTTATACTTAATAAGTTTTCAGCTCCATTGATCACGTCATTGTAGTACATGATTGTGCATAAAGACATCGCCCTTTTCATTAATAAAATACCAGTACTAGCTATTTTAAAAATACAAAACTGCTTTTTTATTGAACTACATTCCAATAAATGAGCATTTATTTAATTGATTTATATCCTCGCGCCATGACTTGAGCTTAAAAGCTCCTTCAATTTCCGAATCAATATATCTGAAATAAACCCCCTTGAGAAGGCCTCGATCACGGAACAAGGTAATAAACACGGCACAAAACGATCGGTTCGGTCTGAAGTTGTTGGTCGAGCGGGGTTTGTCACATAAAGTTATTTTTGTGCAGATAAAGAAAAATACTCACCGAATATGCTGTAGACGACTCCGAAAACAAGGTACATGCCACAGATGACGGCCGTGGCGAGGTCGTACTCAAGGCTGAAGAAGTCGTGGTTGCACTGCAGCATCGGCTCGAACGGCGGGGCCGGCGCGGGGGTGTGCGGCACCAGCGGGGGCATGTGCGGGGGCGGCAGAACCACCTCCGGCACGGCGGCCGCAGCGTCCAGGTCGTAGTCGGCGCTGCCGGTCGCGTTTAGCTCGCCAAGGATGCTCTCCAAAGTTGACATTGTTATGGAGAAACTCGTCTGAAATTAAAACACAGCAATATTTATAAAAGGTCAAATCGGCGAAAAATCATGAGAATTTTTAAAGGGAATTTATAATAGTTTAATGCTAGAAAAAAAACATTTCCTCCAAATTATTGATTATCTCTGTGTAAATTTAAATCCCTTCCTCTTTATCACAAAATTTAGTTGATTGTTCATATTTTCCTCAAGTTAGAAGTTAATGTTGAAAACGCTTCGAAAATAATGGAAGGTTTTTTTAATTTATAAACGTTTTGTTTAATTATTTTAATTCTTTTTTATGAAGCTTGCTTTTCTATTAATTCTTCTTTAATTGAATTTCTTTAAACAATTTCAATCTTGATTGTTGCACAGCTGCTACAAAACCAATAAATTTAAAACAGGTTGTCTTTGTAGGTGCAACGGTTTTTTGTAAGAGCAGGTGCGGCTTTCCGCTTATTTAACTTTAAGCCTGAAATAGCCACTTAATTGAATCTAAATTAAACTAGATCATATTTTAAAGGCCAGATAATGCGTGTTAAAATTTAAAGAATTTATAATACTAGCAACTTTTTTCTATTTTCCCAAAACATAGTTATAAAATAACAAAACATTTATGTTCAACCAATCATCAGCAGAAGTTTTACTAAAACCTTTTCCAATAAAATTATAATAACCTAAAAATTATCAATATAATTTAGATATAATTTTTTTAATGTATTGATTGTCAGGATTTCATGAGGGCAGATATGTAAAATTTGCATTTCTAGTGTTTTGATAAGACTAAAAAAAAAATGACAAGTGAGAAAGGAAAAGTTCAGCTGTTTTTAACCGAGCAAGAAAACTTTTGAAATTAAACAAAGATAAAAATATTTAGAACAAATATTGCATAATATTAAATTGAGAAGAATAACAGCAAACCGGTGACAACTTTTTTTTAAATTTAATTTACAAAACGTTACATATGGATTATTTTTCCTATTTTCCTCTTCCTAATCTAATATTAATAAATACAAAACAAAATCTCTGCCAGCATTTCAAAACAAGAAGTAGTTGTTTTATCCAATTTGCAAGCAAATTAATTCAAAAGCGTCTTTTGGAAGCACCAGGCCCACGGCAAACGTTTCCAGTATTTGCGAAAGCATGTGGACAAAAACTAGGCACAGACAGCAAATAATAATAACAATGATGGTGTGTGCATGTAGTGAAGTAACACAGAGAGACGGATAGAAATAAACGAAGAGCGGCGCGAGTTGCGCACCAAGTCGGTGTCTGGGGCATCGGCCAGAATTTCGCAACCCCGCCCGCCCGAGTTGCCACCCTGGCGTTCGCTCGGGTCGTTCATCCCTCCTCCAGCCTACCCCACCAAGTTTGAATCGCAGGACCCAAATTGTTTTCAATTTTTCAATTTTTTCACTAATAAAATTTGGGTCGATACCGCACGTGCGAGGGCGGAAAAAGAGTTTATCCAGAGAGTCGTTTTGTCTCACACTGGCGTGTGCAAAGTAGAAAAGGGCCGCGGAGAGAGAAGAGGCCCCAGATCGATCATCGCCGCTTCAGCCACTGCAAGCAAAAGCAGCCGAAAGCGGTCGCTCGCTGGCTCCTCGCGAGTGCACAATTGCTCTCTTTCCTCTGTTTCAACGTCGAGGCTGTGGCCAAACCAAACAAATAGAAAATGAGGATTTTGTGTGCGTTTCATCTCCACCGCGTGTAGCGAGAAAAGAGACGAGTGCTCCACAAACTTTTGTTGTGATGCGGCCAGAATTCTTCGAAGGCTTTTTTGTTCACTGAATTTCTAAAATGTGCTGGACGAAATGAGTTTTTTTTATACTTTATTACAATTGATGTGAGAGTAAAAAGTTTGATTGTTTAAAAATCAATCAATGTATAAATTAAAATTTATTGATGGGATTTAATTGGGATAAAAATAGTTTCTATTAGGCTACTTGATTGATTTCAGTATTCATTTTTAGAAAAAATTCCCAATACAATGAGTATTTTTTCGTTTATTAATTTATTTAAAAATAATTGGCCAGAAATTGGCAGAGCTTCAACTCTTTTGCTATTTTATCTCTTATTTTTTTTTTTTTTATTAATAAATTCCCGTTGCATTTAAATCCTTAAAGAAAGTGCTCTTGAATTAAAATTCTATAAAAAACTTTAAAATATGATCTTGATTTAATTACTGAAATTAAAAACATAGAAAATTATATAATCAGTAATTAAATAAGTTGAAAATTAAAGCACATAAACCTTCCTCATTTAAGAAAAGTAAAGAGAACATTGCTAATTGTATAGTGAAATAAACGGTCTCAAAATGGACTTGCCTCACTTATATGTGGTACCCCAAGTAAGAGCATTCCTGCGGCAGAATTCCTCTTTTGATGTTCCTTGTTTACTTTTTGCCAAATTTTATGCTACTCGCAGACTCTTTCTAATTGTAAGAGGCTTTTCTTTTTATACATCGAGTATGGAAAAGAAACGATAGGGCTTCCTTTAACAGCGCCCTCGCTTTGTTTACAATGTTCAAGTTAATTTTCAGAGAGGTAAAGTTCACTCTGCGGCAGACTTGACAGGCAAGAAGGGAGAACAATATTGTGACTTCTTATAGGGCTTTCTTGAGACTTTTTACAAAGTCGAAAAAGAAAAGCTGCAAAAATTATGTTTCCAAAACGTGTAAAAGGTAATACGAGATAGAAAAAGAATTTAAAAAAAATGTAATTTCTAAAATATAAAATAAATTTCAAAACTGGAAAGATTAAAATGAATTGAATAAATATGAAGAAATGTAAAAGTTTAAAAATTCATGCGATCTAACAATTAGACAAATTATCCTCTATTTCGTTTAAATTTCAATGGCCAAATATAAATAATTCAAAAGACATCTATCAAATAATAATTTGTGCAAATTCACACTAAAACATTATTATTTCTACTTAACTCTTCAATTCTCGACTTATTGCTAGTCCAAACTAAATTCAAAGTAAAATAATCCGATCATGTATAAGGGCGTGAGAATAATCGTTGGTGCGTGATCCGTCTGAACGATGAGGCACAAATTATTATTTCTATACCTGACAGGAAACCGCAACCACTGCTAACTATCATTATGGCAAAGCCTTCTGAGGAAGCTCCTCTCAAACTCTCTCCCATGAGCGAAGGTTAGATTCATTTAGCCGTCGACGGCAAGTGGAGACTCTCCACGCGTCCGAATATAAATAAGAAATTGTGATATCACTCTTCAGAAATTACATCATCCGTTGGGCGAAACCAACATGACACTTCAAGTTTGTGTCGCGCCCGAAATTAATCGCGAAAATTTATAGCACGATTACTAAGGCAGAGAGATGGAAAGGGGTTAGAAAAAGTTAAACTAGTTGACAAGACCCGAGAACCGCGACAAATTTTCATTTAGTTGACTTGATTGTAAGGCAGATTGCCAAGATTTAAAATTAAATGCACTTCTAATAAAGTGTCCTTCTGGTAATTTTTGCAAATGCTATATTTTTTTTTTTTAGAAAATAAAACTGTTTGCTTTTCGAATATTTAGTTTTGGTTTTATAAAGTGGGAATAAATTTTAAAAATACAACTCCAAATAATTAAATAACTTTAAAAATCTGCCAAATTTATGGATGCTACACGAACATTTTGAAACCTACAATAACAATTTTTAATGTTCTTCGGCCGTCAAATATTTTATTTAGCAGAATTTAATTAGAAATTAAATTTTTTTCGCCACAGTCATGGAATTCAATGATATAAGCTTATTTAAAATAAACAAAAACTTAGCGAAGTGGTCTTATACGAACTTAGAAAATTCGATTTGTTTGTAATTAAAAAAAAATATATTCTGTTTAAAAATAGCAAAATTAATCACATTAAAAAAGTTTTTGCTGAGAAACATTTTACTTGTATTATAATATAAGAACCCAATAAACACTTCTTGAAACTATAAGCAGAGATAAATTATATAACCATGTTTTATGATGTTTTTTGCGAGCACTTTTAGAACTCTCGTCTCATTATATCGACTTGGTCTTTTCGGTACTCATTAGCGTTTTTTCTTGTAGGAAAAACTTTTGGCAATTTTTTCTGAGCAATTTCCAAGCAACCAACCCTCTCTCCCCATTACGCTCCATCACAACTTTTTAACGATATAAATATTTAAAAATTTGTGTCGTACGTCTCAGGAGCAGAAAAGAGTTCTTCTTCTTTCGTCACTTCCTTTGAGTTTTTTTTTTGTGTGCCACAATTACTCCAATTAGTTTCTCTCTTCTGTCGCGCCGACCCGAAGCACTCTGCTTTAAAAAGCAAACACAAACCTAGTGGCTTACATTTAAACGCTCTTTCAACACACAAGTCTCGCAGCCGTTGTCGCGCGGCAGCGACGCAAACAAGAGCGTGAAATTGTTATGCGAAGTGCTTTTATTCGCACGCAATATATTTCACTTGCCACAAGCTAAGACAATTAAACTGATATCATGGCACGCTTAATTTAAATTCTCAGAATTTGTTAAGAAATTAAGAAAAATTTAATCAAAATTTAAAAAGCAATTAGCAAACAAATTTTAATTCAATTGAATTCTGCAAATCTTACAAAGTAAATGCTATAAGAAATATTAAATAATGTTTAGTTGATTTCACAAATCGGGCATCTATTTGTAATTACAAATTGGTTCACTGATAATTTGGCATGTTTCGATAATTGTTAGTGGCATTGAAATTGTTTTGTTGAATAAGATGTTGATTTAATAAAAATCAGTTAGAAAATATTCCAATCAAATGGGATTTCATCAACCTGCCAAAAATTCAATTCATCAAATTTTTGTTTCAACGTTACAGTGCCTTTAGATAAAAACAGTTTGAAAACATATTATATATTTTTAGGGACTTCATAAAATTTATTCTTGAAAACTCCAAATGAGGAGGAACTGTTTATAATTTACAATATTTTAACTTTTGAGCACAACGTAATTTTCAAGAAAAAAATCATTAGTCTCTAATAAATTGCCCACCATTGTATAAGTTTCATTATGAAAATGAAATACTGGAGGCCAAAGGTTAACTTGAGGTACATGTTACAAGCCACGTGTGAAATAATATTGGATAATAACTTTCTCGGCTCTGTTAGATTTTCTTGACAGAGATCGAGGCACAAGACATAAAACGCCAAGGCCTCACAATCACGAAAGTTTTAAAATGAATTATTTAAATATTTTGTCAAATGTCAATTTTTAAAAATTATCTGCCCATTTGATGCTTTATTTGATACTTTTTCCTCTCTTCATACCTTCTTTCAGACAACAAATATCAAATAAAATATTACATATTACAACGTTTTTCCTTGCCGTTTATTTGCGTCAATTTTTATTTCCTCACCAAAACTGTGATTCTTATTTCTGCTCTTTTCAATCGTCAGACATTTTAAAAGGCACAGCCGTCGGAGTGCGTATATTATTTTGCTGAAAGGAATTTCTGTACTGCACAGAGCAAAAATGAGTTCCATATTCTCATTATCTGTTTCCGAAAAGTTGCAAAATTAAAATCTAGATTCATATAATTCTCCTTGTACTTGAAAGATCGTGAGCAATTTTTTCTACCGAAAATAATAATTTTCTGCGAACCGTTGTCTTTCTCGGAGTTTCTCAATCACTCGCACCAATTGAAAGGTGCGGAAAGAAAATCACCTTGTGGTTTTATCCTCGGGTTGTCGAACCTTCCTTCCAAATAAAAATAACCGAGAGAGATTCTTTTTACGATAAAAGAGCGGAGAATGCGAGATATTATTTACGCATTTCCACGACTTCCATTTTTCTTTCATTCTCTGCGGCTTATTCTTTTTTCCACGGTATAGAAAAAGCTAAGGAGGGAAAATGATTTTAAAAAGAACCTCTGCGTGCTCTCCGCAGAGATAATAATAATTAGGTGTAAAAAATTCAAGGCTGAGACTGAGGATCTCTCTCATCTCCGCAGGCATGCAAGTAAGTGAAGAAGTCAAGATCAAGAAAGAAGACGGTCTCTTTCCGTGCGCATTTTATGACGGCACTCATGTTTATTTAATTTACCTTGTGGAGAGCATGATTCAGGGTGATTTTGCACAACGTTGTGTCGCAGAATGCGATAGTATGACGCATAAAAAAATGGAACATTTCAAACTAAAATAAGTAAAAACCGGATAAGAATTATTCACTTAAATTATTTATGCATTTCATGATAAATTAATGTAATATATTGAAAAAAAATTTTAAAACTGGGGATCTGTTTAATCCAAACTTGGGGTTAAACTAATTTTATTATACAAATCTTAAAAATTAAAAATTGTACTTTTTTAAATTATTTTCTTTTTAATTTTTTAATATATATATTTAAAGTCTTTGTCCTTTTAAATTTAAATATTTTGAGAAGCTCAATTTAAGAATTAATTTAATTAGTTCTGATTGATTTTAATACAATATTATGAGTGTTGAAGATGAATTAAATTACAGATAGCGATTTGTATTCTGAGCTACGAGGTTCATGTACATGTTTCCTTTGTAATTTGAGTTTAATAATCAATTTAGAGCCAAATTGAAAGATAATGAACGAATTTCTTTGAAGAGCTGTTCTTTTTATCAGTCTCCACGCTCATGCATTGTGAATTAAAATCGACGAACGGCGCGGTGCCTCGTCGACGGCGAGAGACCTGCCTGCATTTATTTTTCATAATTGGCCCACAATGACAAATCATTTGAAGCCGACTCGTTCTATATACCCGCGAGGGCCGAAGCAATTTTATTTCCAATGCCCAATTTTCACGGGTCGTTGGACCGAAATAAAAAATACATAAAAATTTAAAATCAATAATAAAAAGAAAATTGAATAGAATTATAATTACCTCAATTGCTGCCGCCAACTCCTCCGAGGCTGAGTGGAGACGATGGTCCCTCGACGCAGAAAAAATCTTCACTCTTCAGCAGACTGGCGGTGGCAAACCAGTTTTTGGCCGAAAATCGCCGCGCTCATGATGCGCCGTACTAACAAACGCGTGAATAATGAAACTCTCGGTGCACACCCAAAATTACAAAGAAGTCACTCGCATGCCGGAGATTTGCGGACAGTTCACATTTTTTACCTTCGGCACCACCAAAGTCCCCAATTTTCCAAAACACTCGGCCGAGCTCAAAGTCCGAGAAAGCTGGGCCGCGACGAATTTTAATTTGAAATATAATTTTGTAAATAAATATAGTGCTGGCTTTGGTGCTGTGCGCCCGGTTATTGAACCAAATCGCCGTGAGGAGAACGCCCGACTGACTGGCTCTGCTGCCAGCCGCGGCTCGCTCGTCTCTTCCTCCTCCGCCCAGTTTTGCCTTTCGAGCACTCACGGCGCTGCAATGCAACGCCAGCACCCAGACCTGCGGTAGACTTGTCTACTTGTGATAGATAGGTGATAATTTTTTAATTAATTTTTAATAATTTTTTTTGCATGTAATGATTTTTGCATATATATGATACCAGGTCAATTTTAAAGTATGTAAAACAATTTATGCAATAAATTATTGTTCGAACTCCTTTTTTTAAATCAGAGTTCAAATTTTATTGATAGATTATAATTTAATTTCTTTTAAAAATTCTGAAAAAATTTTAAAAGTACGTTGTTTACGAACAAGAATAATAAGTACGCAATAACTATATTCCTTAAATTTACATTTATCGAATAATTCATTTTACAAATTATTAGATTTTCTTATTTTTAATCAATATTATATTATAAAATTAAATTAACTACTTTAAAATTAATTTGAAACGTTTTTTAACCCATTTAATAATTTAATCTGCGCAAATTTGTGTTAAAATATAATTATATTACAGAATATCATGGCACTTGTCATATTTTTAGTGCTTTTTTTAATTAAGAAAAAGCACAATAATCATTGAAATTTAAACAGAAATTTCCTCTTTTTGCAAAATTAACACAGTTGGACTCTAGTAAAAGTAAATGCATTTATATGTTCCACAAAAAGTTAAATAACATTTTTTATTGAAAAAATATTACGAAGTTGCTTTATAGTAACAATTTTTTTCTCAGCCTTTGTTTGCTTCAAATATCGTAAGCATTTTTTTTTATCATTTAAGAGGAACTTTCTCTCCTCTTTTTCTGCGAAGCGGTTTTTCCTCAAACTCTCTCGCACACCCACTGGACGGTGTCTCTGATGGCCGCTTCCCTCACTGGCTTTTTATCAATGTAAAGGTGATGTTCGGCACCTTCATACAACTGTAATTTAAACAAATAAATTCAATCAATAAAAAAACTGCTCAATTTTACAATGCATATTATAGTGCCTATAAAATCTGAACAAAATATGTATATATTTACCTTGATTTGCTTATCTTTGGAGGGAGACTGTTTGAGCAGGTCTTGCGATCCCTCGACGTCGCAAATCTTATCAGTCGCACCGTGTATTATCAAAAAAGGCACGTCAAACAGTGGGAACTTTTCGTGGACTTTCTGAAGGGACAGAAAACATAATTTTTTTTCACCAACTCCAATTTTTACAACAAACCTCAACGGAGTTAAGCAGGGCGGTGCCCGTTTTCAGTTTGACCCCACCTGTCCACCACAGTGGGTCTTTCATAATCACCTCGATCATTTCCTTGTCTCCCGTCACGTGGTCCATTTTTAATTTACCTACCTAAAGTAAAAAATTTACTATTATTATGGTAAATAAATTTTTTTAACTTATTTATCTTGCCTGTAAAGAGGGCAGGATTTTGCAAAGAGTTCTGGCAGCAAATTTACGAATAGGCGACCTCACGTCCTTTCCAAGCATAAGGAAGGGTCCATTGAGCACCACCCCTTTTAATTGAGGTGGGCTCCTCATCGCTGACAAAAAGGCAACAAGACCGCCCTATAAAAAGAAATATAGTATTTAGCTTTTTATAGTGTTGTAAAAAAAGTTGTTTATACCATGCTGTGCCCAACGAAGAATAGGGGCACTTCAGGGTAGTGGTCACGAATGGCTTGGGCGTGAATCATGACGTCATCGACCATGTGCTCCACGTCCTCTATAATCACCTTATCACCACCACTTCGACCATGGCCAACTGCAAAATTCATAAATCATTAGAATTTTTTAAATAAAATAAAGGACGATTTGTCCTATAAAGCGTACAATGTAAATTTAAAAAGTAAAAAAATTTTTATTTAATATTTTGTATAGTAAATTATTTAACTTACTATGGTCATGTCCAAAAGCAAGAAAGCCCTCGTTTGCCAATCCGACTCCAACATCGTGGTACCACCTCAAGTGCTCTGCATAACCATGCATCAGCATTACAGCTGCTCTGTAAATCAAAAATTTTATATATTATTGATGACTCACGACTCATATCACGATGACAAAATGATAAAAATTTATAAAACTTCTATCTAAATCCTAAGAATCCCCATTAGAGAACTTTTGATTCTGATAAAGATGCGGTTTTGTGGGTTTTCTTTTTATCTTTCAATTTTTTCATTCTATTTTGGACAACGGCTTGGATAATGCCTAAAAATATAATATTATTGTCTCTCATTCCTGTTAAACACGCATTACGAAAAATAGTGACAAACCCACACAATCATCTCACATAATCTAAATTGGGAAAATAATTTAGGTCAGATAATTATCTAACTACTCTTGGTTGCGTCAAACTTGCGGTTGCTCTCTGCGTGTGTACCTGGGTTTATCGGAAGGGTGCCAGTAGTGGGCATTGAGGGGCACCTTGCAGCCCCGAAGAGTGCCCTCCTTGTACTCCCTGAAGGCCGCCCTGAGCGTGCCGAGTGTGGACACACTCCTGGACAGCAGCAACCGCATAGTAATAATCGCTGTCGCCACCAAACAAAAACAAAGAGATCAAGGGACGGCGACGCGCGGCACCAATTGGAAATTCGGTGCTCAATCGGTGCTCACACCGACCCCAGGGGACAAGCGGCCAAATTACTTGACGCGCGCTCCCCGCCAGCGCCACTTTCAATATTAAGGATTACACACACGAGAGAGGCAGCAGATAAGAAGCAATTAAATAATCACAAATAGACAAAATAAACTTACTAAAAAATTCCAATATTTTTTTTGTAGTTTGCAATTTTCAAACAAAAAAATATATACCACAGTATTATAAATAAATGTTTATTATTTTGATATTAAGATTTTCCGTTGTTCTTTTAGATTTTTAATTTAATTTAAATTTCATCTGAAAATTATAACTAAGCAAATCATTATATTAGAAATAAATTATATAGTTGCAAATTGTGTTTATTGATATATCACAAAGGCAATTGCTGCCCATAACGGGATACATCATTCATACATTCAAAATTATACAAATTCAATACAATTGAGAGAAAAGATGAGAGTTTTACAAACAAAGTTTTACATGCGAAATTTCACAAACAAAATTTTCAATTACAAAATATAAACACAAGAAAAATAACAGTAGTCAAGTTCTTTGGACATTTTTCTTTTTCTTTTTCTGGATGCTGAAAGCTTGCATTTAAATGACTGCCTGATACTTCCAAATGCCGCTTTCTTTGTTCTTTTTTTGCTCTTACTCCTGGCAAAAAACTGCAGCTCAAATTATGTTTAGTAAACAGGCTTTTTCGTCTTTGATTTGAGCCTCGCAATTCAGCTTTTATTATTCCAGATCAGTCCTTATTCAGTTTTTTATTTTTTTTTAATATGTGATTTCATTCATTCAGCTTATACTGGTTCAAATATTGCTGCAATAATTTATTTTTTAAAGAGTTAATATTTTCATTTAAACACCAACTTTGCGGCAGTGCATTCCAAAGGCGATAGCTTGTCATTCTGAAAGAGTCATCATTGCAATCAAAAGGCGGAAGGAGAAACAATCTGTGTGTTCTAGCAGCTCTGACTTGATAGTCATCGCGCAGCAATAATAATTTCCTTAAATAGGGGGGGCTGTTTTCATATAATATTTTGTGTGTCATCAACATTTGTTATATATTTAATTTTTTTAAATTAGCACCGTCATCAGTCCATCAAATAAAAGAAAAGTTAAAAAAAGAATTACTTCCATATTTGACATTTATTTACTGGTGCAACATATTTTTTAATTTTAATTAAACAGATGCTCATTGTTCGATTTGAGACATTTTGCTTGAAATCGACAAAATAATGTTCTTTTGCAAATTATATTTTTATTACTTCTTGATGCAGCACATATATGCCTTAATTATCTTACATAAGGATAATTACAAATTTTATAATTGTTAAAATTGTCTGCGCACATGATGCCAACATGAATGACTGGCAATTCTAAAACGGACGCTGCACAGGGTCAATTTTTTTACTTCCAAAAGTTCACTCGAGCTGATTAGCGCCAATAATATTTTTTATTGAGACTTAATTTTCCAATCGTCCTGGAGAAGAAACAATTATAATGGTGGCTCCAAATCTATATTTGAATGAGTTCAAATGAACTGACCTCGTCAACTACCACAGACCAATGAACCACAATAACGATCTGTATTGGTGTCAATTTGCCTGAGAGACAGATAAAAAATGCGTCTATCTCATCGCGCGCGTATATTCTTCTTTTTCTATGCGCAGGAAGTCGCTGTTTATGGCGTGCGTGCAAAAACAGCCTCTGCTTATTTGTGTAGTATAGATCGTCTGGTAGATGCATATTTAACAGCGCTATAATTAACTCTAGCTTGGTCGTGTGTGAGCACAATTATATAATTGCGCGGAAAGATCTCGGCTAATTAGGCCAAATTTTTCCTCTTGAATGTATAAGAATGAGATCCGGTTGGAGCCTTTTGTATTTTTATCTTACCCGGAGACAACCCAATATTATTGCACAGCATCAGGGTCAAAGGGTAGATAAGAAAAAACGTTATTTTTTTCATAGATAATCTCAGTCTTTTGAGTTATCATCACAATTAAAATTGATTTCTGCACCTTATTATAAAGAACAAAAACCGTCTGACTCTGGCAAAAAGGACGAACGGGCAACAATATCTTATATCTTATCAATTGTTATCAGCAAATGGTACAATATAGAGGTGGATAATTGAATTACAAACAGCAAACCATTAGGATTGTGTAAAAAAAATATAGGAAATATTAAAATCTAGCATTAAATAAGATTTTAGTTTCAGAAGTTTTTATTATTCTTAATTAATTGAATAAGTTTCAAAGAGTAGTCATGGATATAAGTTTTACTTTTTTATTTCACTCTCCTATGTGAATCGCAAAGCGTTTTATTGATTTTTATAAAAATGCGTCAAGTCAGCGTTAATTAATTTCCGTGCACTTTACGCGCGTATATCGAGCGTTTCTATGTCTTTCCAGACACAGCACAAATACTAAATTGTGCACTTGAAGGATTTCTCCTGTTGACCAGTTGAGTGCCTCGCTTTCTCACAACAATCAGTCTCCAAAATGAGACTGTGAAGCAATAGACACTTACAGAAATACCAAATTAGTAAATTCCTATTATTAGAATAATATTATAGAGAAGGAAAGCTTTATAAAACCATCAAAACCGCAGTTGCGTCGGGCTGAGCTTTTTCTCTAAAAATATAGATAAAGATATTAAATCAGGCTATTAAAAAAAAAATGTTAAATTTTTGTAAAAACTGAAAACTCGTCTGAATACCATGGAAAAAGCAAATGGAGGTTGCATGAATGTGCAGAAAATTAATAAAATGTTAATAATTCCATTCTTTTATCATTTATTACTTTTACTCCACAAAATTAAGCTTTTTAATAATAATATTAAATTATTCACAATTAACCCTTTTATAATCACTCAAACGTGTATTATGCAGTTTGTTTGTTAGTTACGTTTTTAGTTGCGATTATCTCATAAAAATTATTCGCCTGGTAACTTACTATCAAGGTTAAAGCGTATTTCTCTTTCTTCAGCAAAAAGGATTTGTTTAAAATGGATATAAAAATTGATTTTTTAATTTTGCGATCATATATTTGTTTTTTAAGTGTGCGCATTTTTTTAATACATTTGATACATGTATAGCCAGAAACTGAGGCAAGACTTTCTCATTCCCAAATTCTAAAGCCGCGTGACCTTTTTCACACGCGGACTTTCGCAATGCCGCGATTATGTGGACCCGTACACACAAAAACTCCCGTCTGTTTCTCAAACTCACCTTGGATTTCCTTTGGGCTTCCAGTATCTGCAGAAGAGCATTTCGTTCCTCTGATTTTGCAGTTCCTGTTTTTCGAACGACACTTGTTCGGCGCCACTTTTCTGGAACTGGGGCGCATTTTCAAAGTGGTCCATCATGGTGATGCTGCTGCCTCGGGAGAGCCTGCCAGACTACAACACTACTATGGAGAGTACCTGATGCACTGCAGCAGAGTTACCGCTGCTGCTATTCGGTCGCCTGGTGCTCACTCGAGCTTGGCGAACGCGGCGGCGAACGCAGACCTGCGCACTACTCGACCGCAAAATCAGCAAAAAAATGCAATCCAGTCTCAATTATTATCGTGGAATCGGATTCCCTCTTAAAAGCCATTAGTCCTCCTTCATGCACAGGATTTTTCCAACTCTACGAATAATACAAGTTGCGGTTACCGCGGTTCTCTGGTTTTTCTAACAAGATATGAGACATGTTTTTTTTTTTTTTATCACAATTTGGTATTAAATTTGATATTTGATCCATTATATATTATATTGCATATTAAAATCTGAATGTATAATAGATTATCAAATAAATTTATTCGTTCTTTAAAGTAATGAAAAAATCAAAAAAATTATGAAGTTTGAAGGTTTCAACAAGGCTATAAAAATATTTTTAGGAAATTTTTGGAACAAAAAGAAATTTAGGTGCTATTTAAAAAAAAAAGTTTTTTGATAGTCGGGAGCAGAGGGTTGGGAGGATGCGATAACATTTTATATTTTTTAGGTATAACGCGATAAGTTTAAGAAACATTAAAAAATATCAGATTATTTTAATTTTTAATATTAATTTATTCTGCAAATAAATGGCTGTCAATTAATTTTCTAATGAATTATATATAATAATGAAAGTCATTATCTAAAATAAAATAAAAAATACGCCACGAAAATGACAGTGTTGAAGGTTTTAAATGCTCGTTTTTGTCTGTCATTTTAAGCCCATTTGAAAAAATAGGGATGAAAAAAAAATGGAGCTGAACAATTTTCCTAAGCAAAAAAGCTAAAATGAAAAACAGAATTTGTGTCTTCCGTCTTCCTATTTCCCTAAATTTTCTAATTTTGTGCAATTTTATTCGCGCCTTTATGGAGAAAATTAATAATTACTTTTGAAAAGCACTGCGGCGCTTTCCTCGTCCCGCAGCCAATCACAGCTTGTTATCGAAAATTTCCGCGTAATTTAAAAACTTCTCCCGAGTGACCTGGGCGGAGGAAGTCAACTCCGTTTGCGTCATTTTCCAGATACTTCCGGACCACATCCGCACCTCGTACACTGATGAGGGACACTCCGGCGAATTCAATTCCTCGCAGGGCGTACTTTTGAACTTCGGCGACCGCGCCTTGTTCGCAGAATCAACAAAATCTCGCAAATGAAGGCGTGACATTGACATCACTCCTGTCAACCACGGAACTTCGGTCCTTATTTGCATACTGCGATTATGCAATGTGAACCTAAATAACGTGAGTTTGTGTACAAATAACCGTGCTGTCACTGATGATGATTATTTATTTCCAGTTTAAATTAATCTATTCAACCTGAATCTCATTGTGATGCCTTAAATAGAAGACACGAATCTCTGGAAGATCATCTGCTGAAGAATCGTCGCTTGGAATTTGTTTTTTGCAAAAATGATCATTTTTAGAAACAGAAGACTTTTGATGCAAACCTGCTTTTACCTGGCAGGTGTGGGTTGCATTTTGTACCTCTACAAGTCTCACGCCTCCAGCAATAGCCGGAATATTGCCCACAGCTTCAACGTAAACACTCTTCACTCTAAAGTACAAAATATATATTTCAGAAAATTATAATAAACAAATATAATCTATTTTTTTTATAGACAAAATACTCGGAACTTTGTTTCGAGGGTGGGTTGAAACCCTCGATCGAATATCTGGAACAGAATCTGCAATCTTGGTCACAGGCCATCGACCGAAAATGCCAAATCTTGTATGGCAAATATCAGGACATGTACTCGGTCAATGTGCGGAGAGGCGCCCTTCACCTGCCTGTCAAATTCAAGGACAAAGTTCTCAATTGGATGGGAAGCGATCCGCAACTCCTTTCTAAGGTCTACAATCAAACTGTTTACCATGTGAGGAACATCTACAGTTTGGAGCACACAGTTTACAATCCACTGAGGGCCAAGAGACCTTCGTCAGGGTCTTCGTCTGGCTCCAACCCCAGGGATTACGTCAACAAGCTGGCCATGTCCACTAATACCACTTGTGATTTCTGCAATTTCAAAGAAATGACTGCCGAAGACGTCTTTGATAGGTATATTTATATAAAAAATCATTAATGTTTAAAAATTAGTAACAAAAAATTATTTAACTGATTATTTGAAATTACTTGCAGAATTGAGGGGAAGCATTCAGTCAGTGCGGCAAACGCATTCAAGCTGGACAAATGGCACGGACTAATTCTCACCAAGAAACACAACCCTCTAGACTTGCACCTGGAGGACGTTCTTGACCTTTTCAACACGTCCCTGAAGTGGTTCCACAAAGTTCACTCAATCGATCCAAATGCCAAGTAAAATTTAAAAATCTTTCATTCTTTTTAATTTAATGATTTATTTTTTTCCAGGTATCCCAATCTAATATGGGACAGTTTGCCACACGCTGGAGCCTCTCAGGTTCATCCTCACATCCACACAATGATGGATCCTCATCAGTATTATGGAGCGCACCACATTCAGCAAGAGGCTGCTCGCAAGTACCACCAGTACACAGGCAACAAGTACTGGGACGACCTCATTCAGATTCACCACGCTCTTGGCCTCACCGTCACTCTCAAATCTGCAGTTGCCGTTGCACCTTTGGTAAATAAAAATATAAAAAAAAAATGGAAAAAGAAACATGCAAATTTAAATCATATTTTAGACGTCGAAGAAAGATCACGAGTTATTTGTCTTGTCCGGAGACCCGTCGGTTGATATCTTCACCCTGCTGCACCATGTCGTGCAGACCTATTACCATGACCTCTCCATATACTGCTTTAGTGCAGGCTTGGCACTTCCACCTGCCGAGTCTTTGACCTCTCGAAGTCCTGCTGTGATCCGTATCGGCACCAGAGGTGACTGCAGTAGTGTCCACAGTGACATCAGCTCTCTTGAATTGTATTCTGTAAGATAGTTAGAGACTTTTGGAATTGTTTTGCTAAATAATTTCTCTACACTCAGGTCAACAATGTGAATGTGGACCCTTATAAAGTGGTTGGAGCCCTTCGGAAACGAGTGTCTCACTACATTCGTAGCTCCGAAGCCAACGAAGAGCGGAAGATGGTAGTTTGGCCATGATTTTAAGATCCCGAGGCCTTGCTTTTATGCCTAGTCATTTCAAACCCATTTTTAATAAATTTAAAATTTCACAGTCCCACATATCTGTGTTTTTGTTGCACAAAATAACAACATCATCTTTGGAGTTTTTTTGTTTTATTTTATTGTATACGGTTTGACAAAATTTTTGGTTAACTGTTATCGGAAATTTGATTCTCATATTACTGCTAGGAAAATAAGTTCGTTTTTTCCGCGAGATATATATTTTCACAATATTTCAAATTCAATCAAAAAATTGGCGCATTACAATTTTTTTTTCATACTCAACTAGCTTCAAAAGCAACATTTTCTCTGAAATATGTGATATTCTTTTATAGCGCGGTAGAGAAAAATGTACTCATAATTTGAGGCATCTATATTTGTTGCATTTTTATTATATATTTTTAATTTATCAACAAGAAATATTCAATCGTACTTTTCAATTAATGCAGAGCCCCGCCCCATCACAATGAGTGCATCTCGATTTTGCTGAAAAACGCCGTGTCATCACCTAACAACTGCATATCAATAAATATAATTGTTTTAATTATTATTACATTATCAATCAATTAATTAGCACATTAGCAGGTGTCAAATTCCAGTTATATCCTTCCAATAAAAATAAACCATTTTCAAAGAAAATTAGCTCAAGCACCAGCTGATATCAAGACTTGGTCTTGAGTATAAATTTTGAATTCATGATTATTGTACCTTTCATTTTGCATTTATGTAATTCATTTCAGTGGATGCCACTGAAACAAAGAATTTACCTTCTTGGATGAAAATAGGCCAAATTTGAGCACGATTTTGAACTTTGAAATATTTAAGACGGATTTTTTAAGCAAAAATTCTTGATGTCAGCAGGATTTTGATAGGTAAAATAAGATATCCTTTGGTAATGAAGTGATAAAAAAAAATCAGAACTAAAACCTAAAAATATGGCTTCCTCAAATTATGGTAAATTATTGTGCAAATTATCTCCAACTAGTTTGTAATAAGGTAATGGTTAGACCTACTTTTGTATTTTTCATTCTTCTAATGGAGCTAATTGTCCAAATTATCACATGGTTCAAAAGCTGCACTCAATTATTAGATTCACTCACATTCAATCGAGCCAAATCAAAACACGCCTCAGAAGCTAATAAAAAATTTTGAGGTTTCACATTCCGAATTTTAGAAGAAAAAAAAAGATCATGAAATAAGTATATTGGACCTCCTCGTAAAATAAAATTACATATGATATGCAAGTCGTGAAATAAAATCCAGCTTCCGAGACACGATCGTGTCAGAAAACAAATCTACTTTTTGTGCTTAAAAATTAGTAAGAATAATTTAGGTGTATTAGTCTAGTTGGTGCCATTACGAGTTACAGGCTAAGCGCAGCATGCGCACTTCAAAATCTGCATCGTGTAATTCTGCTCCCTATTTTTTTCATATAATTGTATATTAATTTTATGTACACTTTGCTCTTCAACGATTCTAGCAAGAAGCAAATCAACAAACAAACTTAATACAAAAACAATCAACAAGAGTCTGATGCCTCAAAAATTATGGGGGAATTGACCATCCAAAAAATTGACTGCGGCTCTTGAAACAAAACTGGATAGTTGTGCTGATTTTTCTGATCGAAGCAAGCAAAACAGTTTTGTACCGGCTGCTTGTGGATTAAAAGTCGGCAAATTCCTTTGCACACTTCTCGGTGGAAGATATTCGCAAAGCCTCCTCTTCGTAGTCATCAAAGTTGCTTGTGTCTCCTGGTCCCTTGCACCGAGGAGCAAATGGAGCCTCCACCTAAACCGCAAAAAATTCAGAATAAAATATTAATTGTAAGATAAGGAGCAAAATTTTTCCTGAAAAATGAAATATCTACTGAGTATACTTCTAAAAGCAGTAAGAAACGAATTGAAAATAATAAGATCTAAAAAATTAACAAACCAAAAGGCATGCAGAAGTCTTGTCGATTGAGTTAATTAGGTGGGTTTGTGTTAGAAATCATGAAAATCGTTAGTGAACAGGGGCGATGAAGAAATGTCGAACATAGAACTGCTCTCTTTGTACTCGGCGAAGTTTGATGTGTCTCCGGCGTAACGCACCCTAGGCTTCATAGGCGCCTCTACCTGCACAGTGCTTAGTCAGTCATAACCCATGCAATCAACTCAAATTTCAAATTGGCTCTGGACTTGGGAATACAGATTATTGACAAGTCCAAGGCATCAGCCTTAAATTATAAAAAGAAAAAAAGGAGAACCATGCTTCTACGTTACTATGTACAACAGACGTTATATGCAAAGAGACTATTTACCGCTATTTACAATTCTTTAGCAGTGATGAATATAAATTTAAAAAAACAAACCCTTTTCTGGAAAACTGCAATCCAGTCTGTGGACTGGAACCAACGATGGCCCTTGATGTCATTGACATGGTTGCGCAGGTTACCATACCGCTTGGTTAGGTCTACCTGCAGCAGGTTCCTCAGCAAGTCCTTCAGGTCGGAACTGAAGTGTGATGGAAAACGGACCTACAATTGAAAACCCCACATGTAAAAATAGTATTATTATACAAATGCATTAAATTTTACCTTTCCGGACACGATTTTTTCATAGATTTGTATTGGCTGGTCAGCAAAGAATGGTGGATATCCTGCAGCCATTTCATAAACCAAAACGCCCAATGCCCACCAATCAACAGCCTTGTTGTAGCCCTTAAAGAGAAGAATAAAAAATTTCAATTAGAGATAAGGAGAAAAAATATACTGATCCGTGTTATGATCAGAAATCATACATTGTAAAATTACAAGACAATATTGATCCTTTTATCTTCGATTTAAACCTTTACTCTAGCAAAATTATCTTCCTTCAAACATTCACAAAAATTGATAAAAAGGAATGTATAAATGTCTTAAACAGAATATTAGAGTTTTGTAAGTAATTACAGGCAAAATTGTTCAAAATTATCAATTAAAAAAATTTTTTGTCGATAAGTTTGAAAATTTGAACAAATTCTATTAAAAAAACTTACTCTGCTTAAGATGATTTCAGGTGCAAGGTATTCAGGTGTTCCGCACAGGGTCCACGTTCTGCCCTTAACTCTTTTGGCAAAGCCGAAGTCAGTGACCTAATGGAGAGGATTGAATTTCACAAAAAAACCATCATTTTTCAGGAAACACGAACAAACCTTCAGGTAACCCTGGTTATCAATGAGCAGGTTCTCTGGTTTGAGGTCTCTGTAAATAAGGTCTAGGTAATGGAGGTACTCGAATGCCAGCACGATTTGCGCAGCGTAGAATCTCGACTGGGGTTCACTGAATCGGCCAACCTTGCGCAGGTGAGAAAACATCTCACCTCCAGGTACGTACTCCAACACCATGTACAGGTTTGAGTTGTCCTAAGAGAAAACAAATGACTGAATTTAAAAATTACAGTAAATAACAGAAATTACCTTGAAATGGAACTTAAGGCTGACTAAAAATGGAAAGCTGATAGCTTGCAGAATTTTCTTCTCGTTTAGAGTGTGCTCTACTTGCTTCAACTTAACCACCTGAGAAGAAAGATAATTTTAGCACTTCATTTATTTTTATTTAATTAACAAAGTTACCTTTTGTTTGTCAAGAATTTTCATGGCATAGAATTCCTTGGAGGCTTTATGCTGCACCAACATAACTCGGCCAAATGAGCCCGTGCCAAGGGTTTTGATTCTGTCAAACTCATCTAAGGCGGCTGTGTTCTAGGATATTTTTCAGGCAATTAATTTTTACTGTAAATAAAACAATTTGAAAAAAAGCTCACTGATGGGTTTCTCTTCCATTTTTCCTCAAAGTCCTCTTTGGCCTTCTCCAAAAATTCTTTCACTAAAATATTAGAATTACGTAATTAAACAATTAAGTAAGTGTCAGATTATCCTCTCACCTATTTGCGACGCACCGTTTCGTCCAGACGACTCGGCTGCGTCGCCACTACCCTTTTTATTGACTGTTGCAGTGTTGCCCATGTTTAATTTTTCAAAATCCTTCAATGTCTGGTGATGGAGTATTTTTTCCTGGGCTACTTCGTCTCCATAAATGGTCCTCTTGCCTCGTTTCAAATGCTGCACCAGTTTACCTGGAGAATTGAACAGCGAATTTGCATTCATTTTTATTCATTTAATCCAAATGCGTTGCTTGGGTGATCAATACGGGAAGAGTTCACTCTGTGTACACTGCACTTCGCAAACTGCAGAGTAAGAAATAATTGGGTTTCTTTTACTTGTCACAAGCTTTAGCAATAAAGATTACATATCTATGTACACGTCGAAACGTTTATCGTGCTCGCACCTTCATTGCTAATCACCTTGATAGGAATGTGAGGAATTTGGCTGAATTTTTAATCAACCTTTTGAGCGCAACCGAGAGAAAGAAAAACAAATCCCCGGCTAAAGAATATCCCACAATAGAAACCCTCTTTAATTTTTAAACGGTTCTTTGCGGAAATATGACATTCTAATGTAAGAATTTGCGTGGGCGGTCGCGAAATTTCGTGACATCAAAAACTCACTTGGCCCATTCAAAAGTCAAAATTTAGGAAACCAGTGGCCAAGATGGCCTCCGAACGATACGGGTGCCAACAGACCGACGGCGATTTTGCTATTTTTCCAGGCCGACATGAGCCCCCCGGTAATTTAAACACCAGGAATAGAAACATACAAGTTGGAAAATCAAATCATAACCTACCTTTCCCTCATATCAAAAAGAAGAGATGACAAAAAAACAACAAAGTGCTCCGAAAATCCAGACTTCAGTTTACGAAACAAGAGGACCATTCACTTCAAGGAGGTTTTTCATTTCATAAAAAGAAAGTTTTACCGGTTTTGCATAATTTTTTTTAATAAACTGAAACTCAATTATAATTTTATTTGATAAAAAACTCTTTTTAATGAATATTAATATGTTAAAGATGAAAAAGTATTCAAATTTGATCTAGAAATATACTATTATAATGTTTCAATTCATAACCATTCTATGAATTATTAAAATTAAATACCGGTTTTCTGAAGCTTCGTCACCAAAAGCTCCTTGGTTGGAGGCGAATTCACGATCCCAATCCGAATCAAGCACGAATGCCCACGACTGCCGACGACCTTCGTTCGAGTACGAGGTGCAAGTGTTTTTAGCAATGGAGGTCTAGCGGAGTATGTTGTTGTAAATGCGAATTCTCCTTTATTTCACGAGCGGACTGCGTTATAAAGTTCAGCATTGGATTCGGCTACCGACTCTTTCCATAACCGACACGCCGAAAAGGCCGAATTTTCCGAGGTGAGCGAAGCAGTGTGAAATAATTTTTGAACGTCGTTCACGCATTCTTGCCTGCATTTACGGGCCGATTAAATTTATTTCGAATGAAATTCGTGCATTTTTGTTGCATTAACCTAAATTTTTCATCGCCCCGTATGGATTTTCAAAAGTTGCTTTGTCATTACCATAATTTTGTTTGCAAAAGTATGTGGTTATGAAACGCCTGCTGCAATTTAAAGAGCTAAAAATTAGCAGGTGATATAAACATAAACATTGGCGTGACCTGCATTATCAGGATAATATCCTCAGTTAATCAATTTTCTGACTCCTCAACAATTTTGTTTTGTATGTATTTTTATTTTCTTACGAAAAATTTAAACGAAATGAGTTTTCAGTTAATCGGATTTTTATGGATTTAATTATTGTTAATTATGTAGTACGGATGCAAATTTATCTGAAATTTTTATGTTTTCAGTGAACTTTGAAATTAGGATTAAGCGTCAATATGGGCTCGAAGAATAGGAACTCGTTTCGCGTGCCGGATATTATGGTCTTCAGGCCAACTATGGAAGAATTTAAAGACTTCAATAGCTATGTCTCCTACATGGAAAGCCAAGGGGCTAACCTCGCCGGCTTAGCCAAAGTAAATATTTTCTGCATACAGGAAACTTGGATTAATTATCTATTTTATCAGGTAATCCCTCCACCGGAATGGAAGCCACGCTCAGGCACTTACGATATGTCCGAAATTGGCCACTTCAAAATTCCTGCACCCATCAGCCAAATCCTGAACGGCGTCGGAGGCACTTACCAGCAAATCAACCTGCAGAAAAAACCCATGACGGTCAGCGAGTATAAAGAGCTGGCGGAATCAATGAAGTATTGCAAGTATGTCTGAAAATTCACCACCCAAACTTTATCTTATCTCTCGGCATTAAGCTTATAAGTTAATTTGTAGAGCTTGTTTTGTGACAACTCCCAATTTGGGACTAGACAGAATTTGATTTATGACTTGATTATCATTCCTAGGTACAGACCCCCTCTCGGAGACAATGAAGAAGTTGAGAGGGCATACTGGAAGCACATATTGTACGGAGAGCAAATTTATGGAGCTGATGTCAGTGGCTCCTTGATGGATGATGACCTGAAAGTGAGGAATTTTAAATTTTTTATATTTTACATGCTTGATATATTTTTTAATATATAACATTTTTGTTATTAACTATATAGGGCTAAATAATTTTTCAGTATATTATTCACAAAAATTTTAAACGTGATTTAATTACTGAAACGTATTTTATTATATCAGGAATGGAACATCAACAAGCTTGGCTCGATTCTTGACTACGTGAGTGAGGACTACAAGATAAACATTGAGGGTGTCAACACAGCGTACCTCTACTTCGGCATGTGGAAGACCACCTTTGCCTGGCACACAGAGGACATGGATCTGTACAGCATCAATTACCTGCACTTTGGTGAACCAAAAACATGGTACGCCATTCCTCCGTCGCACGGACGAAGATTTGAGCGGGTGGCCGCCGGTCTCTTTCCGGACCACTTCAAGAGTTGCAAGGCTTTTCTCCGACACAAGACGTCGCTTCTCTCGCCTTCCATACTTAAGGCTCACAGCATTCCCTACCAAACTGTAGGATATCATAATGTTTTGAATCAAGGTTTTATTAATTTTTACTGCAGATTACTCAAGAAGCTGGAGAGATTATGATCACCTTCCCGTACAGCTACCACGCTGGCTTCAACCAGGGCTTCAACTGCGCCGAGTCAACAAACTTTGCGTCCAAACGGTGGGTAGAGTATGGGAAGCGCTGTCTCCACTGCACTTGTATGAAAGATTCAGTGAAGATTTCCATGGACGTGTTTGTCCGACGCCTTCAGCCAGAGAGATATGACCAGTGGCTCCTGGGAAAAGACATAGGAGAGCACCCCGAAGTGCCAGGACAGAAAATTCCTGCTCCACTTCCTGACGGAGGCTTTGCTAGGAGGTAACATTTTGTTTTTATTTAAAGTTTAGTGCTGTATATTTGGATATGATCCTTTTTTTAATTCCATAAACTTAAATTTATATTAAACATTTGAAATGTTTTAACAGGTCACCAGAAAAGAATGCAGACTTGGTGAAGAAAACATCTAAAAGACACCCAATACACAAGCGGCCAGCTTCGCCATCTCTCAGTCGATCACCAGAAAGCTCAACAGACTCTTGTGAAGGCGAGGATCTCCCTGATGAGCAGGACCTTGCCTATTTGGAAGAGATCTACATAAAAGGTGGTGAGCTTGGTAGGTTTTCTTAGCTTTTGCTAAGAGATACCTTCAGAGAGTTGCATGAATTTAATTTAAATATTTCTTGGCTCTTCAAGAAATTGCTTATACCTTCTAGGCCTCAAAGAAAATATTTTTCAATGACTAGTTAAATTTTACAGACCCCAAGGACGCCACCATACTTGATGATGGGCATGGAATGCGCCACCACTTGCCAGGAGCTAAGAAACCAAACTCTGATGAAGAAGCTGAATGGCTTCCGTCAAGTGTTAAGAAATCACCAAAGAAGAAGCTCAAGTGCAGGTTAGCCCCAGAAATTAAACATCTTAAGTCTTTGTAAATTTTAATTATTATTTTAATAATAAATAATCCACTTGTACTTTCTAACTTTAGGTACCCTAAGAACAGTATCAACCCTTTTCCTATTCAGACAACGTCTGGTGGTCGAAAGCCGATGCTGAGTGCTACTGTGTTCCCTTCCGTGAACAGCCCTAGCCGTGCTGCCTCGACCACCTTCTACGGTAGTGAGAACTCGACCACCTTCTACTGTAACGAGGCTATTAGCCGAATCTTGGGGAAAGATTTGACCTGCATGCCTGTAGTGAGCAAATCGCAAGCAGCCAGCCCCGTTCCGAAGAGGAATTTCCCTTACAAAAGCACCAAATCTGGCACTACAACGCCCAAGCCAAAGAGCTATTACAGCCTTTATTCCTCTCAAGTACAAACATCGCCAATCAAACCAGAGGATAGCACGCCTCCAAAAAATATAGGTTTGTTGTTCTTCTTTTGTGCATAAGGTGTTCTGAGTATAAAATTCCAGGTGTTGATGTGTTGAGAGATCTGATCAATGCAGCTGTGCTGATTGACACAGACATTGAAGGACTCTACAACTCTTACTGGAGTCAAAGCGAGCCACATTGTTCACTGTGCACAGCCTTGTGCACCAGAAAAAGCAAAATGCATGACCCCATGCCCGATGACTGGAAAAAGTACAACTACGAAAGCATCCCTGTTTACCAGAGTGAAATTTGGTCACCTGCCTACGTCTTCAGCAGAAAACTGAAGGTTAAATTTCAGAATATTCTAGTAAGACGTTATGTTTAATTTAATTATAAATTTCAGGATCATAGCTCTGATCAGAGCTTCGAGTTTGGCACCCAAATCAACAAATCGCCTCTGTTGACCTGCGAGAAATGCAAAGTTTGTGTGCACGCTTCTTGCTATGGAGAGTTTAGGACTGTGTTGCCCGGCCAGCCTTGGTGCTGTGACAAGTGCCGGGTGCATATGAGTGGAGCGGTAAAATTCCCTATCATTTGTATTAAATTTCAACTAAACCAAAATTCTCTCTAGTCTTGCTGCCTGTGCCCCATTCCTTGGGGTCCACTGAAGCGTACAAGTGACAGGCGTTGGGCCCACCTTCTCTGCTCACTGGCCATTTACGAGGTCAACTTCATGGGAGAGGACAGGGAACCAATCAATGTGCACAATATCAACCAAGATAGGCAGCACTTTGTAAGAGATTCAAATTTTGTTCCTAATTGCAACATTCTTCATTATTTTATTTTTCAGAGCTGCTCATACTGCAAGGGTTCCGGCCGTGGTGTTTGTGTTGAGTGCTGCCACCCTCTCTGCAAAGTTGCTTTCCATCCCACCTGTGGAATGGTCTGCGGCGCCAGGTTTTCAATCAGCAAAGGGCCAACAGCAGTTCACGTTCTCGCTTCGTGTGCCGATCACACTCCCTGTCCAGCCAAGGTGGCTACGAAAGTGTTGAAGAGGCCTAACATTGGAGACCAAGTTGGTTAATTTTTAATAACATAAAGCAATAATTCTAAAATTCTACTTTTTACTACTAGGTTTGGGCGAGGCACCCTAACGGCAGTTTTTACAGTGGAACAGTGGAATGCGTGGACGAGAAGATCTTTGCATGGATTGCTTATGCAGATGGATCCTTCTCTAATGAGACTGAGCCTCAGTTTGTCTCAGTAAGAATTTCATCTCACTTTAATCAAATTCAATTAACTTGCTTATATTAGTTTGGCTCATACTGCCGAGACAAGCAACTTCGCAGTGGACTGCGTGTCGACGTTTTGAGTCCACAAGGCGTGGCCTACCAAGGAGACTATGAGGGCTCTTCATTGGCCCTTGTATACACTGTAAGTTTCTTCTTATATTTTGTTTCGCTCAGTATTGAATTTAAATTTTAGGTGCGCACGGAGTCGCTACTTATTACTGGCGTAAGGGACAGTGACCTGATTGAGTTTGGCAAATCCGAGCCTGCCCTCGTAGAGGAACAGGTGAAAGTAAGCAAAATACACATTTGTTTTATTTAATGCTCATACATCTCTTTTTCTGTTTTAGCAAGAGGTTCCTGAGGAAGCCACAATTTCTTCGACTACATCATAATGTGCTCGCAACTAACTTGAAATTCTATTCCACCTTCCAATAAGCAATTTTGTACAATAGCCATAATTTCAATTATTCCTTTCTGTGACAAAGTCAAAGAGTTGATTTAAATCCCAATTAAGTGAATCCCAACGTCCAGACATGGAATTTGTATTTAGAGATGATTTCACATTCAATATTAAGTGTTTGTTTCGCTTGATCGTAACTCCTGTTTTAACTGCAAGATCTCCGTTTTTTGTTTGTTAAGTGTTAAGAGAATTTATGAACGCACGCTGAAGATTAGAAAATTAAGCCAATTATGCAAAGTTTAGTGTAACTTGCTTAGGAAATTGATTGAATCTATAATTTCTTGTTGCTGTCAAGAGTTTGACTATGTAAGGAAAATTGTAAAACATGTTTCTTGTGAACGAATTGGAATTATTGAATCCGAATAAATCTAAATAATAATTATCTGCAAATCATTTTTTAAATTTTCTTTCGTTCCAAACATCACAAAATCTCATAAACAAACAAACAGATTTGAATTGACGCACCTTAAGATTTCCTAAACTTCTTAGAATTCTAGTGCGCCGCAAAAAAAGATATCCCAACTCTTTTTTTAATGTCCGTCAAGCATTACAAAGTGCGTCAAAATTTTGCACTTAGACGTAAGCAGAGCGCGTCTTATCAGTTCTGTTCAATGGGATTGATTTGTATAAAGCTTCAGTTTGGAGATGATATCTTCACAACAACACAAACAAAGGAAGAGTCAAGACGTCTAAAATGTTCAAAGCATGGAAATTTTTGCTAGCTTTTGGGCTGATGGCCGAGGTGAGAGGTAAGCAATTTTTTCATAATTTATTTTGCCATAAGTTTTCTGATGTATCACTTACAAAAAGGTTGCATGGGCGCAGCTATCGGCAGCACAAAAGTTGTAGTTTGCCAGTACAATAGTTGGGCGCCGTACAGAACCGCACCTGGCAATTTTACCGCCTCGATGATCGACCCTAATTTGTGCACCCACGGCGCCTATGAATTCGCTTCTTACAATCCCTTGAACGACGAAATCTCGCACTCAAACCTGCACGATCTAGATTCTGAGGACGGAAAGGCTGGTAATGAAATTTCCAATAAAACATACATTTTAATTGGTTTTCAAATTAAAAAAAAAAAAATCGTGATTTTTAAGGAGGCTACAGACAAATGGTTGAGCTGAAACTGAAAAATCCTAATTTTAAGCCCATGCTTGGCATTGGTGGCGCTGGAGCAGGAAGAGATGCATTTACTGAGGTAATTAAATAAAAACTGAAATGTTGTATTATTATCATATTTTATGAAATTATCAAATCATATTTTTTTATTATATTCTTAGATGGCAGCAAGTCCAACGAGACGTGCAGTTTTCACACAAAACGTGATCGCCTTCCTAAAGTTACACAATTTTGAAGGTCTCGAGTTTGATTGGGTTTCGCCAGTTTACCTCGAAACAATGGTACATTAAAAAATATATAATCATTATTTTACATCATTTTTCTTTTTAATCAGGTTATCACTTAATAAATTTAATGGGTTATTTTAATAAACAGGCGAGTTTTGGCACGTTGTTGAGTGAGATGAGAGTGGAATTTGATAAGGAAGGCTTGGTCTTGAGCGCCAGCTTGCAAGCCGTTCCCTATGTTAACACCGGCTTGGACGTTATCTCAAAGTGAGTGTGAATTTTTAAGAGTATTCTCTTTCATGCCTTAATCTCGCATTCAACAGTGCCTGCCACTTTGTTGTTCTGATGACCTACGACTACAACGGGCCATGGTGGTTGGTCACAGCCAACTCGGCGCCTCTTTACGGTTGGGGCTACTATAACGTCGTAAGCTTCTTTCTAAGTGCAAATAATAATAATTAATACATTTTATTTTTAGAATACGTCCGTCTATGAGCATATCAAGTATCAGGTGGATCCAGCGAAAATTGTACTCAGTGTCCCTGCTTATGGCAGAAGCTACACCCTAGTCGACCCTGACAGCCACACTTTGGGTTCAAAGGCCTCAGCTCCCGGCGCCGCCGGCCCTTATACAAGAACACCAGGCTGGATTAGTTTCAATGAGGTTTGGATTTAATTTTTTTTTAATCTTATTTTTTAATTTATCTTGGAAAAATTAGCTTGCTGAAGATATTGAGAATTGGACGACTGAAAGAGACCCTTCAAGTTTATCACCTTATTCTTATAAAGGGGACCAGTGGGTTTCCCATGATGATGAAATTTCTACTAAAGCAAAGGTAAAAATTGAAAATCTAAAATGAGCAAAAGGTTCTCATGCTTACTTTTAGGTTGAATATGTGAATTCGATGGGATTGGCTGGCGTTGCAATGTGGTCGGTGGACGAGGACAATTTCTTCGAAAACTTCACTCTGCTGAAAACTATTAACCAATGGCTCAACTGAAGTTAGAAGCCGTTTAATTTAATCCTTGTACGAAAACTAATTTATTTTATTTTCTCAATTTGTGACAATCTTGTAAACTATAAAATAAAATTATGCATAAAGTTTAATACACTTATTTAATCTATTTCCTTAAAATTGATCCATTTCCGAGTTCATTGACTTTTTAAAAATCGATTAGTTCAATGCTTCAGTTTATTCGCTCGTGTAATTGCATTGATTGAATGCCTTGAGAGACAATAATTGCTTCAAATTCTCCAAGATCAAAAGGACCTCGCGATCCTCCGATTGAGTAGCAGATAGATTCCAATCAATCGAAGCCGGTGCCAAAAAGTGATAAAATTTCTCTCGCGCCCTCTCTCTCCTGCTGCTCGGCGGCACAGCGCTGTTTCATTCTAATAATAAACAGCGCCGAGCAGTCAGAGAGTGATTTGGAGGGCGATATTCTTCTTCTCGACTTGGTTTTCTTCTTGCGCCGGGACGGATTGGATCATCAGTTGGTTCCAAAACACTGAGCAGCGCGCGCTTCCTTCCCGTGAGGAGAGCAAATTGGATCGGGGTGCGGCCGGCTGATAATAGGTGCGAGGACATTTTTACGACAACAAGTATAAAAAGCGTGAGTCGATTTGTTACTATAACTATTGGGGTTTCTTCTTATGTGTTTTGTGATTGACAAGCGAAACGAACGGTGTACAATTTCACGCCGACTTAGAGGAAATTTATAGAGATTTGTTCTTCTTTTAAAAAAAGGCGGGGATGAAATTAATCTCATTTGACATAGTAGTTAGGAAATTTATAGCAATAATTATTATAACAATATTTAGGTTTTAATTCAATATCTAAAAATTTGAATTAAATATTATATTGTAATTTGCAAAACGCATATTTTCTTTTTAAGATTAATTTTGTTCTTACTTTTAATAAGAAATATTTCCACTTTCAATAATTTTTAATCCAGTAAAATTATATGTTCAAAAATTTAAACAGAGAACAAACAAAAATCATAAAATTAACATTCATTTTCCACTGGTATTTTTTTTCTCAATTTTATATGACAGCAAATCGCTAGACGCTAATCTACATAAAATAACGAGGGCGTGTTACATTTTACTTTTCTTGCGTTCGAGCCAACGGGTGGACTGGGGTGGACGATCTCGGACATCATTTGCTTTTGGCCCACGCCAACAATTGTTAAAAGCTCTCATTCTTGCCCGCGCTTGTGGCTGCGGCGAGCAAAGATGATCGGGATTCCCGAACGCGCAACAGCTCGGGCTGGCGAAAATGAAAATCACGACCCAGAAGACTAAAATTATAAATACGGCGCTTGGAGAAATACACACTTGTCGTAAACATTAGCCTGCTTGTTTTGCCACTAGGCATAAACCTCTGATCCAAGCGGACGACGAGTTGGAGCGAAAGGATTTTCTTTTTTACTTTTATTTATAATAAATCGGAGCTTAAAATTGCAACATCAAAAATTTCAAATCCCAGAAAATTTTAAAAATTTAATTTCCGCACAGATAATGGACCTGATTTTAATCAATTTATTATTCTATCAATAAATTTTGCTGATTTTTGGGCAAATATTTTAAGAGAAATGAAAATTATTTTGTAACCGAAGTCGAAAAAGTGTAGCCGGATCAGAGAACAATGGACAGTGGGATCAAAAACAGGTGCGGGCTGCGTGTTGAGTTTCTTTTGCTTGGAGTCCTGCCAAGTCCCGCCCTCGAGAGCTGTCCCCACCGCCCCCTCAAGGCCCCCTCTGACCCCTCCGACCGAAAATAACTCCCTGGGCGAACCGGGAGCGAAAATGCTCACCTCAAATCGCCGACCAGCCCTTTGATCACTCCAGCACAAAAGGTATTCCGGCGCAGCTCCAAACTGTCCTCGCGACTAACGACGCGGCTTTAAAAATTTTGGCTATCTCGCAAGTATTAAAATTTCCCAAGACCCGCCGCCGCCGCGTGCTGTTTGTTATTTTTCTCCAACACCCGCCGGAAGAGTATCCAAACACACGTCTGAAAACTCTTTCAACGCTCGAGTCAACTATTTTTTTTTTTTCGAATCAAAAACGTTCTAGAGGAATCTGAAGTCTGAAATATTGTGAGATTAATTATTTCGCAACAAATACAAGTCATATCCCCTGTCGTAGTTTAAAATAGGCAACACGCAGCACCTCTGTGCTAAGCGGGTTGCATAGCATGTCATTCTCGCAGGCGAACGTGCTTAAATTGTGAATTATTCATGTTGCAGAAAAATGGAAGTGTCACTGACAAGTAGTGGCGAGGGCAAAGTGGTTGCCCACGAAGAGTCCTCCGCTTCCGAGTCCTCCTCGTCTTCAAAGGTAAGAAATTTAACAATTAATCAAATTTGGAAACAAAAATTGGAAGGAAAAATTCACTTCCCGTTTAGGTTGTTGAAGAGCGTGGAGTCAAAAGTCACATTCAGGAGAGCTCGCAGAAGGAAGAGCACTCGCTGATGGAGCAGCGTGTCTCTGAGAATGTGTCCTCGTCGACCAAAATGTCCGTGCAGAGTTTCTCGTCGGTCAGCCAAAGCGTGTCCTCGTCGACCTCTATCAGCTCCTCGAGCAACACCTCCTCGTCCATCCAGATGTCCGAGGAGGCCATGAAATTGCTCCAGTCCGCCGAGGAGCAGGTAAAGAGCATCTTATTTTGAGGCGGCCGAGCGAAAAAAAAAAATCTGTCCGCCCGCATTGGTGCTTTTTTTAAAATTGCGCATTTTCTTCTTTCTCTGTCCAGGGCTGAGATTTTTTATGTAGAGTAGAATTTCATCCTCAGCTGATTTTTAAAAGACACTTTTAATTAATTATTTTTAAAAAAGCAAGGTTTGTCTCTTTCCAATGTGATCGTCTGTTCTTCAGCCTCTGTATACTTTCTATTTGTCGAGAAATAAATTTTCAATCAAACACTCCACTATTATATTTTGATGTGTGCTCAAAAACCTTTAGTGAAACCAATGAATATATTCATTATTAAAAAAAAAGTCAATTGAAATGCCCACGAGTGAATCATTCCAGGAAAAGAGGGCTGTAAAAATAAACAAAAGCTAAATTTATAATGGTTTTGTGCGTTTAAAGTTTCGCACAAGATGGCCTGATGGTAGAATTAATTAACTGTGTGGGTCGGGCCGTTGTGTTTGCGTATGAGTGTGGCTCTCGAAATAGAATGGCCCGCCGATCCTATAGATGAAAATCTGCTCAAAACCCCTTTGCTTTCTCTCCCAACTCATCCTCCCTACTGTTTTGCTAATTCGCGCTTCGCTCATTGTTGCAGAAAAAGGCCAGCGAGGCGCCACTCGACAACAATGGCAATCAAGTTGACCAACACAAGCAAACAAATGTGAGTCACTTTAATTATTTTTTGCATTTTACATTCAACTTGTGCATGCGACGCGCAGATTATTTCTGCCGCGCTTGATCATCAAAGCGATGAGCAAGTCTGGGGATAAATTAAATCCTTGGCAACACTTGCATTCAATTAAAATTCAAAATAGAGCTATAATTCAAAAGAGAAATGTTGTGAAAAAAATTGTTAATTTTTGCAGGGTGCCGAATGCAATGGTGTTCAAGAAATTCACCAAGAGAGTATCAGAAATACGCTGCACGAGATAATAAATGAAATAGAAACAGAAACAACAAATGGAAATAAAGAAAATGAGGTAAGATTTTGAGAAGAAGAAAAAATGAAATTTAAAGGTGAAAATTTTATGCCTTTAGCCACAACAGAATGGTGGAGGTGCAGAAACAAATGGTCAAATAGGGGTGAGTAGGATTTTTCATATGTTACTTTAAATTTAAACGGGAATTATTATTAATATTACTGAGAGTTCCAAATACTCCAAATTCTTTAGGTCTGCAATTATTTTGTTTCCCGAGAGTTGCCAAATATAAATTCAGAATATTCAAATTACTCAAATCTTTTACACAAATTAAGTTCAAGCAACTGTCTGAATTATTAATTATTTTTAAGCGTATTATATAATTTACAAAAAAAAATCCAAACATTCCAAACGCCATTCTATTTTTACTGAGATATTTGCAGAAAATAGTTAAAGATTTAAATTTTTGATGTAATACAATAAAATGTTTCCAACTCTTGTACATTATGAAAGCAAATATTTAGTATCTTTCAATTAGGTTCAAAATATGGGGTGAAAAATCTTCAAAGGAAAAATTTTTGAAGACTTTTAATGTACCATTAAACAAAATGAGACAGAGACTCCATTAACTTATCAAAAAATAATTCACAAAAAAAAAATATATATATAAATAACACAAAATTGAAAGAGCAAACTGTTTCATATAAATGTTATGCATTTTTTATTATTATTTAATTTTTCTTGGAATGTCAGCAAGATGCATTATTAAATTTAGTTCCGCTACTGTGACACCCTCTCTGCTTGTTGGTCGCGAACAGTGGTCGCTGCTCGGCGTCCTTGGGCCAAAGACAATGGTGCGTTTGAAAATATTAATGAAAGGGTGCGCTCGCGGCCGCCGCGGTGGTTTAAAAGTAGACCGGAGCGAGCGGTAATTTGGCGCGGTGGGCCGCTCTCGAACAAGCCGCCGCCGCCGTCGCTGCATTTTCTCCGCGCTTCGCCCGATTTTCGACGCCACTTTTCCAAATGAACGATTGCGAGTTTCCGGGGAACCGGGGGTTCAAACCCTCGGACAGACATGACCCCAGGAAGAAGGAATTCCTCACCACTCTGAGCAACAAGCTGTGGCGCGTCTCGCTGGTAAATAGTTTGGAATTTTTGATACTTTATTTTTATCGCGCGTGTGTGACCCGTTTTTAAACGGACGGATGAACAAGTTTCTTGGAACGGACAAGTGTGCTTCCGCATGTTTTGAGCAGTTTAAATCTAATTTTGACACTTTGGGCTAATTAGAGGTGGTAGAGGTCAAACTGAAAGGACGAATTGTTTCTCTCCAAATGTGTCAAAGATAATTTATTTTGTACAGGAAGGGAAAACTTTCAAAGAAATTAATTAAATTTATACCAAAATTAAATTAAAAAATTGTTGAATTTTTATTAAAAATTCGTTTTGAATTCTTTTAAAATAAATCTAGTGGTTGATTTTGATGTATGGAGTGTTGCAAAAGTTTTCGTCATGTTTTTACGCGCGGGTGGATGAAATGTGTGGAGTTCTAGTTCTCCGACGTAGACCGAGAGTGGTTTTAATCAAAACACAGAGGTGTGGATTGCGCCATAAAATCTCTTTCGGATTGAGCCACTTGGAAGTTTGCCCAGCGACCAGACGTCCAGCCGGTTCTTTTATTTTATTATTACGCTCTCTGGCTCGCTAAGTCACAATATTATGCAGTGAAAAATAATAAAAATTAAAAAAAGAAACATATTCCTTTGAAGTCTACCAAACTTTCATATTTGTCAATCGCACCACAGAATCAACATTGTATCAAGAAATAATAACCAGCTGCAAGTAAGCAAATTATATTTTTTGAGATGGAAAATAATTTTCGTTATTGTTGGAATAGGTCGTTATTTTCCTTCTCTTTGAAGTCAATGTTGACAGCTCTTGAAAGAAAACTTGCTAAATATTTACAAGTGGCTCTCTTGAAAGTATTTAAATCTATTAGTACAGAGCAATGGCCTGCGCGATTAAGAGCAGATCGGCGCCGTAAAATAAGTTGCGTCACGGCGAATACGAGAGAGTCTCGTTAGTCGGGAAGAAGTTCACACCCAGCCAGGGCTAATTTTAAGTCCCGAGAACTACCGACAACGTGGGCGTCTTTTTTCAGCGCACTCTTACTTGACCGCTATCTGTGATCGAGTCTTACCCTCTTTGTTTTATTTTTTAAGTGGGGAATTTAATTAAACCAATGAAAATAAAAAAAACCATTTTGAAATATATTCTTGCTGCAAAGTTGTAACAGAACTTTTGTTTGATAAAATTTTCTATCAATAAATAAATTCTTTATGAACGTAGTAAATCTATAAAATTCTTGATGATTTCAGGAAAACCAAGATGAGGCGTACGAGCCCAAAAAGATTGACCTCCAGAAACTGTTCACACCAGCTTCAGATTCTGGTGAAATCACGCCCCAACAAAGAAACCGTAAGTTGAACTCATTCTAAATTTTATCTATTTTCAGAGAGAAATAATAAACGAAATTATGTTTATTTCTCCTGCGGAATTTATCACTTAAACATGGTTTAAGAGTTTAGTAATAAAATGTGTACTTTTGAATTTCCAGGCAAACTGTTCTCATCTTCGAGTTTCTACGCCGCCTGCCACCCAACGGTCCAGGAGCAGGTGCAGCTGGCGCACAAAATTTCAGCCAGTTTGTACGACACAACCAACCAGCAGAGCAAGGGACACTCGATGTACGTCAACAGAATGAAACGATCTGTCAAGTGGGTCCACGAATGTGAGTGCTTAAAGTCCATTTTTCACTGCTTTCCGCCTCGCCTCGTCTACCAGCGCTTGTGTTTTTTTTAGTCCAAATTCAGCCGAGATGATTCACAGAAAGATTTTTACTAGAAACTTCTGGTTCAATAAGTTTTTGAAATTCAAGCCGTGCGATGATTTCTTAGATTGAGACGTTCGATTGAGAGTTTGAGGGGTAAAGAAAGAGGCGCGGAATCGGTCTCGTCTTGGCCAAGGAATTTTGGCTGTGAGCCACAGGGCTGGGGCAAAATAACGCAAAGAAAGCAAAATGAGCGTGAAAAAAGGAGCCATCAAATTATAATTAACACGGGCGTGTGGATCAAGGAATTAACAGCGCCCTTTATGCCGGCCCGACGCTTCATAAAAAAATCTGGCATCAACCTTTGAATTTGTGTCAATTTATAACTCGTCTATAATGAGACTTCCATGCACTTCCTTGAAATAATGCGCCGATAGAAAAATCCAAATCCAAATGCTGTTAAAAGGAATTAAAAATAAAATTTTTGCATTAATTTCCTACAATTCATAATAAAAAATTTTAATATTTTGATATTTTATAATCATATAAGTTTTCAAAAATATTCCAATTGGTTTAAATATTTTTACTTGATATTTCATTAAATATTTATCGTTCTCTGTGATAATTATTTACTTTTTGAAAAGGATTTTTAAAATTTTTAGTTTCAGAACAAAAACATATTTTTGATCAATTTTATTTTCATTTTCAAAAGTACCGTGAATTTTTATTCAAATATTATTTAAAAAATCTTAGATTGATAAATTTTAGTGGTTCATTGCTTCGAGTGCATTATTTATTTGAACAAAGCCCCGTTCACAATGCGGCGACCGAATGTTTTCGCTTGCTTTCTGCCGCACACAATCGAAGGGTTTGACACGGGGCAGCGTGTTGGGGTGAGAGTGGGGGTCGGAGGGGGGCCTTGAAATAGCGCGATCACAATTAAAGCGCAGTCTTGCCGGGATTTCCACCGGATCTATTCTGAGGCGGCTCGCGCTCTCGCTCGCTCGGCCAGCACCAGCGCTCAGGGCGGACGCACCCTTGCCATGTCTTCCAGGGTGGGGTGGATTCCGTGTGTGGGAGCGCCTCCTCCACCTGGCGCCGCCACCCTCCTGCCCTCGGAACTCAAGGACCGCCGGCGACTTCAGCAGACTAGGGTGCAACTCAATGGAAGTACGTTAAATTTTGCGAAAATAACTTCCAGTAACCGTAAGAATTCATTTATAAAATGCGAAGGTTTACCAGTTTCGTCAGCTAATTCCAAAGAAATTTAAAAAAAAGTATTATTTTTTATCACGTGCTTTGTATTTAGAATTTTGGAATGAGACTTCTCAAATTTTTAAATCAAACCAAAAAATATTATTTAATTTGGCTTTTGAACATTTATTCAGTCCAACTTTGGAACGCTTATGTAGGTCAAGTTTTTAAGTGCTTCCAGATAACCCTTCAACTCGAAAACGCTCTAGTGCTTTAAATTTAACTCGGACTGCTGGCGATCTCTGCGCCAAAATTGAATTTATCGAATGCCCTGTGGGCGGTCGCCAAGCTAGAGAAAGATTTTGTATGAAATTAAGCCTGTATTAATTTAGAACAGTGTCGCCTCTTTCAGTAGAATTTCTCGGAATTAACAAGCGAAGTTTCGAGCGAATGCGGCATAAACAAAAATAGGCTGGTACGCCTCGCTAAACCACGGATGCTGTAAACAACTTTTAAATTATTATTACGCGCTGCACAAAGACTTAAAAATGATGCACGTTTTCTTAAGATTCACGCAGCCGCTGTCGTAAATTTAATGAGGCGGAGAGCAAAAATGTTATTAACGCGCCTGCCAAGACAAAGAATAGGCAACCTGCTGGAGCAGGGAGCCGTGCATGTTGCATAACTAACAACATTTTATGCCAACAGCACAGGGCCAGAGCGAGGATGCGAGTGGAAGAGGCGAGGATCAGAGACCGGCAACTCCGACTACCGCGGACGTTATGGGAAGTTACAAAATTCCTCCAAAGGTAATGGAAAAATTAGGATATTTTGAAATACCTTGCAAAATAAAATTTACTTATTTTTAGGAGGTTAATTTGAGCCTTGTAATGAATCCCCACGGTCAGATTCACGACATCAACAGCCTTCGAAAGCAGGGCTTCAAGATCGAGCCTGGTCAAATAAGCCCCGACGTCGTTTTTGACCTGGTTAAAGATCTCAACTCACCCTGCGGAAAAGGTGATTACAATTTTTTGGTCGTATGTATTTAAATTTTATAAATTTTTTTGGTGTAGGTGCCGAATTATTTGCGAAACGACGCAAGCGGGCCGAAAAATGGATCGTTGATGAGATGTCGGTGCAAAAGCAAGTCCAAGATTCAGCCGCGGCCGCAGCTGCAAGAGCTAGCCCGAAACTGCCAGCGCCGTCAGTTATCGACCAAACCAGATACCAGCGAGAGATGCAAATGGCTGAAATACAGGTATTTGTGAAATAGTGAAGTAAAAACTAAATTTTTATTTTTTATTTTTTTAGGAGAAATATAATCAGCCAAGGCTAAAAATGGTCCAGAGCCCATGGGAGGCCGCTTTGAATACTGGTTCAGTACAAAATGCCTTCCAGGAAATTAAGAGGCAGCCTCCGACTCACAAGCAAGTTGTGGACACAGTTGTAAGTTAATTGATAATATCAAAATATAAAAATTAATTCAAAAATACAATTCAGGTTCAGCGGGCGTCTGAGCAACAGACTTCAACCCTGAGCACCGTGTCCAGCTCGACCCTGAGTCAGCAGCAGACTGTGCAGCAGCAGCAGCAAATGACCTTCCAGAGCAACACGCTGCCTCCCCAGACCCGTTCTTTCCAAGCGCCGTCTCCTCTTCCTCAAAGCCGAGCATACGCTCCGTCTCCGACCCCTTCTGGTCTCTCGTACTCCCAGCAATTTAGCCAAGCACCAAAACCCTCACCAGCTTTCAAGCAGCCCCTGCCTCCCACACCAAAGGTCCCATACCAACCGCCGCCGTCGCTTACGTCAAGGGTCAACGTGGACAACCTGCTTAAGCCGAGGGTACCCAAGGCATGGGACCCGACCGCTTTCAGCTGTGAGTGACATTTCAAGCATGCGCTTCAAGAAAAAATAGAACACGTGGTTTTTATAGCTTTGCCGAGGAATTTTGGATCCACAGTGGCTCCTGTTGCCAGACCTGCAGCGCAACCTGAGAGTGAGTATTTAAAATTTTTAATCTGAAAATAACACAATTTTTTATCTGTAACACTATCATTTTTTGTAATTAAATATTCTTTTGTAACCAAAAACTAAAATACAAATCTCGCAGGACAACCACCGGTGCAACCAGATTTTGTTTATCAACAGGATCCGGCTTCTAACCCTGCACCCAGTTTCCCAATTCAAACAAATGAACTCCCCGTTGCACCACAAAGCTATACTTTCTCTCCTATTCCAAGCACACCTGCCCCTCGCGCTTTCACTCCTCTAATTACACAACAAGTCACACAACCACAGTCCGAAATTGAAATCAAACAGCGTATGGAGGAGATCAAATCTGAGATTGCAACAAAGGCTGAGATATTCCAAACCAAGAGGGAGGAAACTGTTGTTTCTCAACAGACGGAACAGATTGTACAGCAGCAAGAAGTGACGGTGCAGCAAGAAAGTTTTCAACAGCAGCAACAAGTGGTTCAAGAGAGCGTGACTGCCACCTCGAGCGAGCAGACCGTCATCGAGGCTCTTGAAAGCGCTCCCCAAGAAGCCGTTCAGCAACCAGCTGAAGAGCTTCCTAAAGACATTCCCATGGAAGAAGCTGCCCCTGTACCCGAAGTTCAAGCGCCAGCTGCCGAGGAGCCTCAAGCTCCTATCCCTCAAGAAGCTGCTCCAGCACCTGTGGAGGTCCCAACTGAAATCCCTGAAACTCAACCTTATATTCCTGAACAGCCCCTACAAGTTCCTGAACCCATCGAGCAAGATCAGCAGCCAACTGAACAACCACAGCAGTTTGAACAACAGCCAATGGAGACTGAGGGTGAAGCACCATTCACCGGAGTGGAAAAATTGGAGGAAATCATCAGACATGAAGCTCAACAGCAGCTGCAACAAGAATCCTTTAGCCAGCAGCAGGAAAGTTTCAGCCAGCAGCAAGAAATTTTCAGCCAGCAACAGCAAATTATCAGTCAGCAACAACAGAGTTTCTCTCAGCAGCAACAGCAAAGTTTCAGCCAGGAAACGCATCAGACCATTAGCCAGCAGCAGACTTTTGCCCACCAAGAGGTCACTCAGCAGCAGTTCATTGCCCAACAGAGGCAGGTTGAACAGTTTGAACTTCAGCGCCAGCAAGCTCTACAGCAAGAGCAGCAACAGCAGTTGACCAGCCAGCAACTTCTTCTTCAGCAGCAACAAATGGCCAGTCAACAACTCCTGCAGAACCAATTGTTGATCCAGCAGCAGGAAATTGCAAGGCAACAGATTGCAGAACACATCGCCCTGCAGCAGGAACAGGGAGAGGATTACGAGAAAATTCCAGTGAAGCAACTGATTCAGACCTTTGACCCGAACCGCGTTTACCAACCTAAACCGACTAGGAAACCAGAAAAGCCCGCCACTCAGGCCCTTCCAAAGGCTGAGCTTCCGGATTATCTGCACTCAGAACAGCCTTGCAATTTCTCAATCCAGTATTCGCAGCCCAACGCGATTTACTTTGTAGCAGACACCTGTTGCGAGACTAGACAGTTCTTTGATGAGCAGCAAGAGCAACAGCAGCTCGCCTTCGAGCAGCAACAAATATATCAACAGCAACAACAGGCCTACGAGCTACAAATGCAGAATTACCAGTACCAGCAAAGTCTACAAGAACAGCAGGTGTCTTACCAGCAGCGATCGTATCAGGAGGAGTCGTTGAGCGCCTACCAGCTCGACTCCTCGTCTTCGTACAATGAGCAACAACAGCAAAGCACACAGCAACAATCCTTTTCCCAAGCCAAAGCCATAATTAACCATATCGAGCAGCAAACGCGGCAGCAATCCGCTTTGCAACAGAAAGGCAAGAGCAATTTTTTGAAATTTTGAAGCTCGTCTTGTTGCGCAAGTTTTGACCCCGTTTTTAATTGATCCCCAAAAGTGGAGTCGAAGATGAGACGCATGATTTTATGCAATTTTTTTTATCACGGCTGGGTGAAGTTTTTCCATTTTATTCTCCCCCCAGTTTGATATTTTCCCCTGGATTATACTATTAGAATCATATTACCTGCACCTCAATATATGTGATTTTTTGGCATGTTAAATTTTTGCATCACCCTATAACTATTTAATTGATAAAATAATTTAACCCCCTGTCATTTGGTGTTGTAGGCTTGCAGAGCGGAACCGTGGAAAACCACGTCGCCAGTGAAGAGACCCTACAGAGTGTCACCTCAAATTACGAAAACGCCGAACGAATCAAACAACAATTGCAGTCTGGAAATAATTATAACACGGCAGCTAGGGGTTGGGGCAAACAACAAGATTACTATCGTCCGGTTACTTTTAATAAAAAGCCCTTGTTCACTTGAATTTTGCAACGTGAAAATTATCCAGTTCTTCCTATTTGTACGTTTGTAAAGGATTGAATATATATTTATCATTTCTACCGCGTCTCACTCTGCAATGTGAATTATGGAACTTTATATACAACCTCGCGTTTACCACAGGTTAATTAAGCGCAATCATTTAAATTAAAATAAATAGTAGCTTTTAGTTGAGAAGTTGTTTGTTTATTGCCGACAGTAGTACAGTTTTGAGCTTCCATGATGACGCTCTTTGCGTTAAAAAAATAAATTACAAAAAAATAGCTTAATTCTCTTGCGTTTAGAGCTTTACATATGTATGTACAGGTGTAAAAACATGTGATTTTTGTGAGCCAACGAGATGTAAAACAGATACGCAATAAAGACTCGTCCACAAAACTCTACGCCTCCTTATTTCATCTACAATTTTTGCTTATTTATTAATTACATAATTATATTATTTATAATATAGTATTAATTACAATTTAATTATATATAAAACCGAGATCTTTTAGATTTTGTGTCTTTGGAATCCAAATTTTGGATTAGTAAACTGCAAATGCTTCACTACGATTTCGCCGTTTTCGATCTAGAGGTTTGGGCAGAAGTAACTGCAGCTGGTACTATATCCTTCTGTCCAATTCTCGATTCAATGACGACAGGAGTAATTTTTTCTTGAACGCCCATTCTGCTAGCAATACTGGTCATGCGGTAGTGACAAGCGCAACACGATGGGATCCTGTAATTCAAGGCAACCGCTTAGAAAAATGTTGCTATGCATAAGATAAAGAGCCGCAATGTTTTGTGGTCAAAATTGTTAACCAAGGAACAGGAATATAGATAGACTCGTCCGCAAAGCAACCGCAATAAACACAATATCCTTTTATGGCTACTTTGAATTTTTAGTATTCATTTGTGACTAATTATTTCTTTGAATTATTTAACATTTAGTCGGATATTGCATCGCGGCCAATTATTCAGCTCACGTATCCCTTTGTGTTAAGAATGAATGACACCACTACTTACTTGAAAGAATCGGTGAGTGCCCTTCCTTCGTCGTTTAGGGACACGAGCTTCCTGTAGATGTACTTCTGTTTGCAGGTCGTCACGTAGCCGTTAGGCAGATTTTCGCTCAATAAACAACGAGTCTCTTTATTACTAAATTGAAAAAAAAATTGATTTATGTTTAAAAAAAAATCATTAAATAAACTTACATGCATTTTTCGACTCGAATGCCTTGGACGAAGTCCTCCTGGTTGATAATGTAAAGCCACTTGTCGTCTTTATTCTGCGCCGTCTTTGGGTAGGCCACGTGTTCCTGCAATACACAGTGAAGATAAGCATTAAATTATTTTAACATAAAAGTCAATCATTGCAAGAACTGGTTTTTAAGACCTGTTCACGTTAATTTAAAAACGAAAGCAAGGGCGTATAACTCACCTGCGATGGACAAAGAGGCTGCTCGTCGGACGAGTCGATTCTCTGAGCCAAAATTATGGACGACAACTATCGATAAAAATTTTTATATGAAATAAAATAAAACAAATAAGGCAAAGGTACGTACATCATCCTGTCCAAAAAGGCCTTTGACCATCTTATCTTGTTTTAGCAGATTGGAAATATATTCCCTAAAAAAATAAAGTAACAAGAAATAAGCATTTTTGACCTAAATTTAATAAAAATGAAAATTTTACTTAGGATAATTATCAGGTTCCTCGCAAAATGTTGAGCCATCAGCGCAACTTGGACCTCTTTCCATTGGTGGCACATTTGGCAGAAATACTGTCGTCCTAGATGAAATAATTCCACTGTTGGCAAATGAAGGAGTGGTTTTTATGGGTCCAGGGAAAATAACACGTGAAGATGGCTCCTGGAAATCAAATTTAAGTTAAAAATTAAAAGTCTATCAATACAATTTATATTCTAGACGCATTTAAAGCTTCGTGTAGAATAATCTAAACAACTTAATTAAAATAATTTACTATAAATAGCACTACAGGTCTGCAATAGAAGCGCAACACATAACACTTCTTTAGGTCACTCACCTTATCTGCAGACTTCTGCGCAGGATCAGGGTAATCAGGTCGACTTGACCTTTCTTCAATCATTAAATCATCGGCTAGAGTCATGTTGCAGCCGCGGAATTCGCGATCGTGGGGCCGGCCGTGAAGCGCTTGTGGACTCTACAAATTAGAATAATTAATTTGTTTTTCAAATTAAGACGCGTTAAACTAATATTCTTTGTATAATAAGTGAAGCTTTTACATACAAAAATATTATTATTATTATGAAATTTTTAAATGAATGAATCCGGATGATGATCTAATCAAGAGGTATGCGTTTTTTGTCAACATCCTGGTGGTGATACCTCGTTTGCATAACAAGGCAAGTCGGTTTAACTTGATGACTACCACCTACAATTGTGGTTCTTTAATAATCAGCATTTAAATTTTAAACCCAATTACAAATTTTAGAAAATACTGCTCTGGTGTTTATAAATAGTGAGCAAGAAAAAATTTTAGCTTTAGTGTTTTGATCTGACAAACTAATAGAAAGTAAAAAATAAGTCATGAAAAATAATATTATTGTGTCGCCTAAAATTTACAGCTCCTTCCGTCAACAGGTGCGTAGTCCTTGCTCAATTGTTATTGTCTACCATCGGGTCTCTCCTTTTAAACATCGGATGTCGTTGTCAAGGATGCAGCGCTTACTTAGTTTTCAATTACAATAATTAATTACTTAATTATATGTGCTTCCACCGTTCTTTGCTCAACGCGACTTGCATTCTCGCAGTAAAATAAAATGCAAAAAAAGAGGTTCTGCTGCACAGGAAGTGCGTCAAAGCAGTTTTTAGATATTAATCGCAAAACATCTAAGAAAACATATATTAAATAACAATTCATCGCCTACGCATAATAAGCCGCGCCAGAGAATAAGAGGCGTTGAGAAACCTCTTGCGATCTGGTTGACATTATTCGGCACCGGTTTGCAAAATTAAAAAGGTGAACGAGGAAAACTAAAAATTAAATATGTCCGCTTGAGCCGGCTCCAGCAGAGATCAATGTTTGTTTAATTACATCAATAATGCTGAAGCACACGAGAAGTGAAAGTAGAACTCAGGTGTGTGATCGACTTGATAAATAACCCGTCGAGTGTAAACACATGAAGCGCACATGCTGCTGGCACTACGGCCGGAGATGATCAAAAGGAGTGAGATAAAAGTGAACTAAATAGTTTTATTATTTATTGCTATTCCCACAGCTTCAAATGTTTTTCCAGAGAGTTCAACGGCTGCTGTGCCTTAGCGTGCATTAAATTAATGAAAAGTGAAATCGATTATTGGAATGGTTGTGACAATTTCGAATGTTACGATGTGAATAAACGCCGCTTGTGAAATCAATCAAACGCTTTGGGCTTGTGAATTATTAGTATTATTAATTGAGAGTGATAATAAAACCGATATAACGGCGTCTTGCGCCAATCCAACTCCAACTCACTGGCCCAGTAATTGTTTATTGTCAAGAGTGTCAAACGGTTTAAATTGTGTTTGTATTTCAATTTGACCTTAAATTTTTTAGCAATTCAATTTTGAGGAATTCAAAGTTACCAAATTTAAATTACTTTCAAATAAAAAGGAGCCTTTCCAAAATTTACAGCGTTTTGAATTATAAAAGTTAAAATAAATAATTGCACTTACCAGCATAGCGACAAGAAAAACAAGCTGCAGGCTGATCATCTTATTAGCTATTCCGTCTCCGGCACTCGTAAAAATAACACCAAGCATAAAAAATAATAATAAATTACAGAGCCGGCGTGCGTGCTCTTGTGTAGAAAGTCGGCCTCCGACTGACTGAGTAATTGACTTGAGCGCGGAGAGGGATCGAGTGTCCTGAGTTCGCGCCAGGTGCCGCCTTTTATTCTTTCGCGCCTGAGATTCGAGTTGACCACATCCCAAGACGTCAGTCTCCAAGCAAAGAGATAATTATCAAAGGCACTAAAGAGGTTAACATTGGCTCTCCAAAACCAGTATCCGGGGATTCTAAGTCCCGGCTGCTCCTCTGCCCAGGACTTTCCGACAATGCAAATTCAAAAACAATTTTAGAGTTTACACGCTGCACGCAGGTTATGAAAAAATACTACTTATTGTGACCCAATGTCACGGACGTAGTGCGGCACCGACCTGCGGTCATCTGGTTTTTCGAACCCACATTTTGCACGTACTGGCGGTTGCATGTTATTCTGAATGGGATTTTCAGTCAACGTGAACCGTGGTTCCCTTTCACTGTGGGCTTCCGACTGCAGATGGGCACTCACAATGAGGCTAACAAAAGTAATAACTTTCGACTTACAAGGAGGCAATTAATTTGAAATTTGTATCAATCAGCTTGAAAGAAAATTTTGGCAAAAACAATAAGAAGGAATTAAAAAAAAGTAGGCAAAATTGAAATTTAAAATTTCCAAAGTAATTTTTTTATCAGGGCCGAATTCCATGAAGTTGCCTGAAGATAATTTTTTTTAATTAATTCACAGTTTACTTCCTTCGTGAAAATTTTCAACTTCAATATTTTTAATTATATTAAGTTTCTTCCTGCGGAAGTACATAAAGAATTTGTCGCCTGCAGATAATAAAATGCTTTTTAAAACATTGAAACGACTCACAAAACACATAAAGAAAAAGCTGACTAAATTCAAATCACGATAAATCAACCCTCAATCTTGAATTTTTACTAAAAAAAAATAAAATAATTTCATTTGTTTGATCGATTTTGATCAATTTAAACTGTTAAACTAGACTGCTTGATATGAGCAAGAATTTTCCGAATTTTCTTAAATACGGGTTCAATTTAATTTCGGCAAAGAGGAAAAATTGTTGATAATAACGTTGCGGAATCCCTAAATTAAAAGAGAAGTAAAATTTAGGTTGAAATTTGAAATCATCCAAGGCGTGCAAATGCTATAAAATAACATTTTAGTAAATTTATTGATAAAATTTCGCACATGTATTTAACATTAAATTTTTAGCTACAAACTCGCTTGCAAAATAAGTTGTATATTTATTATTATTCTCATCATCATTTCAAATCACCATTTATACAAAAATGCGACAAAATGTTATTATCTATGCTAAATTACACTAAATAACACAAATTAAATTTTAGTGCAATTATGTTAACTTCATATAATAAAATTTTAATTATTTGAAAGAAAAAACTGTATAATTTCATGAGTTTTGATATTTAGGTTGGTCACCCAAGGCGTAGGAATGCTATAAAACAACATTTTAGTCAATTTGCAAAAGAATTGCCCTTTGGTGGACTGGACACTTCTCGGAACTTGCTCACCTGAATTTTCTAGAGAAAATTTAGAAAACGTAAAATTATCAGCTGAATACTAAATGGCAAGAACCTGATAAAACTCGATCAGCCTTGACTTGTCGGCGCAGAAATTGGTGCTTTTTGGCCAGCAGCAAGTTATTTGCTCAAATCACGCGGTCGGAATACAAAATTAGCGGAGCCAGGCTGTCTGCCAAGTGCCGCCTTTGGGTGTAGAAAGAAATCATCAAGCCGGTCGAATCAGCAGATCATAATAATTGCCGGTTCTTGGCTGGTGTAATAAAAACAAAACGGTGTTTTTCAAAAAATGATATGACCTCAAACACGCATAATAACTGGATTTTTGCGGATATCTATATCAAGTTTTAAAATGAAAATAAAGGATTGGAGTTGATTTAAAACGGATTGAAACTTGAAATACAAGCTTGATTTTTTTAGAGGGAAAATTATTATTTAAGGCAATTTATTTATTCACTTTGTGCAAATAAACTTATGATGTATGTGTGGAGTGTAAAATTAATCCCATCTTCTGTAGAAGTTTTGAATTCACCCTACAGGAATCAATTTCGACGCAAGACAAAGGACCGCGGATGCTGCGATTTTTAGTCCTGACCTTTCCTCAAAGGTATCATAATATAATTTAAGCTTTGACGTCACGGTTTATAAGTGGATCGTCAATGATTACGTACAAAACAGGTGATCTAAAAATAGAGCCAGACATTTTCCTTGTTCCTTCTCTGGGTCAGGTGTGTAAAATCTTGTGATGAACAGGAAAAGTGAATGTTTGACGTCAGCAATCGTGCGAGTCGACGACCCGGCTAAGACTTTTAAAATTACAAACGAGATTTTATGGTGTTCAGAAAGGATGCATGCAGAACGATCGAGATGATATACCCACGCACACGACTGGCACTCGAAAGCGCCAAAAGCTGTTAGGGAATCCTAAATTGCGTCACTCACAATGTGACCATACAACACAACACATGGATGTGTAGTTTGCATGATTTATTGAAAAGTCGGTTGATGAAGTGCCAAAGAGCAGAGCAAAATTATATTTCCGCCTTTTTATTCAATAAAGGAGCAGGAATAATTCTTTTAGAATGATAGACCACAGTAATTGTGGTTATTTGTATAATTAAATTAATCAACTAACGATTTCAATAATAATGACATTTTCATATAAAAACATTGAAAATTTAAAAACTACTTTCTTCTTTTCATTCCATAATTTCTCTTTAATATTTTATGCTGAGAGATTTATCTTCCAAAAGATTTAAATTTAATATTGAATTACGGATTGATTGCTCACTGATTAAGGATTATAAAAAAAATCAATAGACCAAAATTCATAATCTTCCAAAATTAAGCGGAAAAATGAAAATATTTCTAATTACGATGATGAATTAATTTTTTTTACAAAATTTGCGCATTCCCATTTTTTTCAGAAGCAAAAAATTTCACAATAATTCCCAAGAATGTGGGAAAATAACTAATTTATTTATTCTAAAATTTACTCTTGAGAAGCATTTAAGATGATTGACAAAATAAGGAAGAATCATAATTGTTACTAGCTTAAGCATTTTGGCACACTTCTTATTTCAGAAAAGTCTCGAGAGATAAGCAGGGTAATTTTGCAAATATTGACCACGCTTACCAACGGGAAGCTGTGGGTTGGTGCCCAACTAAACGGGAAACAAAAAGCCCACGTATTATGAGAACGTATTTTAGAAAGAAAAAATAAATTTTCACAGCTCATTAAATTATCTTCTTCTCACGCCTAACTCCACTGCATGCGAAAATAATCACGCTAGAAAAAATCAAACTGGTTTTTGTGTTGTCAGGTCAGTTCAATGTCATAGGTCCTGTCAAGCCCTACAGATTTATAATACGCTCGGATTTCCCAGCAAACCTTTTGCAGTCTCCTGAAGTCAAAATCAGTTTAAAATGAGGATCAGGGCCTTTACGGGCTAAAAATATGTCACAAATAATTAAAGAGTCGTCGGCTCTTGTGATTTAAAAACGAGGGAATCCCGTAGATAAAAATCTGTGGTTACATAAATTTTGTTAGTAACTAGCCTTGACTCTGATTGTGGCTCGCGGTTTCTGCAGACAGTACGAGGGCCGTAAAAATTGTGCTAGTGAACGCAAGCAATTAAAGTAACGTATTTTATTTTGATTTGCATAATTGAGTAAGGATCGAGGAATGACTGACCTTCATTGGCATGAATTTTTATTATTTTCGACACCAAGTAAAATGTTTTAATAAAATTAATACGAAATAATATATAAATGTAAGACTTTTTCATCTTGAAGATATTTATAATTAACAAGTAATTAATCATAAAAATTAATTGTAATGAAGAGATAGTTAATAATACTTCTTCTCATTCACGATATTATAACATCGTTACAAAAGCGTCGTTTTCTAAAGCTAATTTATGCGCTCGGATTGATTTTTTTTCATTCAACTTCATCTAAAACTTTTTACATTGTCAACATTATTTTTCTCACTACAATAAGATAAAAAGATTTTTAGAAAGCAGTGCTGGCATGAAACTTTCAGACATAGTTCCAAATATTTTTCGAGTGCACTCGAGGAATGTCAATTCTTTACTCATGAAAATCAACATTGTAAATTTGTAGTAATTAGCTCATTAATTATACAGAAGATGCATTGAATTAGCCCAAAATTTACAACGATGATAATAACTTTTAAAATCACGCATTCCTTGCAAAAATTTAGCACATTGTATTTCCTGAGTTGCGCCTCTGTGAAAAAATCACACACAAAAATTGCGTAACTTACATACGCATTGTATTTTTTTTCTGTTACAAGTTCTTAATTATTTTAAACGCAATAAACGATTCAGGGAATGCGTGATGCGTTTTTCTAATAGCGTTGTTCATTTTTTTTCCCACTAACTAAATAAATAGTTCGTTGCTGCTAGATAGAAGTAATAAATTGTCTAGCATATTTCATACAATAAATATTCATTGATCATGGATTGTCTCCTCAAAAACACAACTAACTCCGCCGTTCTTCTCTAAAAGTTTATGAGGTTTGCAAAAGCAACAATTAATTAATCAGTTGAACAGCGTTTTTCCAAGAGTGACAAGATATCTGTTCGGACAAATCTAATGCAAAACATTTGTACCAACCAAGCACCGATAGTTTTTCATAATAATATTTTATGCGCTTAGCACGCCAGTATGTTTTCACAATGCACCAAATCGTATCGCCGTGCATCAGACAAAAAACTTCATTTTGGCAAAGAAAAATAAAAAATTAAAAACTGAATTATTGAGAAAAAAAATCATATAAAGCCTGATGCAGCAGCGCTAGTAATTTATATATGAAAAAAAAATGCAAAGAGGGAAATGTACGTCTTGTCACTTTTCTTTTAAGATCACTATTCATACAGAGAAATATCAAAATTGGCTCTTAGTCGATTAAAATTTGAAAGACGGCAAAGTTTCTTACAAAGTTTGTTTACCCCTGCAAGTACAGTTCCCAAAATCTTGCCAACAATTAATTCCAGATCTGCTCTACAGTCTAGGGATTTAACCCAATAGTGTTTTTAAAAATTTTGTGACAAACACGGATTTCAGCAGCCTATTTGCAAATATTCGTATAGCGCCTTTTACAACTTTTGCAGCGGGCTCGGCTTGATTCGTTTTCAGTTGGCCTCACTCACTGCACACATTTCTCAATTATTTTCTCTCCAGAAACGCTTTGTGATTTTAAAATATCAATTTGCAATTACTGCCATTCAACGACTTTCTTCGTAAATAGTTCTTTCTCTTGAGCATCGCATTTTTTCATTTATATGTGATTAATGCGCGTTATTTTACTAGGCAGGGATGTATTAGTAAAACGAGTTTCAATATTCTTAGTCACAGTAAGAGGAAGAGGCTGCCTTGGACTTGTTCCACCAGGGCCGCTCCGGACCCAAAACAATGCCTTCCACTGAGAAGACTGACGCTTCTGAAAATTCATCAAGCCGAATTTCAGTTTTCTTCAACATATGAATCAAATCAAATCAGTGTATAAAACAACACACTACGCAAAATTAAAATGGTCTTCACAATTAAAAAAGCCATCTACAAAAAAGAAGCTACTGAAAAAAATCGGCTGTACTTACCATCAGGAAGTTCATGCAGTTTTTTGGGAAGCGAAGCAAAATAAGGATGCCGAAGCGCCTTTTCGGCACTGATCCTGCGCTCAGGATTGAGCTGCAGAAGAGAGCAGGCCATGCTCTCGCCTTCGGAGGCGTCGTGAAGACGGGGGAAGACACGACCTAGCCGTTGGGGCTGGTAGTAGCACAGTTTATGAGGGACGTAGCCAGGCAGACTGCTAACACCAGGCCACGAGTCATCGGTCGGAGTGCCAAGGACCTAAATGTATTAAAAATTATCATCAAAAATTATAATTCTCCTTATCAGACTTTACATTTGTAAAGAAAATTTACAATCAATTTTTTTTTAACTTTGATGTAAAAAATGCTTTCCTAAATATTACCTTAAATATTTTATCCAGTTGATCAGATGCGTCTCTCACGCCTGGGAATGCAGGAACGCCGGTCAGCATCTCCAGTTGGATGCAACCAACTCCCCACATGTCTAAAGAGGTCGAGTAATGCGTGGAGCCGAGCAGTACATCTGGTGGCCGGTACCATAGGGTAACCACTTCGTGTGAGTACGTGTGGCTTGGCACACTCTTGGCACGGGCAAGACCTGAGAGATTTCAATCAGTACGACTCATTCAACTCTCAATAACTAGTGCGTATTAAGGCGTATTAAGTACCAAAGTCGGCAAGTTTGAGTTCTCCCACTTCACTGATCAAGAGGTTCTGTGGTTTGACGTCACGGTGGAGCACCCTTCTCTTGTGGCAGTAACTCAAGCCTCTCAGCAGTTGGAACAGGAAGAGCTGCGTGTTTTTGGTGCTAAGACCGCCTGGATGACGTTCCATGTACTGACTCAAGTCAGTGTGCTAAAATTGAGTTTTATTTCTTAATTTTTGAATAACTTATTAAATTATTGAATTCAGAAAGATTGCATTTATATCAAAAATTTTTAAATCAAATAGATTTACTGAATGAATTAAAATATAGATAGAGTTTCTAACTTACAACATATTCAAATACAAAGGTGAGGGTTTCTCTTGTGTGTATGATGTCATGCAAAGTTACGATGTTAGAGTGCTTCAGCTCTTTCAGAAGGGAGGCCTCTCTTATAGCGGTAAAAGGGGCTCCCTCCTCCTCTTGCAAGCGGATCTCTTTCAGGGCTACTGACTGACCAGTCAAACTAGAAATGTGTACACAAATATCAGCAACAGGCTTACAAAATTTCAAAATATATTCTATTAAATTTTTACCACCTCAAATACTCAAACTATAAAATATTATACAATTATTTATTAAAAGTAAAAGGAGAAATAGTATTTTACTAACTTGCTATATCCCTTGAACACAGTGGCATAGGAGCCTTCCCCGAGCTGCTCCAACTTGACGTACGCCTCAGTTCGCCCAAAAGGAGAGTCACCCTAAACGTTCGCAAAAATTAAATTTCAAGTAGAAAAAAATATTTTCATTACCCCAAATGCAGAATATCTCTTTGTCGAGCCAGCTGCTCGATTGAGAAAAACCTCAGACTTTGGTCGTGGCGGCTTCTTCGGCCGAAGAATCACTTTGGCCTCCTCCCGCAGGTCTTCGTCCAACAACTTTGAGTCGCTGGACACTGACAACTGGCGGCGAACCCGGTCTCGATCACCCAGAGGCCACTCTGCAATAAAATCATTCATTATTAATAAGTTTAATAAATTACGGTTTCTAAAAATTTCGATATCACTTTTATTTTTATAGTTCACTGATGAATAATATTCTTTCTACATTAGTGTAAAATTTAAAGAAGCTTTTTGTAATATCACATGAATTGGGGTTTTCTTTTTTGAAGTACTTATTAAATTTTGCAAGAAAAAATTTAAACTGGCTCAGAAAATTTTTGAATTAATTTCAGACGGCATTTTATAAAATTTTTGAAAAAAGTGACTCCTTGTTTGAAATGAACACTAACCACAGTTTAGTCCGTCCTTATCACAGTGCTGGTGGGGAATATTGCCATTTGGTTCAATTCTGTCAAGGAATTCGTCAGAATAGGTGTTGTACGGCATTTTGTTTCTTGTCCACTTCTCCTGGTGTTCGCTTTCCAGCTCACAGTTGGCAATGCCTGCAAAAAAATAAGAAAAAAATCAGTCCCACGCACAAGAAGTGCACCTTCATCTTTATCTTGGACCAAGTTTACACTGCGACGGCCACACATGATGAATTTAGAGCCTTGAAGGTTGATAAATTAACTTTTCTTTTTTTCCGTTGCCAAAGCAAACAATCATAAATTCAAATCAAAAATTGTGGCACCCTTTTATCTTTTCTTGCAATAATTTAAAATATAGACTCGGAGAATGTTTGTCTTGCAAGTAAGTCGCAGTTTTTGCAGAAAATTGGCCGACGATAACGTGTTTAATAAGAGAGGGGCACTATTTTCGTTCACAGTAAAAAGCGCCGGCAATATACAAATCATCTGATACTTACTTAGCCTGCCAAAGCTGTGGCTCAGACGCTTTTTGAGCCTTTGAACTCGGCTCATGGAGCCTTTCTTTTCTCTCATGACGACTCCTGAAAATTCACAAATAATATTTTTAGAAAACTACCACCAAAAAATAAATTAAAATATAAAAATTAAAATAAATTTTGAATTTGATTTTTGCTTCCATAAAAATATAAAATTGAACAAACTGAGGAAAATTAAATGACATAGAAGAATGTGAAAAGCCATAAAAAGCAAAGAACCGTGCCCTTTAAAGGCCACGCAAAACCGTAGTAAAATCCCACCCTCATAAAATTGCAGTGAAAGATACAATCATCTAACCGCACGGACTAACAAAAGGTCCACACCCAAAACCACCCTCAGGGAAATAGAACACTCCCGAACAAGTGAACATTGCACATTATGCAGTCCGCAAATGTAAATAAAGAAAGCAATTAATAATACACACGATTCAAGGTGAACTGCAGAATCACCAAAATTTGCCAATTTTTTATGAATTTTTAAGTGAGTTAAGAAGTGTCGGATAAACAAATTTGGATTTGAGACTCCGCCTCTGGGCTAGTCCGGGGGCGGCCAAGGGGTGGGCACCCCCCGCAGGAGTCGTAAAGCACTCACCATCCTTGTTTTTGTTGGTGCTCGATGTCTGGAAAAACATTTCGAGTTGCCCCTCGAGCGGGGGCACGCCGGGGGTCAAATGGGCGACACGATTTTCCTGGGTGCCCGGTTGTGCTGAGGGAAGCGGCGATGTCGGCGGGGCCGCTCGACGCCTCACAATTCAGCCGAAAACATGACCAGCCGCTGCGTCTGCCTACTCAATTTCGGCCATTTCTGATCTCAATTAAACATTTCAAGTGTTCAGGTAGGAATTGATATAAACCGGTTTTCATGATAGTACCGGTTCACCTAAGTTTGGCTAAAACGTCGATATTTTGATTATTCATTTTTTTAAATGAGTTTTTTAATCGTAAATCCTTTTTTCATTACAACATTGATCAAATTGACTAATTTTTTGAAAATAATAACGTATTTTGAGAAAAATATTTTTCATGCAAACAGATTTACCGGTTTAAAATGTTTAAAAAATGTCACCGACGAAAGGAAAGGGTTGGAGGGGAATATTTGGTTCCCCTCAAGTCAACATACTCTATAGCTACGTTGATTGGTCGAGGACCGCTAGCCCATTCACAAGCCAAATAAGGGAGCTGGGGGTAGGCGCCTTTTGTATTTTCTTGGCTTCATTGTTTGCAAACGCTGGAATGCAAACGTAATAATACATAATGCACCTAAAATACAGGAAATTATATATCTTATAAAAAAAGAAAAAAAAAGAAAAATTATTATAGAACTGATAAGTTTTTCTCATTTATTTAACTTTTGACATTTATGTGATTTATTTATTTATTGAAAAATCAAACATATTTGGAAATTTGGGTTTTCTGTCAAATAATATTCGGAAATTTAATTTTGGTAATTATTTAACTATTTCACCCTTAAAATTTATGATACCCATGTTCATTACTTACTAAACTCGATTATAATCATCATATTTTCTCAATATCCCACGTCTCCTCAAAAAAAGTTAATTATATTTATTTATTTTCTTTTTTTTTGTAATGAAAATTCCTTGGAATCCCGCCTTCTCCTTTAATATCACCCCACCCTTAAAATTTATGGTACCCATGTTCACTACTTACTAAACTCGATTATAATCATCATATTTTCTCAATATCCCACGTCTCCTCAAAAAAAGTTAATTATATTTATTTATTTTCTTTTTTTTTTTTGTAATGAAAATTCCTTGGAATCCCGCCTTCTCCTTTAATATCACCCCACCTTGGCATGAGAGGAGCGACGAGTGCGGCCAGAAAGCGAACTAACCTACCAAACCATATGATAAAAATCAGTTATGGGCCACTATGTCAGTTGTCGGCCGCTCAGTTCCAATGTCTGGTATTGCGCGCGCAGTTCCTATGCTTACACATGGGCTCGGCCAATAACCGGTTGTGGGCCAAAACTGATCAACCACGAGGAAGAAGAAGAACAACAAGAAGAAGAATTACGAAAGTACGAATACGAAAACCAGAAACCAGACAGAAGTTTTCGTCCACATGCGCACCGTGCGCACCGACACGAACAAAATTTGCACGATGGCCGAGGTCTCAGGAGCTTATTCGCGCCGGACAGTCGTCTCGTGAGCGTCCTCCGATCGATCGGCTCCCTCGGACGACCATGCTGAGCTCCAGGCTGTGAAAAAATTACAATGGTCTCGCCGCTGCTGCTGATTTTGGCCGCTCTTCTGCAGCCCCTCTGGGCCTTGTCCTGGGGTGAGTTTGGCCCGAATGACCTTTCGGACGATTAGGACGTTTGTCGGGGCGTCCCGTCCCGATCTGTTGAACGCTTTTAATTAAGGTGTCCCGAGTTTGGGGTCGCGTGGCCCAATTGGGCCATAGCCAGGTGGGAGTCACGCACGTAGCCCCGTCGGTCCTTATCAGTGGGTTGCACTTGCCGATTTTTTTTTATTACCCGGTACATATTTGGATACATAGGCAAGATAATAGTAAAGTAAACCTTGAAATATCACAAAAACAGAAAACGAAAACAGATTAAACTCTCATTCACAATATCTGGTAATAAAAAGAAATTGGAATAATATGTTAATATAAATTTATTAAATTTTTCCTCGCAGGGTTCTTGTTTTTTTTTATTAATACTTTAAAATTTTCTAAATATAATTAAAAAAAAAATTAATTTTTCTATGTGTTTTCATTTTGTGTAGCGTGAGTGAGTGAGATGTGCAATTTCCTTAAACCAGTAGTCATTGTTTGCACTTGGGATTTCTCTTTTGTGCTAAAAGTGAAGTGATCTAATTTCATAACTCAAGAAAAATGCATTCGCCTGCTTCCAGAAAAGAAGTAATCTTTAATCTTATCAGGACCGTTATTTTATTTCTCAGAGGATTGCTATCAAATTCTTCTCGTAGCTTTTATTCAAGTTTTTAATGCGTGCAATAGAGGTAGATTTTATTTTAAAATTTCACTCAAGTTTTCGACTGAAATTCAGAATTTTTTATTTTCTGAGCTTTTATATGTAAGCAGAAATTAAAATTTTCATAACTTTGTTTGATTAATTAAATGTTGCATGACTGCATTTATTTTAATTTTTAGCAGTCTCAGAATTTTCAAGGAAAAACACGAATGGCAAAATGTATGAAGTTTTTGGAGACAAATATTTACAAACGCCTCCACCGGTGATTGAATTGCAAATTTTGGAATTTCCATAATCCAACTTGCACAGCTTTTGATTTCTGAGAAAGTGGACGTTTTTAACGTAACCTTCTGAAAGGTGAACTTGACTCTGCTCTTTCCAACATTTGGCGATATGTGATGGTTCAATTAGTCTTATATTAAACGCCTGAAAATTCATTTAAATAAAACAGAAGGTGACCTAAATTTAAATGAACTTGGCTTTACTTTTATTATGTCACTGCAAGTTAAATAACGATGATATTTTAATTACACAGCACGTGCTATTCTCATTTCTTAGGACCACTGAAATTAATATCCATGAGGATTTTGGTTCAATTTACTATTTTTTAATATTTTTAATAACTTTTATATTGTTAAAATATTGAACAGGATTTATTTGATAATAAAAATCTTTATTATTTTCAATCCGTTAATAAAATTTAAAGATAAAATTTAAAAAAAAAAATGCTGATAAATGAGGTTAGTTAATAAATTTAATTTTACTTCTTGAATCCAAAAAGAGCCAGAATTATAGAGATCAATTTTAGCGGGATTAAATCTCATGAAAATAAAAATTAAATTTTATTTTACTGCCAATATAAATTTTTTTTCTGCATAAGAATTTGAAAAATTTATAATTTGATTTCTTTATTACATGAAATTTTTAATTCATTTTATGAACGAAGTTTTCAAAACACAATTCAAGTCCGTCTTTTGGAAAGATTTCAAAATTGATTAGAGAAAATTAATTTAATTGTTCCAAGTAGGTTAAAATATAAATGGTACGTTATAAATTTTTGCGTTATGAGATAAAATCAAACTGTAAATTAAAAATGCAAATAATTTTGTTAAATTTCAATTTTATCAACTTTTATTTTGTTAGCATTTTATAATAATTTTATAAATGTACAGCAATTAATTTATTGTAAATCAATTTGTCTTTAAATCATATTTTGAAAGAAAGAAAAATAAAATTCATTTTTATCATTCTTCCGTTATACAGAATCACAAATTTAAAGTTTTTGAATGACCGGATCGATCAAAATTAGTTTTTTTTTGTCTTTTCAAAGAAGAAGTTTATCGATTGTTACAGAATCCGTCTGGAAAAAATGCAGTTCGGTTGATTGCACACCGATCTAATTTAGGGGTCACACCAAGGTCCGTCCACTGAGACAATTGTGCGAGTCATTGGCTGCAAATTGACCCGCGCGCCGTGACCACGAAAAACGATCAAGCAGAAGTCAAAACTTCTCATTCGGAGGTCAATTAATGAAATCGGCGCTGTGGCTCGCCGCCTTCCGTTCACGCTCCTTTCTCAGCCACTTTTCCTCGCCAAAGTCAATAGAAAGTCTACGATTTTATTGGCGCGGGAGTTTTTTTCCTCCAGACAGGGTCGTCTAGCGAAATGCGTAAAATAAATTAGGTGGCGATCACTTTCCAAGGTTTTTCTCTGGCGGCCCTTAGCCCTTATCACTTTATGCACCTCCGACCCTGCTCCGACCTGTGGTGATTGTGACGCTCCAAGTAAACGGAAAGGCGAGGGGCTTTCCGAGATAATTTTGGCAGTTTCCGGCAAAAGGTTTCCGTGTTTTGTGTTTTGTTATGAAAAAAATAACATTAATTCTGAAGAAGCAGCCAAATAAAAATTTATAAATAGTAAACTTTTTTTAAATTTTTATATTTTTTAGAAAATCTTTTTGTGTGTGTGTCAGACTATGTATTTTGACATATAAGCAGGAAAGGCAAAATCCTCTGGGAATACATAGTCAAAACCCAGTTTAAACTTCACTTTTTTGCTTTGTTATTCTTCAATAATAATTTTAATTAAGCCCTTGAGTGCAATTTTCAATTCGTAATAATTGAGCAAGACATTTCCGCAGATAAATTTCGTACTGTGCAGAATCGCTGACGCAATAAATTCAAATTTGCCGGATCGTGATAAATAAACTGCAATTAACGTTATGTAGTTGAAAAGAGCTAACAGCGAGTTCTTAAAGCGTGACCATCGCGACAATTTTCTGCATCGCGGATTTGTAATTTTACCACAAGTCATAAATAAAATATTTTTTAATTAACTTTGGTTTAATTTTTCTCTAATAGTAAGTTTTTCTTTTATTGATTTCATTTTTACCTTAAATAAAATAAAAACGGCCCCTCTTTTTTTATCTATGGTAAATTTTTCCTTTGCTAAATTCTGCTTATCCTAACTTTCTTTTTTTTTATATATTTACTAGAAGCAATAATTTTCTTTTTAAGAACATAAAAATATTTCCCACCAGACAAGCTTTGTATTTATAATTATCTTGTTTGGTAATACTCCCTCTTTTGTGATTTTAAGTAAATTTTACCTGTATAAATATCAAACTGAAACTATACTTAATTTCATTTAATAATCTTCTTTCAATTTTGATTGTTTTTAGATGTGGCTGTTACGAGTGTGGGCCAATTGGACTTATTGAAAGGAGGCGCCTCTGTGAGGACAATAACTGCTAAAGAACTATATGCGGCAAGAGGGCTGGTCTACTTGCCAAAGCACGACGTTTTCCTCTTCACAAATTCGCAAAATAATTCCATCGGCTCCATCTTCATACTTAAAATTAACGACGAATCGCCCAATGGCACTCAAATCTCACAACTCGTTAAAGCATGTAAGTTGAACAATCGCAAAGTATTTTTTTTAAACTTTGACATGTTCCACTTAATTGTGGCAATTAAAAAAATTATTCCTTTACAAGAGACAATAATGTGCGGAAGTTATATCTAGCTTTCGATTCTTCTAGACAAATTACCCATTTTTCCATTGTTTTTTGCTGCCCTACTTGACTTTTTATTCCGTTTATTGGTTAATCGCAGTGTTCTAATCAGCTTGTTTACATTCTTTCAGACGACAGTAATAGAAACATACGTAGTCTAGCCTACGACCCGAAGGACGAAGTTGTTTATTGGACAGACTCAGAGGCAAGAGCCATTTACAAGGCTGTCCTTCCGGCTGACCTGAAAGGTTCCGTCAAAGCTCAGATTGTGCACAAATTTGTGGAAGAAGAGCCACAGGCGCTGGGAGTTGATCATTGTCGAAGGTCAGAGTCAGAAGACGCAAATTAGTCTTATCTCGGTTGATAATTATGTCGTCATTTTGCTGCTTCAGTAGCAACAAAATTACACAAAGTCATCTTTTAATCGAAACATGATTTTTTAACCAGTAACTTTTAAAATAAGATTTTTTCCTAAACCAATATAAAACCAAAATTTTATGTTGCAGAAAATTGTTTTGGAGCAACAGGAACTATGAACGCTCATTCATTGAATCAATTGATTTGAAAACCCACAGCCGCACTATGGTTTTGGAAAATTTGTACTCACCAAATGGTCTTGCACTGGACCTAAGAAGCCCTGGCAGGCTTTATTGGGTAGACGACGTTGATGGAATTGATTTCAATGTGCACTCTGCGCGGCTGGACGGCTCAGAGAATAAACTTTTGTACCAAGGTCGTCGCCAGCATCCTGACTCCATTATTATTGTGGATCACAAAACTTTAATGTGGACAGACATGAATAACTACAAGATCTGGCTCCATGATGTTGGGTACAAGAATTTTTCCCTTTTATTCAAAGAAAATCATCACTATTTCTTGTAACAGATCCGACTCGGAGCCTACAACCTACTTCAATGTTGACAAACCTTTAAGCTTAGTTGCTTATCCCTCAACTTCAGACTTTACTTCTGTCTGCAAGACCAGCGAACCAGTCGCCGAGACACCTTTAGTTCCTAGCCAACCAAAAATGTCTGACTTTTTTTGTTAATCTGTCATTTTAAATTTGTAATGAAATTTCATTTTAGTGACAGTTCCCCGAACTCAGCCTCGATGGTCTTTTGCCTGAATGGTGGTCTGAACAACACAGCAACTGAAAGTTGTAAATGCTTGCCTGGTTTCACAGGCCCTCACTGCGAAGTGAACTTATGCCACAACTACTGCCTAAGTGGAAACCACTGTGTGGTCTCGCCGGAAGGCTCCGTCTCCTGCCACTGCCCACCTGGCAAGGCGGGAAAAAGGTGAAAATTTTCTCTTCATTTTCAGGGATAAAGTTAAATGACATTTTTAATTTTCTTATTAGGTGTGAGGTGGACCTTTGCCAAGGGTTGTGCCTGAATGGAGGTGTTTGCCACCTGAATCTATCCACAAATAGCACTGTGTGCCATTGCTTGGAGGGGTTCGAAGGCGAGCGATGCGAACGAAGGTGGGACATGTGCACTGCCCAATGCAACATTCCGCTTTGCGAGTAAGCCTATTTAAAATAAAATTTATAGACGTTTTAAATAATATAATTATTTCAAAATGTTTCAGCTGTGAGACCAGCAAGAATGAAATAGGACCTTTAACTTGTCCACCACACAGATTTTCATCGGAAGGAAATTTCAGCCCACTTGTTTGGTCCCTGAGTGGGACATGTATTGCCCTTATTCTGGTGACGGTATTCCTCGCCATTCAGGTGCTCAAATTAAGGCAAAGACCTCGATTAAAGAGAAGGGTCATCGTTAGCCGAAGAGAAGTGGCTGTTCCATCATTCGAGCAGCCTCCGCCTGGAACTCAAAACGGCTCATCTGGGGACACTTGTGAAATCATGATCGAGAACTGTTGCAATATGAATATTTGTGAAACGGTTTGTGGAATTATTCTTTCTATTTTTTATTTTGATTTTGCTATTTTTAGTAGATTCAGTCCGTTGCATGAGTTTTGGTCTCATCTTGTAAATTTTGTAATTCATAACATTTGTATAAGTAAAATTATGTTTCATTTCAGCCGTGCTTTGAGCCACCGAATAGACTAGGTCGCAAAATTAAGGATGACAAAAAGACACTGCTGGCCAACATGGAGGACTCCGAAGGTGAGGAACAGACGCCAAAAGAATCCTCGTAGTTGATTCCCAGTAGTGTGTCTTAATTAGTGATACTTAATTTGAATGTTTTTATTTTTAATGACAGTTTGAAAAAGCCAGACACACTTAAGAAGCTGTTTTCAGTTTTGCTCAATAAAGATGTGTTTTAGCATTTTGCTGTAGACAAACGAAATCAGCTTAGTTTCTACTCGATATACTTAATTCTTCAGGTAGTTTGTAAATTAAAAAGCCAGTTGGCAAAGTCTAAAGATCTTTAATTAAGTTTTTATTGAAATGAGTTTATAAAGCATTTGTCAACAGAAAAATAACAGCAATTCCACCAAAAAGACTGAAAATTTGCTTAATTGATTCTTTCTTGTCTTCCTCGGCTACTAGCTCTGGTAATAGACTTACAAGGGCAATGTGCAAAAATCCTCCAGCAGTAAATGGGACAACCCACAGATTATTTTCCTCTGAAAATAAAAATAAAAACTTAGATACAGTTGACAATGGCATAAAAATTTCTGAGAACCTAGATTAGAGGCAGAACTGAGATTTGCAACTAAAGCTCCCAAGAGGCCGACAGAGGCGGTCATCATCTGCGCCCTTGCCGCTTCCCATCTGCTGAATCCAGACCTGAGGAGAATGGCGAAATCTCCAATTTCGTGAGGTACTTCATGGATCAGCAGAGCAATAGTGGTGACCAATCCCATTTTAAAAGAGATCATAAAGCTGCCTCCGACAGCCAGACCGTGCATAAAATTGTCCATGCTGTTGTTCAGCAAGTTTAGGTAACCAGAAACTTTGACCTGGAAATTGCTTCCTAACAAAAGCAATCTAGAAACATTCCAAAAATTTACCTTGCCCTTATTTTCTGAAATTTCCGATTCTTCATCATGAATAGCGGGATTAGAATTTTCATCCGAACGTTTTGTTTTCTCGTCGTTTTCATCGTGCAAAGCCATTTCAAGAACTGTGAAGACCAACACACCAGCCAGAACCCACAGGCCCGTAGTAATTTTGTTAATTTCAGAGCCTTATAAGTAAGAAATATTAATTTTATTCAAATAAATTGCATCGATTTATCAAACTACCATTGTTATTGGACGTCCAGGCTTCTGGTAGCTGGTGGATGAAGACATCCCCAAGTAGACCGCCCACTGCAAAACTCAAAAGCAGCCGAAGTGTATTTGCGGATTCTAAAATTAATTATGAAATTTTAGTGAAAATACAAATGAAACAATATTCTGCATGCAATTTAAAATCATATGGCATGATTGGATCGATGCTTAAAAAGGATTATTGTTAAAATGCAAAAGGCCCCCTGCGTGTTTTGTGCATAGGCAACCCGCACGACATACGAGTCTCACAAGTTGCCTAACTCAACTCAGAGGGGACTTTTTCCTCTCGTTTTTATAGAAAACGCTTGTAAAGTAATGCGCGATAATATACTAACCGCCTTTGTTGAGATCGGCGTTATCACCAATAGGAATTACTAGAAGTGGAAATACGCCACTTAATCCAACAACTACCGTTCCCAGCAAGGACCACAGCCACGCTTGCCTTGTCAGCGCTGCTTCCAGAGCGGCGCCGAAACCCCATTCGGCTGTGGTCAAACTAGAGTTCAGTTGGTCCGGCCACTCTCGAAGACTGACTGCCTCCGCCGAAGAGATGTTTGCCAGACTTGCTAGCAGCAAACACTTGAAAACTACAGAGAGTAGAGAGACCAAACTCATTTCCATCTATAAAACATTATAAAAATTAAAAATTTTTATACAAAATGTAATCGCGCATTTAAATTAATTTAACTTACCGAAAGAAAAATTTTAAAAGTAAATATCAAAAAGTTCTTTTAAGAAGGATTTGTTCCGTCTTGTCTGGTGTCCGAGAAGAGAGTGAATGGCTCCTCATGAGGAACGCAGCCTCCTCAAGGTTCATCATAATTAATTTTTGCTCCATCAATTGCTTACAAAGCTCATTTACGATCAACAGGAATAAATCTTAAAGACAAATTCACTCTTTGATCAAGAAATGATGAGCTGCTCAAGGCAATTAAATTTCCACGGCGCTGCATTTGCATTACAGGCATAAGAGCAAAAACCATCCAAATTAATTCTAAAGTAAAATTTTATTAAACTATAAAGAAACTTGTTCATTATTATATGACTGAAGTTAGAACATTTATCAATATTTTGAGGCACACTATTTCAACCTATTAGTGATATTATTGCCAGTCAATGCATTTCATAATTAAGTATTATGCAACAATTAAAATATTTTTTAGTTCATCTTTTCATAAGTGTGATTTATTTTATTTTTGTAATCAGTTAAAAATTATCACCACTCTCCTACTGCTGATTATCAACAGCCTGAAGGCTAAACGCATCTGTGCATGTAAGCAGCTCTTATGTCATTTTAATGACGAATAAGTGTAAAGCTAAGGCGCACAAAATCTTACTCAAAATTTTGTGCGAGGCAGATAAAAAACACGCAGATCAGCAATTATGATATGAAAGAAATTATGAAGTGAAAAAATACTTTTTGTGCCTGAGCACGTACCGCAATAAAAAAAATTGCCTCTGATGCTTTCCTTTGATCCTTATATTTATTGTTATTTATGAACCGAAATATTATGCATATCATTTATATGTGCAACTTTGGCACTTAATATTGGGGGATATTCACATGCTCAAAATTTAGCAAGATATATTAATGTATTTTTTTTTCTTGGTCATTTTCCGCCCTTTGAAATTTTTTCCCTTACAGATATATGTGATCAAAGTAGCGTTTTAATTTTAAAAATTGAATTTTAAGTCAAATTTGGTTTAAGTAACATCAGTAAATAAAATTAAGAAAAAAATATTTAAAAAAAAATAGCGCAGTGTATATGAATTTGTTTTGCCATTTTCCACCTTCTAAAATTCTTTACCTTTACAATATCTAAACATTAAATTAAAGTTTAAAACTAGAATTTTTAGATAAATTTTTAGTAAAGAGATTTAGCATTTCTTTGATTTGCTGGTGTGATCTGACTATGATGTAAATATCCCCAAATTATTTATTGTTTTGGTTATTTAATAGACCCAACTTTTTTCCCTGTTAAATTTATTTTTTTTTTTATTCAATCATATAGTCTGAAATGAAGTATCTGTTATTTGAAAAAGTCAGCTATATTTTAGGAATTGTAGCTCAGGGATATACCCTTCACGATAAGATCTAAGTCTTGTTTGAAAAACATTGCACAGCATTGCAAAATGTTCCTGTTAATAAACAAATAAAAATAAATATTTTGAGTTTGCAACAAGCACTGCTGTATATAAATGACTTTCGCGAAGACGCTCTAGGCACACTCTCTCCCAAAACTTCACAGGTACGCAAAAAGACCGTCATTATTTTCATCATGCAATTTTTTCTTAACTTAATATTTTTATTTTATTTTTAGAATGAGAACTTCGCTTCTCCTTTTAGCCGCCGTTGGATTTGCATGCGCCGCTGAAATTGGACTACAGGCACCACCAGATGCGCTAGATGAAATTAGAGACAAAAGAGCTTGCTTTCTAGGCGGCAGATGTGGCAGCTATTCCTCCTCGTCTAGCAGCGATTCTGACTCTTCATCTTCGTCCTCAGATTCCTCGTCGTCCTGCTCCAGTTTCTCGTCATGGTCCAGTAGCAGCAGCAGCAGCAGCAGTTCATCTTCTTCTTCTAGCTCTTCTTCGTCCTCGAGCGACTCAGACTCATCTTCTTCTGACGACTCTTCTGAATGTGATGACGAAACTTCGACAGAATCCAGCACAGAATGTATTGAAGTTTCAAGCTCCGAAAGTGACAGCAGTTCATCGGACGACAGTAGCTGTAGCAGTAGCAGTAGCAGCAGCAGCAGCAGCGATAGCAGCAGCAGCGGCTGCATATTTAGAAGCTGCGATTCAAGCTAGCTTTTTGGTGTATAAAATTTAAAACAATAAATAATGAAAAAAAGCCATATATTTATTTGTTGATTTTGATTTTTATAAATAATTGTGCAAAAGACAAGCTTGCATTCATTATCAAAATAGTTATGAAGAAAGTCACGATCAAATTTAAATATTTAAAAAATAAAAGCACGGATTTATGCAAGAACAAATAACTTACAATTTATTCCACTGGTCTTACATTTTGAATGTACAGTTTAGATCCTGCACCACCAACACACAATGGGTGAGGGTGCCGACGCTCCTTTTTCTCATGAGAACATAAATTTGATACATTCACCATTCATTACACTTGTTTTGTACATGACAGAGGTTTTGAAATACTTTCAAAACAAACTGAACGCAAAAGTACCGGAATTTAGATCTCTGCCCAAGGGATCATTAAGATTGTTAAAATAATTGATACTATGAGTAACTGTAGATATAAATGTGGAACATCTGTGTTTAAAAAAAATTATAATTACATAAATATTATATCCATATGAGAATCAGCGTGAAAATAACTCGTCCAAAGTTTCAAAACAAGCCGCCCAGTGCCAATAAAGATAAACAAGCGGCAACTGAACAGTTGAAATTTGATTAATTAAAAATTTATGAAATTTAAAAAGGCAACAATCCTAAGGAATTGTTTATAGTTGCTTGAATTAAGTGAAGTTTTCAAGTTATTTTATGTTATACCAGGGTAAGGTTGTGGTGGTAGAGGGTGCGGCGGCGGAATGCAATCTCCTTAGAAAAATAAAGGCCTGTGTGTGGTTGGGTGGCGTGGGGTCACTGCACCTGTGTCAAAGAGTTTGTACTGCTGGCAAACGGAGAGTCGGCCTCCTTGTCTTTGAGGTAAGTGTCCACCGCCTCTTGGTGCCTATGGTTCAGGCTTGAAATAAGGGTGTGTGCGTGGGTCGACGTTCCTCCCTCGGCTGCCGTTGATGCGTTTTCGACTCCTTTCCGCTTGGGGTCGCCCATTAGCAAGCAGTTGGATGATTTGGGAGAAAGGCTTCTATCCCTCGTCTGCCCACTGCTCTCCTGCTCGTCTAGGATTCGATCCATGTAGTCCCTGGAGAAACATAAAAAGGTTTTTATTAAAGTGCTACAATGGAAAAATGAGTTTAAAAATAGATTCTAGGTAAATTGGTGTTTTATGTATCATTATTAAAAAAAATTATTGGAATAAACAAGATATTTTTCTTGATAAATGAGGGCTGGAATTTAACTATTTAAGTTGATTGACCAATATTTTAAGTTGGAATCTCTATATAAAAAATAACTGTCGAAAATATTAAAATTTACAAAGAAAAGAACACAGCTTAGATGAAAAAGAATTACTCTAAAATTTCAGTATTGCCAATAATTAAATTATGACACAATCCTTTTCTTTCAAATTAAAATTGCCTCTTGTTAATTCAGAAAAATCATATTTGAAAAAAGGCAGATAAAACTTACGTAATTCCAGGATGGAGGGCATATTTCTTCTTTTCTAATCTGGTTTTGTGGGCGAACATGTCATGGCGCTCAGTCTTCTTCCATAAATAATAAAACTGGACCAACTCGCCAACAGATCTAGTCTTAACCTGAAAATGAACAGGACATGAATTTCACAAAATTCCGAGCTAGCCCCACACTAGCAGTGTACCTTATTTACGTGTATAGAGTGAAAATCCTTGCCAAAGGTGCGGAGGCCGTTTTCAAAATTTCGACACTCCTCCTCGCTCCACAAACCCATCGCATGTGTCTGCGGCGCTGTGCCCATGGCCAGCCGGCGCAATGCCTCGTCCGAGTTGTAGCCGCACTGCAGCAAAAGGTAAAGTGCGTGTTCGTCGTCTCGATGGTGCGTCCCAACAGGCAGGGGCCCCATACTGCCAGGAGGCACCCCTGGCGTTGGCAACGGAGAGGCAGGTCGCCCCGCCCGGGTCAGGTACTCGAGGACCTGCTCTTCAGGCATTTGGAGCGGTTCCCACAGCAGTTTGTCCTCATTCTCGTAAGGCAGCGCGTCACCATACTTGCAGAGCCCCTCAGGAATGTGTGCTTGATATTCCGAGCCGACCATAATTGTCTGCGTATATTTAGATTTATTACAAAAATATAAATACTGGAAACTAAATTTTAACTGCTTTCTATTTCTTCCAATGAAACCATAAAATGATAGGTTTGATGAAAATAAATTAGTTATTTAAATTTTTTGGTTTGAAAGTTAAAAAAAAATCTATTTAGTATGTGTTCACTTAAAACTAGAGTGATTATTTAAATTTTAAAGAAAAAAATGAGTGATTTAAATATTCAAGTTTTATATTTCTGAAATGAAACAAGTTTTTACGGCAAAATTAATTATCTAAAATCCTTATTTGGCTTGCAAAGAAAATTAGGAGATAATGTATGTGATTAAATTAAATTTTACTTTTTTCCATTCGTCCTCCTCAGGGCTGTAGTCGTAATCTTCCTCGTCCTCTTCGTCTCCAGAATTAGGCCCTTTAGAAGTACCAGCTAAAAAGACAAAATTAAATTATTGAACTCCTTGCATAAAAAGTCTATGTACCCTTAGTGGTTGACGCCTCATCCTCGTATAACTTTTGCAATTCCGAGTAATTTTTTCCCTGGTTATCAGAGTCACTGGGCTCTTCCTCCACATTATCGCCATTTTCAGCTTCCTCTTCGTTTCCCTCGTTTTCTTCTTCCTCCTCTTCCTCAGAACTTTCAGCTGGTGGTTCGCCACCACCTGCATAACCGTACATGGCCATGAGTTGTTCCAGGGGCATTTCTCCTTCCTGAAATTTCAAAATTTATCATCGCAGCTTTGCTCCTAATGCGTACAGCGACGGACATTCAGAGATATCTGGACTAGATAAACACGAAACAAGTGACTTCTGCTGCCAGATCTTGCCGACGAGACAGGCAGTAGTTGCAAATTATGCGCGCCAAAATTTGATACGATTCTGATTAATTAATATTTAATAAATTTAGGTCTTAATAAACGATTGAAGGTTTGGAAACAATTGGACCCAAATCTATATTTAAGCTTCCTATCAAGAATAAAATTTAAAAATCTTTGAGGATAGATTCAAGTCTTCAGACTCAAAAAACCCTGGTCTTTGCCGAACTTGGTGTACAACGCCAGTACCTCTTTTAAATTGCTTAGTTCTTGATGCGTGTCCTCGGTGGCCTCCATGGCCTCTTCCTCCTCCAAGGTCCGCTCGTCGTCGAAGTCGTTGACCATCATTTCGGCTGAAGGGTCGAACTCCTTGTCCTCTTTGCCGACGTTAACCTGCCGACGTACCAGGAGCGGTAAATGTGTGCACCGAACTGAATGCAAGCAAATTGGGCCCAAGAGGCTACTCACCTCGGTCATGGTTAGACGATTCGGTGCAGCGGTCTCTAATAAATTCGTCCTTTCGCTGGAAACCGGCGCCGACGACAGTTTAATTTAAGAATCGGCCAAAAATCACCATCGGCCCACCAGTCATCACAATTTTTGAAGGACGTAAACAAAGCAATGACCGAGGAGGTTATCCCGGTTTCTGAAACCTCCTTGGTATAATAACCGGTTTGTATTAAACTAAGTTTTTTCAAAATTGATTATAAACTGTTAAGAACTAGAAAAAATACAGGATTGCAAAATTATTTTACGTTATTGATAATTTTCAATTTTTTTCCCTTACAATTTATCAATTAAATTCAAAATTATTTAAAACATTCTCTGTTTTTCATCACTTACCATACCGGTTTTATTGAAACCAGAATCAATGAATTAATCGTGACGGGAAATTCGTGAATTCGTGAAACGCAAATTAATATTGCAAAAATATGTACCGTTTTTGTATTTATTTTAAATTTTAGGACATCATTCGAATCGACGTTGTGCACAAATGGAGCATAATATGTAATTATATAATTTTTTCAAATTTTCATTGCTGTGACGTCGTCTTAACGTCTAATTTTATGATCATAACACACTTTCTTTGGTAAAGTCTTTATCTTAAATTTTTGATTGTTTACAAAACTCACCTCACTATCACTAAATACTATTTTTTTTTTAGATTTTAAGGAGTTAAAGTACAGATTAAATGGTTGACACATTGTGTAATTCTATCGCTACATATCTATATGTCTATATCATTTCAGATTTCAGGTCAAAACCTGCTGCGTTTCCTGGTGAAGGTAGATTACTAATCAAGCGGACCAACACTGCAGGCACGTCACTCGTTGATAGCAAAAATGACACGCCAGCTCGACGCTGACGACAAAAGGAGGAAAAGTCGAATGCCACGAAAAATTTAACCTTCTATAGTCTGAAAATTTTGCCAGCAAACTAAGCACCACATTTTGCAAAAACAAGGTTTTAAAGAAATACTCGATCTTTAATGTATTTCAAAATTGTAGTAGATTATTGATATAATTTTTTATTCATGTATTAAATATATATTTCTTTGATGCATTAAATTTTTTCAATTTTTTTTTTTTTTATTTAGATGGAGACAGAAGTTTACACTAGTTTAGCCGCCTTAGGGTGCCTTTGTTTCTTCATCCACCGAGTGGCTTCGAAGGCGCAACCGACCCTCCAAGCAAGCAACCCAGATTTCTTGCGGTTTCAGCGTCTCTTCTTCGTTGTCTACTTCCCAGCACTTTTCTCCGATTGGCTGCAAGGGCCCTATGTCTACAAACTCTACAGCCACTATGGATTTGCAGAGTCCCAGATCGCTGTCCTCTATGTTGTTGGATTCGCGGCGAGTATCTTGTTCGGCACCAGTACTGGGCCGCTGGCTGACCGATTCGGCAGACGACTCATGTGTGTCTGCTTTGCCGTGCTCTACTCCATCTGCTGTTTCACCAAACTCAGCCCAGACTATTTTGTGTTGCTCTTTGGACGGATTTTGGGTGGCATCTCCACGTCAATGTTGTTTTCAAGTTTCGAAGCTTGGTAAAAAAAAATTAAATTAATATCAAACAATTATTTTATTTCTTAAAAAATTAAATCATTGATTAAAAGTATTTATTCCTGTTAAAAATGAATATTTACTTCATTAACTTAGCAGAGAAATTAGAAATTTAAAATCTATGAAAAAATTAATAAAAAATATTTGGGAGTTAACCAAAATTTTGAATAAATTTTCTTTGATTAAAGGTATGTCTATGAGCACCGTGAGCACCACGGCTTTCCAGTCGAGTGGATCTCGTCAACCTTCAGCAAAGCCACCTTCTTCAATGGCTTGCTGGCCATAGTAGCAGGAATTATTGCCAATTTTGCGGCCGAGACGATGTCTTTTGGACCAGTGGCCCCCTTCATGATGGCCGTGCCCTGCTTGGTGGTTGCTGGCATTGGAGCTGGACTCTGGTGGCCGGAAAACAGGGGTTCGGTCACTCCTGAGGTTGGAATGTCCTGCATGAAAGGACTCCGCTACATTCTGTCAGACTTGACCACGCTGCAGCTGGGAATGGTCCAGGCACTTTTTGAGGTGATATTTGCTAAAAAAAATTCTAATTTCATTTATAACTTTTTTTAATTTTGCAGGCTGTCATGTATATTTTTGTCTTTCTTTGGACGCCAATGCTCGAGCCAGCAAAACCACCCCTAGGGCTTGTCTTCTCGTGCTTTATGGTTGCGATCATGATCGGCTCGTCTATTTATTCCATCTGTACCTCCAAAAAGGTTGATAATTATTTCAATTGCTAAAATTTTCTACCAGCCAGAGAAAAATTGAAATTAATTAGGAAATTTATAAAACAAAATAACTTTTTAATTTCTCTTCAACTTCATATCAATAATTTTTGCAAATTTTTATATATTTTTCCTGCATAATATATAATATTTACTTCTATTTTTAATCCATCATTTACAGAACTTTATTTTATTTTTTTTTTTATAAATTTAATAATTTTTTTGCAATCTCTACAATTGTAAATTGTTGAATGACTAACATTTGTAGTCCTTTTTTACATAAAATTCTCTTCAATCAATGATATTTTTTATTTATATCTTTGCTTTAACATTTCCTTCTAGATAAAATCCGAGCAAGTCCTGTTGGCAGCTTGCGGTTTGGCCCTGTGTTGCACCCTGGTGTGTGCCTACTCTTCAGGGGCCCCACTCATCTCTCTGGGCGCCTTCATCCTGTTGGAGATCTGCGTCGGAATGTACTATCCGGCGATCGGTTCATTGAGGAGCCAAGTGGTGCCCGAGCAGTACCGGGCCAACATTATAAACTGGTTCCGCGTGCCCATGAACCTGATCACCTGCGGAGGACTTTTGTGGCTGCACTCTGGCACGGAAAACAACGCCGAGACCAACAGGCACATGTTCCTGATGTGCACGGTGGTGCTTGCCGGCGCTTCGTACATGGCCTACTGCTTCTGCCAGCGCTTCAAACCTGCCCCACCAGCAGCCACAATTGCAGTCCAGCAAGAGCCCTTGCTGAAACCGGAAGGTGTTTAAGAAAAGAACGGTCAGTTAAATTACTTAATAATTTATGTTTTCCATTTCTGACGTTTTGGTTTTTATTTAAACGTGAAGTTTCCGTGTGATAGGAATTCGAGTTCCACTCTTTTCTTTTAGTAAGCCACAAAGTCCAACCACAAAACTCACAATAATTGGCAAAATCTCATTTGTTTTAAATAAAAGTAGGCGCAGTCTACAAACACACTCCAAAAGCCATACGAATAAAAACATTGTTTGAAATAATTGGCAGCTGTAGTCAATTTAAAGCCAAATGAAAAATTCTACCACTAAATATTTAATAAACTGCTTAAGTATAGCAGTCCTTTATCAGAATCACCTGAAAGTATTGAAGTACCTTAATAATTAGAAGAAGAAAAAAGTAAATTGATACACAATTACTGTGTAAGATAGTTTGAACCAAAAGACTTACTTATATGCCCTTGATGACTGTGGTTAGAAGAATTTTTGAAAACGTTAAAAGGCGTTACTACTTCTGAATTTTATATAGGAGTAAAACATTTTTTGAATGAAGTGATAGCTACATAAATTCTGATCCATCAGAAATTTATCTGGTATTAAAAATGATTGAACTAAATTACTTTCAACCAGGTCAATTTATTTGTATTGTATTATATCACAGTATAAAAATATGAGTGATTTTTTCTGCATTTTCTCATCTGTGTTCCTTGACTGTTTACTGTGTTCGATCGTTCGGAAAGGTGCGTAACTGCAATATCCACAAAGCGTTACATGTTTTATTATTTATTGTTGTACAAAATGACTCAAATAAAAATTTAAATGATAATTTTTAAAATCATCGGAAATGTGTTCCTTTTGAGTAATTCGTCATGAGCAATTTGATGGCCTCTTCAGCGGCCAACTTTCCCGGAGAGCCCATTACCCCTCCACCGGGGTGGCCTCCACTGCCGCACAAAAGCAGATTCTTTACCGGCGTGTCCGGTGGCGACGGCCCAGAACCGCCACCTGCGCGCAGGGTAAACAATTGGTCCAACGAGAGGGCGCCGTGAAAAATGTTCTAGATTAGAAATCATAGGATTTAATAAAAAAATATCAAAAATTGTAAATTACTCCTCCGGTTAGTCCAAAAATTTGCTCCAAATCCGGCGGTGACAAAACTTCATAGCCTATCACGCTCGAGGAAAAACCAGGCGCGTACTCGTCAATATTGTGAAATACCTACAATTTAGATTTATTTCAATTTTATAGTTTTTTTTAAAATCAATTTTACTTGTTTTGCGTATGAGTTTTTGGTGTTCTCGTCCCAAACTTTCCCGTCCCGCAAATGGTATGGGGTGTATTGAGAGAAAATCAAACAAACGTGACAGCCGGGGGGTGCTATCGTCTTGTCTAAACTGGACGGAATCACCATCTCAAGCATTGGTCTGAAATTTAAAAAAGAAAAGAATTGAAAAAAAAATCCAGACTTATTCTATAGAAAAATTTTTTCAAAGATTTTTCCAGAAAAGAATTTAAATAGCCAATTTTAGTTTAAATTGCTCTTTATCCAATAAAATTAATTAAAAACAATTTCAACCTTCGCGAGATCAGACCGTCTCGGGCGTCTGAATAGGCCTGTTCAAGAAGGTCCACACTCTCGCAGTTGAGGTGGATGGTAGTTTGGTGGTGCGGACCTGCCATCCCTTGATCTCTCGTAGGGTCGGCAAGGAAATTAGGCAACTCTTTCACTGCAACTGATATTCAAAAATGATTTAGTGTCAAAAATCAAATGGAAAAAAGTACCATTAATTTTAGTAACTGGGGATTTGTAATCTATACTCTGAGCCGCGGCTCGAAATTCGGCACTCAGGGCTTCTTTGGGCAGAAGTTTCAAGTACGTGATTTCAGGGGTGGCGTTGGACAAAACGAGCCGACTTTTGATTTCCTCCCCCTTTGCCGTCGCCACTCCCTGGGCGCCCTTTTTGCTGTCCCACAAGATTTCCTTCACTTCCTGGAAATAAAATATAACATTTTTTTTTCTTATTACGTCATTCGTTCTTTGTTTCGACAAGTTCAAAATTGATTAGATTTGCCATCATGTTATTGTCTCCCGACATCGGTAATTAGCGTGCTGAATTTGTATTGATTATGTCGGCGCGATAAGATTGAAGTTGGATGGAAATCAAAAGCCCGTTTTTTTTTTTTGTTCATTATCTGCTGGCGAACCAAATGAACAGCACCACCAAGAAGTCGAGCGTCGCCGACTCGATGGCGGCCGCCACCAAGCAGCCCTTGGAGAGTCAGTTCTCGCGCAAAATGAGCATCTCCAAGTCGGGTCGGTATCGCGAGTTGCAAAAGCGGCGGGGCTCCCTTTTCGACGAACAAGGCAACTCGCTTTTCGGCACCCAACAGGGCAACAAGCCTCAGCAGGAACAGCCGGCGGAGAAAAGGGAAGTCGTGTTCACCATGACGTTGTGATACATTGCAAAATTTTTAACTCAATTTGAACTTTTGTGATGAAAATTATTATATGATATGGTAATCAAATTAATGTGAACGATGCAAAGGCATACCATGTTTGTGAAAATGTCGACTCCGAGGGACTTGGCTTTGGAGGCCATGGCTTGCGTGACCGCCCCCATGCCTCCCTCAGGGTAGCCCCAGGCTCCCTTGACACCTTCTAACTCGCCCATCACGTGGTGCAACAGGACGTAGCTGCGACAATCAATTTCCACTTGATTAATTAATTTATGTGAATTTACAAAAACAAAAATCGTTGCATGATATTTTTACAGTTGAAAAACGCCTGGCCAGAGAGATAAGATTAATAGCTTGCTCACATTGAGTGCAACACTTGTTGCTATATTAATTTGTGAACACAAAAAATATATTGTTATAATTTGTTGACCAAAGACTGAAATTTTGCAATAAATTTTTTAAATACTACTTAGATTTTCAATTTTTTTTTTTACCTCGTGCCTGCGTCGTGTGGGCTTGTGAAAGCGCCAATTACAGCATCGGTGGCCAGGGTTGCTTTGAGCGGCTCCGACTCGAACCACCTGTCCAAAATCTTTGTGGCAGGCGCGGTCATCAACTCCAAGAACTTGTTCAAATCGCTGCCGCTGAGAGACGATAGGGCCTTGCCTAATAATTAAATAAGTTTTAATATAAATTTTAAATTTGGAAAGAAAAAATATTTACTTGCTCTCACAAGTCGTTTGTCTTTGTAAAAGCTCCACGCCCGTCTCAACAAACTCTGGTCATCTTCCAACAACCGCTTCACAGAGGAGGCAGGCAAATCCAAAAGAGGCTCGACCGCCTGCACCATTTTTTCCAAATATTTCTCATACTTCGGATATGCCTTAAATATAGAAAAAGTAGAATATTGTTTTCCCATATATATTTTTTCAACAAACTTCGGCATCTTTTTTTGAAAATTGGGAAATCTGCTTTTGGTTGAATTCTTCACTGCTGCTCAGGGTGAGTGACTTGGCAGGGTATTTGGACCACAGCGCCTCGTGCAGCGGAGTATACGAAGAAGGGTTTCGCAAATGGACTTTCAGACCGTGTTTCTGCATAAATAAAATTTAAAAATAATATTTACAAAAATTTATATTACTTTTAATTCCAAATCTTTGATTATCTGCGGCCTCAGAAGGCTAAGAACGTAGGAGGCCCTGGAGAATTTGAAACCAGGCACGATTTCCTCGGTGACCGCGGCGCCTCCGACCACCGGCCGCCGTTCGAGAACGCACACTTTTGCCCCTGACATTTGCAAGTAGCACGCCGAGACCAAACCATTGTGCCCTGATTATATATTATTTAATAAATCAAATTTTTTTTAAACTTAAAATTTCTTATCAAATTTTACCTCCTCCGATGACAATCGCGTCATAAGATTTCTTCCTCGTTATCAATTTTAGGTCTGCACGAAGACTGGAAAATCCGCGAGGGCGAAATTTGAACATCTCTTGGCTGAAAATAAAGAACGCGTGTCTCTCTTCCGAGATATTTGCTTTGACTATGTAGGCAAACGTTTTTCGTTGGCGAATTGCAATAATAATAATTACGCGTCTCCGCACGAGACCAGTTTATCGCCAAGGTTGAAGTCCAAGGCCCTTGGGTGCTGCCTGCCGAATAATGTAACATACAGCCTGGTATATTGGATGGGATTAGAAAATGATAGTCTCTGAATTGACACGGTTGTGGTGATGCTTTTTATTTACGAAAAGCCAATTTTACAAATTAGGAACGTCGCCTCTGTTCAGTTGGTTACATAGTTACTGATGATATAATTCTTGTTTTTAATATCGGTGATAGTTTCTTAATTTCTACAGCACATTTAAGTTGATGAGATGCCAACAGTTAATCTCGTCTGGTACATAATTCGCTCTACGCTTGCTACACACGCACTCCTAGCCTTTCATTAATTATTTATAAAATAGCACAAACTTGTTCCAGCTATTGTATTTTTAAATAACTCAAAAATAAAAACTTATATAATTGTTCGCATTACCGATTCACTAAATTAGTGACTGAGAACGCATTGAAAATTCATATTTTTACAAGCCGATTGTAAATAAAGCATAATTATATAATTTATTATCATGTATCTTTGGTGACAATAATTACGAATATTTTTTTTTTTTTACATTTACAAAAATTGCATTTACACTACACTTAATAGGGTGACTCAAAATCTCCAGCTTTACACTTTCAGTTTTTATTCTATTCCCTTTTCTTATTTGTAGGAAAACTACAATTATCTTTTAATTGCCGTCAGAAATCTGTTGGATATATTTCCAAATTACCATTCAGCACGCGAGTCCCACCAACGATGACATCAGGAATTTGTTCCTACGCTTTTCATTGACCTGAGTGAGAGACGAAGGTGCATTTTTCAAGATATACATGGTGGATAAGGCAGCCGCTTTATTAGGTATAGGGGTGCCCTTAAGAGCGTGGTCGAGGGTGGAAGAAAAGTACCTGAAGAGGGAAAGACGCAGCTTGTTACAAATTCAATAAATTTCTAAAGCAAAAGCAGTCTCAAAAATGCAATTCTCGTAATTATCTTTGTTCGAATAACACATTTTCTAACGTCATGGAAAGTTTCAGCATTTCAGCCCGAGCACCATAATTTTAGTCCCGACAGGCAAAATTGAGATACATTTTAACGATCAAGAATTTTTGAGCGTGCACCTATTTGAATTACAAGTCCATCTAAAACAAAAATCTCCTTGAGTAATTGCCTAATATTTTTCAGTACAAAATCTAACTGCCAATCGAAAGCTACGCCTAATCGATTTCTTAAGTCCTAAAGCAGCCACTTCAAAGAGCTAGAAGGGTGAATTTCTAACCAAACAGAAAGATTTGGGTAACAAATACAACTTTCCGCTGCTACCTTGAAACATTTAAAAGCATGTCCAGCGCGTAGAACATGAAAATAGGTCCTGAACAGAATCAATTGATTAATTGTCTCAGCTAACTAGTATCACAGAAAATAGCCACTTGCACTATGCTTGGCCTACTTTGCTGCCCTGGACTCGAATTTGTGCTGCAGGGCGGCAACGCTGTTTGGCGTTGTCCGACTCGGAGGCGGTGGAGGTTGTTTTTGTTTTTCTGGCCCGTTTGGTGGCCGGTCGCAGCTGGCCAGCAAGTCCGGCTTGGTCGATTTCAATCCAACAACGGTTTTCCTGGCTGCCGTTGGTGGCGGAACTTTGGCCACAACAGGCTTTTCTGGCAGTGGCCGCTGCGCCATTTTGGACCCTTCGACGGCCATGAGGACCGACTTGACAACTGCTGCGCTCGGAGCTTTGGGGCCAGCCGGTTTGGCCGCAACCGCAGGAGCCGAGCTTGATATCAGGGTTGGATTGGAAATCTGAGGCCGTGGTTTTTCAGTTGGTTTTGAAGTTGGGCTCGTAACTGCTGGCGGCGGTTTGAAGGTTGGGCTGGTAACTTTTGCCACTGGACTCGTCACGTTTGGTTTTGTCTCGGGCTTTGTTGAAATTGGTTTGGGTTTTTCTGTAGGTTCCGGCTTAGGAGGACTTGTTTTCGGAAACGACTTTAAACCGTTCAAACTTGGCTTAGGTTTTTGCGCATCTTCTTTAGACTGTGACTTGTCCTCAGGAGACTTCAAACCCACTGGAGTGGAAATCTCAAACTTCTTGGCCTTGGGCACTTGAGGTGGTCTAGGCGGCGTCCTGAAGGTGGAGAACGGAGCCGGCGGCTCGGAGGCAGGCATTGATGCAGGCAGGGGTGGAGGCACCACTGCGGAGGGGCGCAAGTACTGGTTGCTGGAGGCCTGGCTCGGAGTGGGCGACGAGTTGGTCGGCATGTTTGTGTACATGGCATTGACATAAGTGCCACTGGTCGAGCTGGACAGCGAACTGGGACAGCGTTTGTCATCATCCTTGACACTGCTTGTGGTATAAATGGACTCAATGTTGCGGGCCTGCATCTCATTGACGATTTCAGACAAGAGACCCACTGACTCAACACTGCCTGAAGACGTGGCGTTATCTGGTGGTTTCGGGCACTGGTACGCTCCTGATGGTGTGGTATACTCTCTGGGAAGCTGAAAGAGTTTTTTTTTTAATTAAAAATTAAGTATTTTCAAATCAATGATTTAACATTTCTGTTAATCAAGCGGTCCCATTGATTTTTCAACTGCAAATATATTATGGTAAATAAATTATCTTTTTCTAATTTAACAATTTAGAAATTTACAAATTTTGATGGAATGAGTCCCAAAAATACCTATAAATTTGGATATAAATTTCTGGATTTAATATTATTTTTTAAATACATACCTCCTTAGTTTTCTTTTTAGGGGACATGATTGGTGGACTTTCTTCGATGACTGCATAAATGTTGTCGGCTGAGGTGGGCGTTGTTTCTTCGTCAATGTGGGCCAGTGGTGCTTGACCCTGAAGCAGTTCTGGGGCGGAGGGGCCGCAGTCGTCATACTGTAAGGTTTCTTTCACCGGTGGAGGCCTTGGTGGCGGTGCTGTTGGTCTGGAGCTGGTAAGGCTGTTTGGCCGTTTTGCCCTCATCGAACCAAAAGATGCCAGAGGAGCTTTGGGAGCAACGGAATCTCTCATGCTGTGAGTTCGAAGAACCACTGGCCGAGGGGCATTATTTGCCGTTTCCACTACTCCAGGCACTTCAATGTTCTGAAATTATATTCAAGGTTAGCAAAATTAAAAACTGAAACTTAATTGACTATTTAAAAAAATAAAAATGAATACCTGAAGTGGAATGGGCTCCGAAATGTGGAGAGATCTCAAGTTCTCCCTGTTTATCTTGGGCTTATTTCTGGTCAGCACCCCATTAGGAGGCGGTCCGTGAGGAACAGGCCTCAAAATTGATGCAATCCTGGAGAGAGTCGATGATCCTTCACGGACAACCTTGATGGGCGGTGGTTCTAGAGGGCCACCGTTGTTGGTCGGACTGTCAACGGCCACAGCCTGGTAGCCGCGAGGAGGTTCGAGAGGTGCTTCTGGGGCAGCGATTGGAGGTGAAAGGGGCTTTGGTGGAGCAGGGCGGATGGGGACCAAGGCTGGAGGTGGCGGGGGCGGCGACTGGTGTTGCGCGATCAGGGTGTTGAGCTGCTCAGTGGCGGTCAGAAGTGAAGCCTGCGCACCGTCGGTCATCGTTTGGGGCATTGGTCGTGAAATGGCCTCTTTGAGTTTGCTGATGTCGGCTCCCTTGGTGCTGCAATGAGAGAAGGCAAAAAACTCCAGAGGATGTTCTTGTGGCAAGGAAAAAAAATAAATTAACTTTGTGAACTCCAATGCTTTTTATTCCGGCGGCAGGTGCCAAACCCAAACCAAAGAAAGCAAACCGCTTCATGCAGACTACAACTACTATATATAGAGAGCATTTAACATTAAATAATTACAAATAAAATGTACTGTGTGAAGCCATACACATAAAAGAGTAAAAAGAATGATGCTGGAATAAATGAAAGTGACTCTCTAATCCTACGATTTTTAAAAATTTGTTTCAAAACTTCAAAAACATTGAGCCGATTTTTTTTTAGGATTTCGAGTTACCCTCATTAATTCCAAAAATAAAATTTTCAATGAACACAAATACGGATTAAGAGATCTTGCAAAAATACTGTACTGAACACATCAGAGTCCAAACTTTTTGGCTGTTAAGTGAAAATGAGTAATGAGTTCCAGCCGTTTGCTTTTTTGTTGAAAATCCAAACAGAGGAACGCATTTAACAAAACACAATGCCCAACATTCAGAGTCCAGTACCTCTAAAACTATTTTTGATAGGCTAGGATTTCTTCAAGAAAATAGTCTTTTGTGCATAAAGAAAGCACCAACTCGTCTGCAATTATAAGATATTATACACATGACAGTAGCAATAGAAAGGTTGAAGGATTGAGAACCAATTCCACAAACCCAAGAAAGGTGCGATAAGCATGCTCGCACCAACAGTGGCAGTGAAATTATGAAAAAAATTGTTGAGTGGAAGTTCACATATTTTTTCTTCCAGGTTGATACTTGTTGGCACTGGGTGGTGGCATAGGGGCTCTATCAGCAACTTTGAATGCATTCGAGGATATTGACGGGGCAAATTTATTTGCAGGAGGTGGAGGAGGAGGTGGGCCCGCCCTTTGACCTTTCAGACTTTGAGGAGGTGAAAATTGCTGCTCAAACTTTTGCCCCAATGTAGACGGTTTGGCCTGATTGTATTTTGCAGAAACAGGGGGTGGTGGAGGTGGAGATGGACTAGACTTGGAATCTTTTTTACTTTGAGGGGGTGAAATTTTTTGCTCTAACTTTTGCCCCAGATTATATTTTGCAGACATAGGGGGTGGTGGAGGAGATGGGCCAGATTTTGATTCTTTTTTACTCTGAGGTGGTGAACGTTGTTGGTCGAATTTTTTTCCCAATGCAGAAGATAATTCAGACAGATTAATTTTCCCAGAGGCAGGGGGTGGCATGGGTGGAGACGAACCAGCCTTGTGAACTTTTTGACTTTCAGGTGGTGTTAATTGCCCAGGCATGAATTTTGAAGAGAATGGGGGCGGCGGAGGGGCTTGGCTTGCGGGAGGCTTAATAGATGGAGGAGGGGGTGGAGGCGGAACATGCATTTTCCTCGTCCCTCTAGGACTAAGGTAAGGAGAAAGAGGATGCAGCAGGTGAACAGACTCTGGAGGTGTGGAAGGTGTCTCTGGGCCGCTAGTGGTTGTGGTTGAGGAGCTACTAGGGAGTCTGAGCCTCTGCAAAGGTGGAGTCTGGATTTTCCTGTGCAGCTCTGGAGACCTGACAGGACTCAGAGCGACAAACTCAGTAACAAGTCTGTCCGAGGCTTGGCCAAAAGACTTGAGCTTTTTCTCTTTAATTGGTTGGAAATCCATTAGGATTTCAGTGGTTTGGCTGTCTGAAGCACACGGGGCCTCTTCAGTTTCAACTTCGACCACCCTGGTCACCTCTTTAAAAGAACCTTTATTGAACCATTCCTCCACCCTCTTGACAAAAGTTGGAATTTTATACCGCTCTTTTGGTTGGTTTTCTGAATCGCTTTGAACATGGAAAAGATTTTGCTTTTTGGGTGTGACTAGGAAATTATTCGGTTTCAATATAGCAACTGCTTCAGGGACCCTAGCAGCCTCAATCACTTTTAAGTCGTGGGGGGATTCTTCCTTGATGGTAAAAATTTTTCGTGCATCTAGAGAGGGATTTTTAGGTGATTTGGAATTTTCAGGGTTAGCCACCAAAGAGTATATTAGATTCTTTTGCTTTGTGGTTTTTGGGCTAGTTTTTTCTTGAGGGGGATTTGAATTGCTACTACTTCTACGGAATCTACGAGTGCATGAACTGAGGTGCAAATAGAGCCACATGCGCCACTTTTCAAAGTGATCTTCTACATACTGTGCGCTGCTGTCTTGGACTGGGCGCTTGTTTCGCCAACTGTGCGCCAGGTAGGCGGCCACGAAGAGGATGATCACCATGAGGCCGGCGGCCAGCAAGAAGATGAGCAATTTTTGTAAGCCACTTGTTCCTATAGAGAGTGCGTTAGAAAATAATTCAAACAAAGTGAAAAAAATTTAATCTACCATTAGGGTCAGACGCAGGTCCACTCTGTAAACTGCCACCAAAACCTGCTGAAAGACAGTCTGGAGGTGCATAACCCACGTCACAGTGACATTGGCCATGGCTGTTGCAAATCCCGCGGCCGTTACAGTCATTTTCACACGTGGATGTTCGTAGAGATTCCACTGCCATACACTTCTGATTCACACACATCTAGAAAGACTCAATTAAAATATGTTTTATTTTATTATTGCATCCATTGTACCTTTCCCTCTCCACACTTAGCACCATCAGGGGCAAGGCCAGGATCAACTTCGTTCAAGCCGAGATCAACAATTGCGTTTCTGCAAGCAATGATTCCTCCTGCTCTTGTATTAAGGAAAGTCTGACTCAAAATGGCAACCGATTCCATGCCAAACTCGAGCCGCTCATTCAGATGTTTGCAGTGAAGCATCCCACACATTACATCTCTGTGAAGGAAGGAAGAAAGGTAAGACAATTGAATATCTTTTGAATAACAGTCCATTACTTTCTATCGCATCGAATGTAGGAGTGATTCAATCTGTTGAAACCACAGTTTCCGTGCTGCAAGCCTTTAATATTCATATCTTCATAGCACTTGCTTTCCGAGTTCACACCTGATGGTCCCCAAAGCAGTTTGCACTGGTCCGAGTGCGTCCTGCACGTTCCCTTGTAGCAATATGCCTAAAATCAATTAAACTTAAGATTTTGTTTTTGATTTAAACATTATATACATACCTTTGCTTTATTACATAGCATTCCATCCATCTTGTACAAATTGTCAGGGCAAAACTCAGACTCTCCAGTGCAGTACTCTGGAAGGTCACATTCATGATCAGCTGTACGACACTCGACTCCCGCCCTTTTGGGCCTGCATGTCTCCAGATCACAACATTTTCCAGTGGCGCAGGTGGCATTCTGGTGCAGCATGCAGGTTGATGCATTGCAGCAGGGATTTTTGCAGTGCTCAGGCAGACCACAATCGCACTGCTCGCCAGGCTCGACAAAGTCGTTTCCACACACCGGACTCTCAAACAATCTTAATTCAATTAAAATTAATTTTATTTGTTCATAAAAGTAAAATCAAAGTCTCATACTTTTCTGGCTTGTTTCTCAAACAGTAATCCATGCCATGTTCAAAGGCGTGCGCCAGGTACTCCAAACTGCAGTCACTCCAGTGGGTGAACAACTTTGAGCTGAATTTTTAATAAAATTAATCAAGATAAAACTTTACAAAATTATTTTTTTACTTTGAAGAAGGAGCCATGATGCATCTGTCAGTAGGGCATTTGCAATCACTGGTGTCGTGTTCCATTCCAAAATTGTGGCCCATTTCATGAGCAACTGTGGTTGCAACCAGACCCACAGCAGTACTGTGATCAACACTGATGCCACCTGAAAACTCATAGGTGCAAATGGGTCCTTTCAGCGCCTTGCCTACCACGCCTCCGTCAAACTGCATTCGCCTATTTTAAAAAAATAATTATTGGTAAGTCTGAAGAAAATATAAAAGATTTTACGTGAGCAACTGCGCATTGTCATTGGGATGTTCCTTGGCCAAGGTGCCTCTCCTGTAGTGGAGAAAGGCTGAAAGAGTCTCGTCTCCATTAGCAGTGATTTGGATTTCGTCGTGGTCTGTCCAGACCACAACTCCAACTAGGGCAATGAAGATATTCAAAGGCGAGTAGAGCTGTTTTAATTCATTTTAATTTGAGATGCACCCATATTTTATTTTGATTAACTTACGGAATTAATAATGTTAGCAATGTTCTTGCAGTGGTTGTGTACGGCCTCAATAGAACCTAATTCCTTGTATTCCTTGTTGTCAACAACAAAAACGAGCTCCACATATCTCGACTGTTTATTCGAGTTGTAAGGAGCTCGGATCACGCCCTTTGTTCCTTCTTCTAAACTTCTTTTGAACTGAAATTTAATTTGGGAATTAAAATTAAAAGATCAAAATTCATGATTTTATATATTTACCCTATTTCCTACTATTGAATCATGATGAATCTCATGCGGAGTGTCAGGAAAACCTAATTTAGTAGTACAATTGACAATTATTCATTTCTACTAATCGGAAAAAAAACTTACCGCAAGTGTGGTTGACTTCCAGTGACGAATGTCTGTAAACAAAATGGTCCTCGGTTGGACTGGCTTCCTTGTTCCTCGGTTCAATGTAATGAATTTCATTTCCATCAAAAATCGCTCCACTGAAAATTTAAAACTTCAATAACGAAATGTTATGAAAATTGTTCAAAATTACCTGAGGCCATTACAAGTGGATATTGCAGCCCAAGAGTCGGGTTTGTCTCTGATCTTGCCGTTGTACTCACAAAGATTCACGTCTTGCGGTGAGGGTCGATGAACCTTTGGTCCTGACTCACCCTGCTGCCGCACAAAGTATGATTTTCCTATCAGTTCACTGCAATATAAATTTGACGTGAGACTCTGTGCGCCATAAAAAAAATAATAAATAATGTGCATTGGCAGACGCACCGATTGAGTTTCAGGTCCAAAACCACATCTTCGCCGTTGAAGTTGATCGAGACGGCCAAGTCGTGCACGTGATTATTCTCATTGCCGGAGCCCTCCTGCAGCAAAAGACAGAATTCTATTTACAGTTCTTGCATGGGAGTAGAGCCAATTGGCAAAAAATGATAAAGTTTCAATATTGCAGCTGGCGATTATTTTTACACATGTTGATCAAATACGGTCAAGAGAAAAGATATTTCAAAATATTTTTAAATGATTGAAAATGAAAATTAACAAGGTTCTTCCTTTTTAAGTCTAATTCAATGAAGTATCTCAAATAAGGCAATATAAAGATACGAAGATTACAGCTCAAAGTGTGAAAATTGCAGCAATATTCCACTGATAATAATTTCAGATGCATTATCTCTAGAAAAGGGTTTTGATAAGTCGCAGCTGTGACACGTAGAAAGGGTCTAACAACTATATGAACCCGAATCAGAGTTAATTGAATTAATTGAAAGGGAGATCCGCGCCGTTGTTCGAGCGTCACTTGGCCGCAAGACAAATTTGTATACGTACGAGCGTGACACCCACACGGTGATCGTTGAACCCGCGCTACTATAAAGCATCATTCAAAAATAAAATGTTAATCTCAATCACTGACATTCAGGGCAAAGATAATTATTTTTAATTATTTTGACGTTATTTGTGGAGATCATTCATATGCATGAATAAAAGAAACAACAAAAATGATTAAAAGCAAAAGCTGCCTTTAAAACTAATACAAAGAAATATTCTTACTAATTGTGTTTCAAGCAACTTTTCAAAGTAAGCTCAGACTTGAATGGAGGAAATTTTAAATTTTAACAGTTTACTGGCTTTTAATGAGTTTAAGTTTCACATGGAAACTTTGAAATTGCTGAAAATTTACCCATTGAAAATTGAAATTAGTTATTTAAATTCAATAAATCAATTAATCTCGTTTTTAATATATAAGTATTTATGCATAAGGCCATTTAAAAATAAATTTTAGCCTTTGAATCTGCTTTGAATAATAACGATCGATCAAACAACAATAAGACGTTTGGCCATTTGAAAAGATTTGAAGGGCCCATTTATTTATCCAGCTAGCTTGGCCGCAAAGATCACAACACTGGCGCATGAATTTGAGAGATAAAGAGGGGGCGATAAATAATTTACTGACAGCGATTCTGGTCGAGTTCAAGTGTCTCTTCTCACGGTTGTGCACCAGCACGGGCCTCACAACTTGGTGCTGAGAAAATTCGGCCGCCGGACCTGCAACAAAGAGGAAAAATTTCAGTTCGCTGTCACGCTGATCGGTCGCGTTGGCTCACGCCGGGGGTATTTTTAGACCGGGGTGCTCTTGTTTGAAATATTGCTCGCCGGCAAAACGCATTTTCATTTCCGATTAATGGACTGGAACGCTTTTGGAATTATCGTTGCGCAACGCTCCGCCTAAAAAATGCTCTTGCTGCAGCAATTTATGATTGTGCAAAATATTTTTAATTTTAAACAAAGTCAAGATTGAAAGAAAATTTTAGAGGAATCAAAAGATGTAGTAATTTTCAGCAGATAAATTATTATACGTTTGTAAAAAAATAAATAATGTATGTTCAGTATTTGTTACAAAATATCCAAAGATTGATTTTTTTTTTAATTTAATAAAAACAAAAATGTAAAAAAATGAATAGTTTAAAAAATTAAGTTTTTGTGTGCAATGAATATCCCAAAGAAACGATCAAAGAAGTGTTTAACTGATCAATCAAAAAATTATCTCGTTTTGTTTTTATTTTAACCATCTTCAAGGTAAAAAAAATAATAATAATTATGCATTCAAAAAGCAAGGTTAAAATAACTTTAATTTTCAATCTTTGTTTGAAACTTTCAGCGTTTGCCTAAGCTAAACGTCTTTGACCTCTTTTTACTGCTCAAGAAATTTTGCAATAGTTTGGAATTTACAGCGCCCCTTTCAACGAAACAATGATTCTTTACAGGTCAAACACCGACGGTTGGAGGTTTGGAAATGATCGTCCGGCGCCAACTCATAAAGTTAGAATTTGTTTTGCTTTCGTTATCGCAAGCAGAGCCAGAACAAAAAACAGAAACATCCTGTCCTGGCTTTTTTAACTATATGTATTTTTCTTCTTTAACGGTGGATTTTCCAAACCCACAACGGCAAAATCGGCTGGGAAATTTACGACCACTTGTTCTGCATATTTAACTTGAAGCAAAAATATAAAGCTAGAGTAATATATTTCAATTAGCTTTGAGAGTGGAGAGTGGAGACTAAAAATTTGTAGAGCGCAAGGGCGTGAGCCAGATAAAAAATGAAATAGAACTACTCTCCCATGTAACTCTTTCTAGGCACAAAATAAATATATAAAAATAAATTTCTTCTAACAATGCGAGCGCGGATATCTTTTTTTTTTTTATTTATCGCTTCTTTTTTAAGGCCCCACCTCGAGCGAGAGAGTCTTTGTTTGAAACGAGGCGGATGGTTTTAAGGCTAACGCTCCGTGTGTAAGTCAAATCGTACGTGTAATTGTGGTCACAGACAAGGTCAAGTGCGGATTCGTTCGCTGCAGTTCTCTGCTGGAGCTTTGGCGTTTGTTACTTTTCCTCGTCCTCAGATTTAACGAGTGAGTCACGGATTCGTCTCGACGAAATGACCGGCAGGAAAGATAGTGATCAAAATATTTTGAGCACTTCCTCCTTGCAGGTTGGAGGCGCCACAGCTTTTTTTTTTAAATTACTAGAACAAGCTATTGCTTTCGATCCATAGTGAATTTACTTAATTAAAATGGTTTGAAATAATTATTAATATCTAGTACTTCCAGAGTTTAATTTTAAATCTTAATTAATTAATTTTGATCTGCAAAAAGTTCATGACTGTCTTCAATTATTCAAATCCTTACATTTCAAAAAAATCCAAAAGAAAAAGGGAAACTGTTTGTAAGAATTTAAACAAATCAAGAACATTTTTTAAAAATTTAGAGCAGATTATTATTTTTCCAAGGCAACCATAAACCGGCTTGATAAAACCCATCAAGGAAAAGCTGAATATTAATTCAAACTTAGAAAATGCGTTTCTTTGAACTCCATTTATGATTTTAAAATATGACACTCATTAAATTTGCTCAAATTTACTAATTTAAATGCTGCCATTTAACTGACAATTTTAATTTACTTGAAATTTAGTGAAGTAGAATTAATTAATATTATTAGTTGAAAACTTTTATTTTATAGGAGATGGCAATATTTTATTTCATGTTTAATTCCTATTCTTCATACACATTTTTTTTAACTCCTTGATTTTTTCTCTTCACATTATTTACCATTTCGTTCCTCCCGTTGGAACTGAGGAATTTCTCTCTCTCACACACACAATTTCGTCTCTCAACCAGCCTTCCGTCAAATTACAAAAATATTTACCCAAGCGACAATTCCGAGCGAAATTCTAAACTCTTCTTCGCGCTTGTTTTCGGTTTGTTTTGGGTCGGGAGGGCGTTAATTAAAAATCCGTCTTCCTGTCTGCCGAGGGGGTTAACGAAGAAGTTCTTTCTCGCTTCTTTGACAAGGGGCCTCTCGCTTCGAACGTCTGCTTTTTGGCCACATGTGCGCCCGTCAAAAGTAAATATAAAAGAATAAGAGCCCCTGCATGTGCTGTGCGAAAGGGAGGCTGGTGTGCGTCTGCAGGCCCCGAAAACCATAACGGACACATATTCAAGCCCCCGTCTGACGTCACTATATCTAAAGGCAAAAAGTTGAGAGTAAATAAAAAGAAGAAGCAGACGCACACCCGATCATTATGAACCTCAGAGCATACAGAGCATTAATTTGTCCGAATGAGTTCCCAGCCAAGAAAAAACCAAGTGACTTTTTTTAGGCTCAATTTTCTTTTCCAAGGCCAAAGTTTTGTACATTTTAAGTCGGTTTTTATTGCCAGCCAGACTTCTTGTAAGTAAGTTGAGCGATAAAATTAACGTTTAGAGCAAAAATTGCGATAGTGCGTGCCCGGCCTGCGAATGACTCTCAACACCAGGCTTGGCCGGAGAGATGAATAATGCATTCGAATGAATAATACAAGATTGAATCTCGCGAGATTCAATGAATTGCGCGCTCATTACGCTTTCATCGCGTTTTAAAGTGACGCCACATGGCAGTAAAATTGCACAGAATTTTGGGTCGAGTTTGGAGTTTGGGAGAAAAATAATTATATTAATTTTTAAATCAGTAATAATAAAACTACAAATTTCATATACTCGTCAGGATTATTGGTTTCATGTTTAGAATTCATCAAGTTTGTGCATAAAATTATTATTAAAACTATTTTTAAAAATCAATAAGGAAATAAAAACGAGATTGTCGGTATAAATTTCCCAATAATCTTTCATAAATAAAAAATAGATAATAAATCAAACTAAAATTGAAACAGGAATTAGTACATACTTAATTCAAAATATTTTAGATTTGATTCTCATCTGTTTGGAATACTAATGAGGTCAATATCAGACGCATAGTAAGTTTTTTCTAAATATCTTGTCAATTAATACAATATTGTACTGTGACGAGAAGTTTTTCTAAAAATGGATTTTATTCTTTTTCATACTAGGCAAAATTGTCCTGTTATGAATCCAGAACAGATAAGAATTGTTTTGAAAAATTTGCGAAAAAAAATTCTTCACAATTTTTTGAACCCATGTTGACTGGAATACTAGAATCATTGTTTCAATTGTATAAACCAATCTAGAACTTTACTTTAGGACATTTTTTCCGCATCTATCAATTTTTTCTTTTTCAATAAATTAATTCTTCCAGCGCGGCGAGAAATTAAGAAATAATACAAATATGCAAAACCATTTAAATACGGAAATGCTTTGTAAGGAGAGTATGAACCCCAGAGGTATTCAACCCATTTAAACAATGCAGACGAGAAATCGTGACACATGCATGCAGGCAAACGTGGAATGAATCGATGCGAAATGTGCAAGACGCAGAAGAGAATTGCGAAAGTCGCGCACATTCATGCTCGCGGAGCAATTATATTATTTTCCTGCGAGAGATTATCGCCTGCGAGATATAACATATAATGTACTCTCATTCAGCAAATACTGACAATAACGCGAGTTGTCACGCGTTTACTCAGCATCTGCACACGTAAGCTCGCTGGCTTTGTTTCTCAACAAATAACAAAACGATCATTGTGAATCACAAAACTGAGCTCGCGAATATCCTCTGCAGCTTCCACTCCTCTTCCTTCCTGGATATTAGATTGGCAAGTCGACCCGAACCGAGCCCATTTCCTCTGGCATGAGTTGCTTTTATTGCTGCATGCGCCACCGCATCCTTGATTCAAATTTCGCTCCGTAGCAACTGCGGCATGATCTGTTTCTTGAGAAGACAGATTTAATTCCCGTGAGATAAAATGTCGATATAGAATTCAAGAGAGAAAGATAGAAAATGTCTATGATATAATTTTTGTCAAAATTTCCCCAAAGGGATAGAAAAATAAATATTGCAAAAGATTTACTAAAATTAATATAATAAATTATGCAATATTTAATAAAATCTCAGGGAAAATAGTATAAGAATTTAATAGCAAGGGCAAACCACAACAGACAAAAGACCTGATTAAAAATTAGAACTTGTGCTTGATTTACTAAGTTTTGTTTTTTAATGTAGGTTTTAATTGAAAAACTTGAAATAAAAAATTGATTCAAAAATTATTTCTGTTGAAATTGACACTTGAGGAAACGATCATGGACTTTGTACTCGTTGAAAAAATTTGTTTCAAAAACAAAAAGGCATTTTTTTCCAATGAAGACTAAACTATTTCTTCTAAACAATCCTAGATTTTAACTAATTTAAAAAACTACCTCTTTTATTTTTAGAGGAAATTCACGATCAAGAATTATTCAACAATGATTCAAATTAAAATCGCCCTTTCCTCAATGGCTTTATTGACGTAAAGCAACAGCAGGAAAATCGTTTTGCGTTAACCACAAAAAAAGCACATTTTGAGGAAAATCTGGAGTTTATTTTATCATGATTATATTATTGATTATTTTCAAATATTAAAGCATGATGTAAGTTAAAAAAATTGAACAGAATTTTAGATTGTAAAGCTTTACATAACAGTGATTTATTTTTAAAAACTTCACATTTTTCTAAACAAATTTAAAAAAAAATTAAAAAAAAAAATTTTTAATACTGGGATATCAATTGAAACTTGGTTTAAACTCTAATTGAAAAAGAGAAAAATAAAAAAGAGTGCACTTGCGTTTTTGCTAAATAATATTATACTCCAGGTTATCAGCAGAATCTAAAAACTGCTAGATTTATGCAGCAATTCTTTCGCTTTCGACTAGCGATAAGAAAAGGTGAAAGGGCCGCTGACTATTCGCAGGCAAGCATTAGCCATTTTAATTAATTTAATCCAGGAAGATCCGGCGCCGCTTTGCGAAACGTCTTTGTGGCGCATCCGCTTGCGCTGACGGAATTTAAATCAATGCTGCTGCGGGTGGCACGTGCGAACGGAAATCAAGATTATTTGCTGCCTTAAATAAAATAAACAAAAATATCGCACGCGCGAAAATGCCAGATCGCAATCGCACTTTTCGTTTTTTCACTTCTCCAAGTACGGCGATTGCGAAATGAATAATAATAAAAAAAAGAGTTGAATCACGATTGTACTCTACTTTCCTTCAATTACTTAACCTGGATTATATTGGCTGAAATTAATTCCCGCGGTGTTGCGCGAGCTAATTGATATATAGGCGAGCGAACGCGAGAGATTCTGACGCGAGAGAGAGAAGGTCGGTTACCCCGTTTTGTGCTCTCCGAAGCAACCAACAGCCGTTTCTGTTCAATACGTCTGGCGTAACACACTTTTCAGTTGCAATTAACCGCACCAGATAAGATGTACATAAACAAACTAAAGTCGAGAGCTTCTGGGAAACGTTTTCGGAAATATGCGTTTGCCCCGGAACTGTAAAATTATTATCTGACCAGATTAAAACTTTAACTCAAGTGAGCTTTTTCAACTATATTTAAAAAAAAAACGTTTTGTTACCATTAAATGAGTTATTTAGAGTCGGTTATTTATTTTGGGTTGAATATTAAATTCCTGACCATTTTTTCTACACACTGAACTGATTAAGTAAAAAAGCCTTATCATTATTTTGAAAGAGTTTTCCGGGTTTATAACCTCTGTGGAAAGTTAAAATTTTAATAGTCAATTTAAATTGGACTTTCGTTGAGATTATTAAATTTTATAGAATTTCAAAACCGACTTATTTTACAAAAATTATATCCAAGGATTTCCAATTAATTAATTTCAAAATATTTTAATTAATTATTATTTTCAAATTTGATTTCTCGGCAAAAAAACTGGATTTCAGACGATTCATTATCACAAAATTTTAAAATTATTCTTATTAGAAATGCAAATTACATGGACCTTTTGCTATTTATAACTTGTTATTCACACCGGATTAGTTCAGCTGCAACACGTTTTTTGAGGGGTGTGTGTACAAAATGCAGATTTCCGTGTTGAAGGGAAAAAGTGGTTGCTGGCACGAGTCGTCCCTCATCCATCCGCCCGAGACCTTTTGAGCCGCCAAAGCAAATAAACAAAACCCCAGAGAAAATGTACAAAAGGGCGCACATGCGACGCGGGTCGGAGGACAGGAAGAGGCCTTTTGTTTCTTATCACAGCAAAAAAAAACCAGAGAGGGAAGCCTGCTCTTGGATTTATCCTCTCGGCTGATTTCTGGAGAGCGTTTGCCGATGTGCTCACATCTGGCGCGATTGTCTTTGCTCAATTGCCTCGAAATCACTCGAGTACTTGCAACATATTCTCAATATAGAGAAAAAGAGACGATCTCATTGATTCGACTGTGTGAAAGAAAAATCATTGTGATACACGCTTCAATATTAGAAAACTATGCTATTTAATTTCATATAATATCATTTATTTCCAATTTCTTTTCCGCACAAAATCGCTTCAAGTTCTTCAGATATAATATAATAAGTAAAATAATAACAATAATTTGTTAATATTAATCAATTTAACACAAATAAATTAAAATATTAATTTTTTTTTAACAATAGACACTCTAAAAATCACCAAAAGTTTCATATTTGACCAAACCGATCTATTTTTTTTTTTTATTCTCAATAAAGAGGTATGTAATTGTGAATTTAAAATAAAAATGCAATTTTTTGCACTAAATATTTTACATCACGGTGCTGATATTATGAATATTAAACTCTGGTAGGAGGTGTTAGATACAAAAATTAAAAATTGATGGGAAAATTTGATGACGTGAAATTTTAATATCATCGACATTTTTAATTTTCACGTGACGAAAATTGCAAGTTCTATAAAAATCACTAAATTGCAAAATCCGCCAAAGAATGGATAATTATGGAGGGAAAAAATTTGTTAGAAATTTTCAAATAATTCAGGTTAGAAACCAGTTTATTTGCAAATAAATCGAATAAATTTAGAACACACTTGTATTTAATTAAAAACTTCTATATTCTCGATTAATTGTAAACGATGATTAACTGTATTTTTCTGCTGGTATTTAATTATAGAAAAAACACAATACCCTGCTCTACTATTTATGACATGTTTTGTCATTTTATTTTTCAATTCACTTAATTTCATTTTCTAAATATTTGTTTCTCATCAAAGACTGATGTAATTTTTACCATCATCTTCTCCCCTCAACCCTTTTTCTACCGAGAAACTCTAGCTTCTGTGGAATCACAGTCGGTCTAATTTGGGCGAAAGAAACCGATAGCGACATACGGGCCCGTCCGACAATGGGACAAGAAGTGGTGGCAATGAGGGCGCGTATTTAATTTCACATAAACTGCGAGCCGACTAGGACAAAAAATATTTGATTAAATAACGTTTCTCTGATGGTGTTGCGTCAATGAAAGGGTTGGGAGGCAAAAAGAAGACAAGGGAAGAAGTAAAAAAATCGAGCGACGCTTAAAAAGTATCGAGTTGCGTCAATTCGACTGCGGAGCTGACAAACGGATGTTAAATTTTTTGTGTTATCTATTGCGCTAGGAAAAAATTATACTGGAGTGATCTATAGCATAAGTAGTGGTGCGGCATGTTTGGCATGAGTTTGATGTTAATAGTTTTCCAGGAAGGATTTTATAACCGCTCAACAGAAGAGATTAGATAGATCCGCAGGAAATAGGAAATTATCATTTTTTTTTTATATGCAAAAACCTTCACTTCAAAAAAGAAAATAAAAGAATATTATTAATTTAAAAAAAATAATGATAAATAATAATTTTTATTTTTAATAGGATGTCATTTAATTTTTATTCTAAATTTATAAATTATGAAGAATATTAATATCTTTTGACGTACAGTAACGTCAATAATTTTGATTGTTTTGATCTAAAATAAGATTTTTCTAAAGTGAAAAATATTGTAATTTAATTATTTTTTTTTATTTATTGAAGACAATCTCTGTTTAGTAAAATATTGGTTTTTCAGTTTTCAAAATTTCAGGTATGGAACAAACGGCACAATTCGGCCCTGTTCCGCTCAGCCATTTTCGGCCTTGTTCTTTTCGGCCCTATTCCGGCACTCCGAAAAAAATGTGTTTTTTTTCCAATTTTTTATTTGAAAGTTTTGACTAAAACTTGTAAAACAAAAATCTAGAACTAATTTTTTAATTTTATTACACATTAATTCTAGAGTCATCAATTAATAATTGCCAGGACTAAAACATAAAAGTGAGTTTGAAAAAATATTTATAAATTAGCAGAAAAAAAATTATTTCATTCAATCCATTTCGTAGAAAATCAAAATCATGAATAATTAAAAATATAATTTCGTCTTTGAAAATAAAAAATTAAACTGCAAAATATTTGTAGGAAAATAATGCCGAGATGGGATTTTTAAAACTTTGTTCTTAAACTTGTATTAGAATAAATTATTAAACACAGTTCCATGATAAAAATTTCTTTTCGCGGATGCAAAAAAGCGGTTAAACGCAGAGCACTGCCGTGTTATTATTACTTTCCGGTCTCTTTATCAAGAGACACAAACAATGGTATAGTCGAAACCATTGAAAGTCTCCGTCCGCCCTCTCCGAATTCTCGAATCGTAATTCTCTTCCTATCTTCCGGTTTATTAATTAATCAGGCAGGAAAGCCAGCGGGAATGAAGCTCACGCACCTCGCAAACCTATGGTAATTGCACCGACAAGGCTTCCGTGCCATGACTCATACTTTCGAGCGATCTTTCGCTGGACTCTGCAGGTGAGAGAACGAACGGTTGGTTTACTGACCTGAGGTCAAGGTGGCCACCAGGACCGCACCCTGCAGCACCGCCAGCACCAAGCAACCCCTCATCGTTTGCGTGGCCCCGCGATTCTGCAAATCCACCGCATGGCACGCACAAAAATTCGCACAGATTCCAAAATCCCGACTCCGGCTGTGTTGTTGTTCTTTGACTCGATTGGTATTTCAGCCTTTATTTCTGTCGCTCCGCAACCCAACCCCACCCTCGCACACTCGCATTCCAGTTTAACCGGTTCCGGTTGGTACAATCAACCGGTATGTTTTTTGTAGTATTTTTAGCAACACTTTAAGCCTTTCTATGATGTAAATGGTCTTAGTATTAATTTAAATGAAGAAAAATTAAATGCAATCCTGAATTTTAATTTCAAATAATTAACTCGAAAAGGGGATAAATTAGCATTCAATACATTTATAAGAACCGGTTGTGTTGAATTCAACTACCGGTTAAGGAATTTTCATTAATTCCCCTTCAATTACAGGAAAATCCAGCCAGATACAACGAGTGTGCTGCGCTCTGTGAGTTCTTTTGCAAATTGTTTGGAATTCCTTCTAAATTTTCAACCAATCAGAACAAACGTGAGATGGGCGTGCCAAAAACACTATTCACATGTGAATTTCAACAAAATTATAAAAACATCATTTTATTTTCTCGAAATTCGCTAAAATTTGAGTCAAAATGTCAGCATTGTGCAGAAGAATAACATCTTTAGCGACTCAACTTCGAATCCAAACATTCGCCGCCGTGGAATCGCAGAGAAATGCGCTTAGGTATGAATAAATACTTTTGAATTATTTTTATGGCTTTAGGCGTTCTGGATTCTCAGATGGAGAATATTCGTGTAATTTTTTATTCAACTTTCGTCTTCTGTCTATTTTATTGCATTCTAACCCTTTCTTATTTTTTCAGTTTGCCGACGCGGATTTTCCCGAGCTTGAACTTTTTCTCATCAAAGCCACCGCCCGGCCCGCCGACCATCAATGATAAGCTTATGGAATTCTTAGACAGTCCCAAAAACTGGAGTGCAGACACCATAAAAACTGGCAGATCATGGAGAACTGATGAACTCAGAATTAAAAGTAACGAAGACCTGCACAAGCTTTGGTCAGTTCATAAGAGTTATTGACTTCTTGCTGTTGAATACATATATAAAATAATTAATTATGAAATATCCTTAATTTGATTTAAATTTTGAATTAAATGTAAAATTAAATTAATGCATAAAATCCACCTTCATTAAAACAATTTAATTACTATTTTCCAGGTTTGTCTTGTTAAAGGAACGGAACATGCTTCTCTCAATGGAGAGGGAGTGCAAAAAGGAGTACCGGGTTTTTGCCAATCCAGAGAGAATTGACAAAGTGGAGGAGAGCATGGAGAATTTGGAAAAAGTAGTCCGAGAGAGAAACAAAGCTTACTTTGATCTTGAAACCACAGAACCCTCTGAACGACCTGGAAAACTTGTTTCCGACCAGATTGGTAATTTTGTGCTCCAAGTTTTAGAAACTTACTAATCAATTAAAAATTTAAAAAGGAATGAGATATTTCTACAAGTACGCAGAGCATTACATCCCCAAAATAATGAACAGGAAGTGGAGGGCACAAGTGGTTCATGGCTACGAGGGAAGAGCTGTGAAAATGTTCCTTCTTCGCATGGCCGAGAAAAAGTACAACAAGCAGGCTTGGCAGACACAGTAAGCTTTTTCAATATGAAGAGTCTGGATATACTAAATTTTTATTGAATTGCAGCTGCCGAAGAAGATATGTTTCTAAATTGTTCAGAAATTTCCCAGACGTTGACGAAGATGCGATCAGGAAAGCCTTCCCTGATGTTGATATAGAAGCAGCCAAAAATCACAAAGATGCTCGAGGGAATCACAATAAGAACATTGCTTAGCTAATTAATTGCAGATAAGTGCAGGAAGTCAAAATTAAATAAATATTATGAAAATGGTTTGCTTTGTAAATTATTTCAAGTATTTTTTAATACTTTTAACAATTTTATAGTTTTTTTATCTACATCAATCGTTTTCCTACCAGAAATTTAATTCGTAATCCTACTACGCAAAGAAGTGAAGATAACGTAAATAATCGAGCTCATCATTAAAAGATAAAATTAAATTTTTGAAATATTCTTATTCCTTGGCTCTTGTTGTAATAAAATTTGGCATTCTATACTTATCTTCTCCATACATATTAAATATCCATGTGAACTCGGATTGAATTTCATTTGATGATGGTCCATAATAATTGATAAATCATTTATGGTCTCACTAGTTTGATGAAATCTCTTAAAACGTGCGCTGTGATCTCTAGTGATATCATTGAGGAAAGTGGAACACACCAATTTGTTATCTTAATGGTCAAAAGTGATGCCATCGCTTTTATTAATATACATATCCTTACGAATCGAGCCAGCAACTGCTCTCGTAAAAAAAGTACTTCTTAATTGACATCCGTAGCGAGCACTGAATTAAAATTCAGTCAATTGCGTTCATGAATGACATCATGCCGCGATAAAAGTACTGCTAACTCTCCTCTCGTCTCCACAACTTTTTCTCAAATCAAGAACCTCTACGGTCAAATGGTAACATCGCGCAGTCATAAATCTTTCTCTTCTTCAAATGAAGACGTTTTCAAAGATTGATTGCTCTCATTTGTATTAAATTGTAGAGTTTTTTTTTGCAAACACGCCAAACATATTAATCATTTCCTTGTTACCATTTTACTGTTAGTAGCTGGAATTAAGTTATTAGTTATTACATGCAAAAATTAATGAAATCCCGCCCCGAAATAATCGGTTTATTAGCGTGAGAACTGGAAATTTACTATATTTATAGTCTGGTCTGGAACTTGTCCATAAACTTTTATGACCGCATAATGTATTTTAATTTTGATGCATCGCCGTTGTGAGATGAGTCACAACGCGAAATATTATTAACTGCAAAAAAGCTCTCGAGAGCATAACATAAAAAAAGGAAAACTATGTTAGAAGACCATAAGTTAGTTCTTCTTGAAGAACTTTCAGAAGTTGCGCTCTGCGCCGCAAATTGAAGCTGCGACTCGTCCCGAATTAAAATTAAGGCCCGAGTTATTAAGTGGCAAAAAGTGTTGGATGTAAAACGTAATTTATGGTCAGACTCTAAGCCTGCCAATATTTGCCGACCGTGTAAAAATGGGCTTGAGCTGTGTAGAAACAAAAGAGCAGGAACGTATGCTTTCTACCACTGCGCTCCTCCAAGTGAGATGACAAATTGCCTCTGCGTGAGGGATCAAACGCTTTTGTTTCAAAAACCCCCTCAGAGTTTATTGTCAGCATTTTGATTCATTGTGAGCACATTTTTTTTTCTCATTTCAGTCTGCGTCTTTCATCTTTCTTGCCAAACTAGAGAAACTTTCTTGTATAATAACGAACGCCGCAGTCTAGCCTCTCTTTTTAAAATTAGCTCCTTGCTGATTTATTCGATTGACTTTGATGTTCTCTATTTAATATTGGGCGTCTTTCTCCAATTTAAATTTATTAACGCTTCACAACGTCTAGTCTGACATAGAAATTGTCTATCAATTATTAGCTTCAGAAGCGAATTATGAGGTGGTGTGTTTGAAATTTAAAATATCACTTTTTACAAAAAGTTAAAACTCTCTGTCAATTTATATTATGAAATAATCTCTAAATTAATAATAAATATATTATAATTTGGCAATTATATTCTAATAGAAAAAATATTAAGTGTACTCAAACCCCTAAAATTGCAATCCTTCATTTGCTTATATATTCTTCTTGTAAAAGTAGCAATTTTGCTCTAAAATTTGTGTATTCTTAATTTATTTAATTTTGCTTGTTTATAAAAGCATCATGATTCGTCGTGCCATTTGCAATTTGAAATGCCACCAATAAAGTAGATTTTAAAATCTTATAAATTAATGCAAATGGTATTCGTATTAAAAAGTATCCTTTATTTCGACATTATTTAAAGATAAAATTAATTCCAGTAAGAAATAATTTCTGTTTCAGATAATTCATTAATTAAAACATGAATTAAATTTAAAATAGCTGCACAGTTAGCTAAATATATTTTTAATTAAAGAAAATTGTTCATTATTTAGCAAAATCATCAAAAAGTTTGATTTTCAATTAAAAGTTGCAAAAATCGTTCCTTGAAATCTTTTTCCTTCTTCGCGGGAGTCGGACGAATGGCGTTAATTGTAATAATAAAAATAATTAATGAATTAAAAATCATATACCTGTGACTAAAATTAAAGTCTACCTGCTGAGGTTGTCGAGGGGAGGCTGGAGGGCTGTGGCTATCTGTCGGCGCCCTGAGTACATTCCTCTGCGCCGTGCCCCTCCAGCCGTGTGTGTGTGTCATCCCCCCTCCGCCGGTCGGACCGATCAGTTGGGCCTGCATGCTCCATGGAGGCTCGCGGGACGACCGCCGAGTAAAGTGAGTCTGCGAGCGGAGTTTGTTGGGTGTCGATCACTGGCAAAAGGCCGGCTTCGTGACCGCAGAAGCGCCACCTGAACCCCGACACACACCACCCACGCCCACGGAGGGAACAGCAAGGCTGTCTGTGCTGCTGGGGCCCTCAAGCACCCCACGATGGGCCCGAACTGGACGCTGCTGGCGCTCCTCTTAACATCAACCTGCGTACTTCTAGTTTTACCTGATGCCGCACACGTGAGTAACCTGTTCCGAACTTCCACTCTTTCATATCAGTTTTTTCGCAAAATTTTATAAACATATCATCAGATTAAAAATTTTAATTTTCAAACCAAATTTTAAAACAGATGATTGTTCTGTTTATTAATTTTTTACATGTTGGAACAGGTTTTTAGTTTTTATTAATTAATTTTTTTCTAATCTTCAAAGACAAACCGCTCTCCTGTCAAAATAATTAAAGCCCTTCTTGTGGAGATTTTTTTTTATTAAACTAGAAGAGGTCCTTTAATGCAACAATCTTAATCTTCGATCTGCTTGGGCTTTTGTGCCTCGTTGGGGCCTCACACACTCTCAATTTTGGGTGTCAATCAAGCATTCCATTCGCGGTCACATGGCTGAGATAACCAGGGGATGAAAGAGGACAGTTTTGATTAACTTTTCATTCAGTCTAGAAACCGAAGACAAATTTTGCCCGAGTGTCACCAAAATTTAGCCTGAGACAAGCAGAGATTAAGACAGGCAGAAATGACGGTATCAAGTTTTACAAGAACTTAATCTATTCAATTTTAATGGTTGAATTAATGTTTTCTAATCTGAATTCAAATTTGTTCATAAAATTAAAAGCAAAAATAACTATTTCGTACTTTTAAATTGATTTAAATTATTTTTAAGTAAATAAATATAATAAGTTACTTATTGATTAAGTTTAATTTATTATTTGTAAAACATTCTCAAGTATTAATTATACTTAAAACTTAAATCCTTTTGAACCAAGATAATTACCATGAAGAGCAGACAGAATACTAATTAGGTAATTTGTTCTGGTTTTGATGTTATCACTGATGGGGGCATAAAACGTTGGATTAATATAATATTAGTCGTGTCATCCAGATAGCTCACATTTTTTTTATCGACGAAAAGCACACAACTTATGATTCCCTGCCCGTCGATCTGTCGGGTAAAAAGAATTTTGGCCCGGCAGTCAGTCAGTCGGAGATAAAAAGAAGCGTGTCCGCCGAGTTATGTTTATGGAGCCATAAATATTATTGCTCTTGGAAAATTGGTAGACATGCGTTGCAATTAATTACGGACATAATCAGGGGAGGGACCAGAGAATGTTTAATTTATCGCCCTCGTTTCGCTAAAACGCTCTACTAATGTGACAGTTGGTTTTCTGATTAATGTCCGGCGTGGTTTGTCTTAATAGTGGGAAAAAACTGCCATACTTGGATAAAAGAGAAGGAAACGTAACATACTAAAATAAATCTTTGATGATCAGATTTTAGTCAACCCATTTAAAAAATTCTGAAAATTTTCCCCCTTTTTTTATAAAATTGATTTGACATTGACAAAATTTTGAAATAAACATTTCCAACTTATTTTGAAATATTTGATAACATTAAATCCTTTAAAAGCCAATTGAGAACTAATGTATTAATTGATAACAGCCATGACCGCGTTTTTCATCTTATTTGACACTTAATTTTTTTTTATCAGTTCGGCAATCTTATTATTTTCTAGACTTACTCAAATCTTCTCTCATTTGGAGATTTCAAGTGTCTGTGGCCAGGAAACGCGTGGACCGTTTTTATTTTATTTTTACATTGCAACTGCCGTTTTTCTTGCCGACGCATGTGTTTGGTGTAATCTTACGCTGGACGGAGCAAACACGTGGAGTGCACCTCTCGCAGCTCTCCATGTTTCGTGTGAACGCCCTCGCTTTATTCATCTCTCTTCTCGGCGCGGCGGACCAGCTTTTCTTTCTCTCTGCAGCCTGCGATTCGTTTTTTATTTCTTCCATTCGGCTCGGCCAGACTAAACAAAATTCCCCGCTTTTCGCTGCATTTATGACTCTAATGCTCATCATTGTACATTCGCGCCTACCCACACGCCTTTTTACGACTCGCGATCCATTTCAATTGTGACCGGCACGAGATGTTGACTCGAAACATTTGGGCAAAAGACGTGACGTGAAAGTGAAGTGGGACAAAAGTATACAAAAATCTTCACCTTAAAAACAAATCTGGTAAAAATAGATCTATCTTTTTACATAATATTTTACTAGTCTGGAGCCTATTTTGATTTTTTTATTATTTGAAAGAATAATTATGCTAAAATAGCCTAAACAATATCCGCTCTAAATTGCAATATAAAATTTTTGCGAGGAGAAAAAAAAGCTTTTTCTTTCTTTTTTGACCTATTGAATCCATATTTTAGGAGAGAAAGTTTGGTCTCCAGAGTTCAAAAATTAAAGAATAATTGTCGATATGGTAAAAGTCAAATCAAGTCTTTACAACAAAAGGAGTAATTTTTAGGCAATAATTGATAAAACAATTGAAATATTAAAACCACCATTCTGGTTTAGACTTGATTTGACTATATAATTAAGAACAAACAAAGGCTTGACTTTATCAGGCTCCTCCTTAAATATTTTTGAGGAAACGTTTTGTAGAAAATCTTAAAAAACACGGATGCATTGTTGTTTTTGGGTTTGTTTCCAAAAAGCTGTTTTTTTCTCAACTCCTTGCTAATTAGTGCTAATTTTGAAAAGCCAAAAACCAAACTCTGCTCGATAGCAAAAAAACATTTTGTATTAAAACATATTTTTTTTTTCATATTTACGGATTTTTCCAATTTTCCCTCTTGCTAAAAGTTCTCTGGTTGAGACTACACGTGTACTGGCTCATTTTCCGCTCTTATCTCAGCGTGTAGGTGTAAATTTTTTTTATTTGTGATGTCACGGAGTTTTTGCTATCAGGGCCAGATATCGCGTCGACATTCTGTTGCCTCTAATTTGGTCCCTTATGCACGGGCAAGGGCGGCGATAAAACAAAAGCTGTCCTGCTGATAAGAAGAAGAGAACAATATGTCCCGTGCAACTGCCGTGATATTTCCTGGCGAAGTTTTCACGATAAAAATTCTCAATGAAATGAGTTTTGCACTTTGACCTGCTGTGCAAAATAACACCTTTAACATAAAGTGAAGTTTCTTGAGGCAACTGAAAACTAGTTTTGAAAAATTTATGCCGAAAAATAATTGAGATATTGTTTTAAAAAACCAAATTCCTTATTAGCAAGAAAAATATTTTTAATTATTAAATTGTTATCTTTTTTTTCATTTTTATTATTTTATTAAAATTAGAAGCATTGAAATAATCTAGAGATTTTAGTTATTCCAGTAGAATCTAAAATTTTATTATCCTTAATCGATATTCCCATAAAATATTCCATGTTTTCCAAAGAAAATCTTTTTGAAGAATTTTGAAGACTAAAAATCAGTCACACCGAAATGTCTCCACACCTCTGCATCTTCCTCTCTTTGATGTCGAATTGTATTTATTTGCTCTGAATTCACAAATCGCATTTCGGCCCTTGAAGTCGCCATTTATGATTTCATAAACAAACACGTCGTCATCATCATCAAAAAGCGGCTCTCTGCGTGCATGTGTTTTTGTTCTGGGCAAAAATTCTCGACAGCTAAAATTTCAGTGTTGACAGAGATGCTCTCTAGCATAGCTTTTAACTTAATGCAAATCTCTCAAACAGCAGCTCCGCTCTCTCATTATTTTTTTTTTCATCACATTGTGTGTGCGTTTCAAATTTTGTCCGGCTGCTCGAGTCATCATCGAAAATAAACGCTGATTTAATGTACGAATGATTCGTCCTCTTTCGACGTGACTTACATTAATTTTTGAGAAAAATTGCTCACTTACCGCCGACGACGTCCGGCGTAAAATACACCGAGATAGTATGGGGCATGAATGTGGTGCTTGTTTTATAACCGAGGGAGGGTCAAAGGTGTACACTTTAAATGAAAGCAGTTTTATCAGCTGCGATTAATCGCTCGTCAGTTCGTGGAACTCATTGCGTCAATAAACAAATCAATTTTCATTCTTGCTGAAAAAAATGGAACAAATTTGACAGGAATAAAAATAAAATGCAGGAAATTTTTTGGTTTAAAATATAATTATCTAATAAAAGCAGAATAAGGATTAATGCAATGAGAAATGAAATTTCGTTTTAAATTTTATTGATTCATTCTTCCTTCATTTGTAATTATTATACATGGCTTAAAAAGTACACCGTAAATTAATAATATTAATTAATAAATAAATATTCACCATACTAATTAATTCTGGAAAATTCATGACAGCATAACAAGTTCTAAGAGTTAATAAATGTAATCGAGAGTATTTGTGGCACAAAAATTTAGCACTTGAACAAAAAAAACAAAAGATTGTATTGTCGTGTCAAAATTAAACATTTTTCCTTTATTTTTCAAAACTCTAAACAAACCGGGATGTTGAAAAAAGATTTTAAAGAATTAGGACTTAGGAGGATGATAATTTTACTTCTAATCAATTTTTTAAAATATGTAAAAAGTTAACTTTTGTATTTCTCGTCCAGGCAGCAAAGTGGTGCTGGATTCTATTTTTGAATAAGTGCACGACACAAAAACTTTTATTAGCTGCTTTTTCACGGATTCTATATCAGCCTGAAGTCTGAAAGTGATGCGGCCTCCTACTCCTTTTCTTTCTCCCTCGCAGCCTCTCTGCAAGACACCCCGTGGGGTTAAATTTAGACCCTATTCAAAAGCGACTAACTACTCGACTCAGGATAACCAAAACTAATTCCATGCTCTCTTTTATTTTAACCTCTCTTGATTTATAGACATCAAAACAAAATGCATGCTCACGGGGTCAAATGCACCTCGGAGAAAGAAATAGAGAGAGATGAGCCGTCTCGAGACCCAAACCTTAGCCTGGAGCCACTTCTCATTCATCCACTCACTACGCTGAAAAGTGCTTAGACGAAATAGACCTTTCGAGACTCTTTATAATTTTTAAATAAAAAACTTTGTTAATCTCTAAAATCAAATGTTTTAATGGAAAAATGTTACAATTTTCTTCTCAGTTTTTTTCTTATGCTTTTCTTGAAAGATCCTCAACCATATAGAATTGCGCCTGAATAAGTATAGTGTGTACTGGACATGTGTATGTAATTGGGCAATTTGGAAGC